AACAGTTTGTTTATTGCTCACAAATCCTGTGTTAATACTGCCTAGATATACATATACCTATGTCTACATACCCACATATACTACCTATATTCACGACTACCCTTGTTACAACAATAACAACAAAACAGCAATAATAATAATAATAATAATAATAATAATGTGTCCATTTATATAGCGCCAAACTCCACACTATGTATGCTCATAGCGCTAACAATCAAGGCCATAACATGATAACGATGATAATAATGACTTCGATGATTATGATGATGATGATGATGATGATGATGATGATGATGATGATGATGATGATGAAATAATAGTGTTGTGATATCATTTTAATCATTAAACTTTCACGAATATTCGCATCTTCACCAATTTGAACACTACATCCGAGGTTATATTTGTTTTGATAATAAATGGTGTATTTTCTATTTACGTCAGGATAAGCACTGCTTATTTATTCCTTCTGCTTTCTTCGTACAGTCACCATCAGTGACTCCCTGCAGTTGCTTCCGTTGGTGTTTTGTTGTTGTCTTATGTTTTTTGTAGGGTTTTTCATCTTTGTGAATACATGGTCACTGACAGACATCTTCCAGTATTTCGAGGAAGCTGTAAACCCCCTTAACCCCCTTAATTCGTGTTTATCCATAGCATCCATCTGTTTCACCATCTCACGTTCCATTAACATTATAAACATGATTAGCCAAGCACGCGAAAGCAAGAGGGGTCATGTGGCTTGTGAGTCAGTGGATGCAATGTCCGACAGCCTTGACCCGCGGACAGTCCGGGGAGCGACTCGTCCACACAAACTATGATTTTCTGAAGCTGGTGGATCGGGTTGCCAAACTCGTGTCAAGGTTTGATTCCTGAAATACAACAGAACATACAGAATCCTTTATGTTGCCAGCATATATAATCCTTCATATCGCCAGCATGTAAGATTCTTCAGGTTGCCAGCGTACAGGATCCTTTACGTTTCCAGCATATGGAATCCATCACGTTGCCAGCATATTATAATCCTTCAAGTTGCCAGCATACAGTAGCATTCATGTTGCCAGCATTCAGAAACATTCATGTTGCCAGTATGCAGAATCCTTTATGTTGCCAACATACAGATTATTTTATCTTGCCAGCATACAGAATTCTTTATGTTGCCAACATATAGAATCATATATGTTGCCAGCATACAGAATCCTATAGATTACCTGCATTCAGAATCCTTTATGATGTCAGCATTCAGAATCTTTCATGTTGCCAGCATACAGAATCTTTCACGTTGACAGCATTTAGAATCCTTTATATTGTCAGCAGTCAGAATCCTTTGTGATGTCAGCATTCAGAAACATTCATGTTGCCAGCATACAGAATCTTTCATGTTGCAAGCATTCAGAATACCTCACGTTGCCAGCATACAGAATCCTTCAAGTTGTCAGCATACATAATCTTTCATGTTGCAAGCATTCAGAATACCTCACGTTGCCAGCATACAGAATCCTTCATGTTGCAATCATATGTGATCCGTCACGTTGCCAGCATAATATACAATCAGTCACGTTGCCAGCATATTATAATCCTTCACGTTGCAAGATATGTTGTTATCCTTTATATTGTCAGCATACAGAATTCTTCATGTAGCAAGTGTTACCTGCATTCAGAATCCTTCATGTTGCCAGCATACATAATCCTTTATGTTGCGATCTTACAGAAACACTCATGATGTCACACACACACACGCACGCACACACACGCACGCACACGCACGCACACACACACACACACACACACACACACACACACACGTTAGATGAATGTTTTGCGTGTTGTATTTAAGTGACTGAATTATGTACTCTGAGTCACAAGTATCTGAATCTGAAATCTCTATAAACTATGGTAGGACACTGTGATAGCCGAGTGGCTAAAGTGTTTACTCGTCCCGGTTCGATACCCACTCAGAACCATTCATGGTGATCTCCACCGTAACACCCTAGGTTGAAATAATGCTAACAAAACGCAAAACTATATTCAATCACTCATCTACAATCATTCTTTTAAAAGTAATGTTTTCATGAACAGTTAGTTGACCTTGAAGGTTCATATGAAAGTCTTGTGTCCACAAAATGAACCAAGGATTGAGCTGAGGGGACACCATTAAGCTAAGCCAGTACATATATAATCTTGATGGTTGTCCACCGTGATGGCGGGGAATACCGTTCTGTCTGTCCCCTTAGCACAAGGCCTGGGTATGTCCTTGGGCCTCGCGAAACACCAACAGTTATGGGACAACATTAATACGTAGAAAGTGAATGAAACTGAAAAGAAATCTCAAGGATCTTTGGTGTCTCATTCTGAGGCAGTCAACTGTGTCATCTGATGTCTGGGGTATTTTTAATTCATTTCATTCGCTTTTCCTGTCTTTTGTCACTGCAGGTGTTATGAAATGTGTTAGCGTGTCGAGATTTTGTGGGTATATTGCAAGATCGATATCATGCTTGTATGAAAAAACAGATCCTTAAGGGATGTCATCGGTTGTGGATAACAATAGCGCCGCTTGATGTTTTACCGGTTAGACTGAACATATGATACTCGCTATCCGGTGTCTGACCTCGACTACCCCTCCCTCGCCATGATACCATGCAACACTACCCCCTTCCCTCTGTTTCCTTTCATTCTAGTACAACACTCTGGCCACCGATCCTCAATAGCCAAATCCCATCACCTCCCTATAATCCTGTAACCCTTGTTACTACTGCCTTCTTTCACACCCCGCACCCCCTGCCAGTACTCGACCCCACACCCTTCCCTTGTAACGGTACTTAATTTCCAGCACCCTCCCTCAACCTTTACTCGGCATGCGCACTCACACACGCCCGCAGACCCGTCCCTTATCCTATTACTGATTTTCCACCCCACCGCCTTACCTAAACCCTTACCCCAGTACGTGATATCCACCCCCTTCCCTCAACACATACTCGACCCCCATACGCGCCTGTACACCCCTCTCTTACCCCAGTACCTGATATCCACCCCCTTCCCTCAACCCATACTCGACCCCCATACGCGGCTGTACACCCCTCCCTTACCCCAGTACTTGACATCCACCCCTCCTTCAACACATACTCGACCCCCAAACACACCTGTACACCCTCCCTCATCCCAGTACGTGATATCCATCCCCTCCCTCAACACATACTCGACTCCCCATACGCGCGGCTGTACACCCCTCTCTTACCCCAGTACTTGATATCCACCCCCTTCCCTCAACACATACTCGACCCCCATACGCGGCTGTACACCCCTCCCTTACCCCAGTACTTGACATCCACCCCTTCCTTCAACACATACTCGACCCCCAAACACACCTGTACACCCCTCCCTCATCCCAGTACGTGATATCCATCCCCTCCCTCAACACATACTCGACCCCCATACGCGGCTGTACACCCCTCCCTTACCCCAGTACCTGATATCCACCCCCTTCCCTCAACACATACTGACCCCCATACGCGGTTGTACACCCTCCCTTACCCCAGTACCTGATATCCACCCCTTCCCTCAACCCATACTCGACCCCCATACGCGGCTGTACACCCCTCTCTTACCCCAGTACTTGATATCCACCTGTTTCCCTCAACCCATACTCGACCCCCATACGCGGCTGTACACCCTATCTCTCTTACCCCAGTACGTGATATCCACCCCTTTCTCTCAACCCATACTGACCCCCATACGCGGCTGTACACCCTCTCTTACCCCAGTACTTGATATCAACCCATTTCTCTCAACACATACTCGACCTGACTCTTTCCCAGTAACTTGATATCAACCCCATTTCTCTCGAACCCATACTCGACCCCCATACGCGGCTGCACATATCTCTCTTACCCCAGTACTTGATATCAACCCATTTCTCTCAACCCATACTCGACCCCCATACGCGGCTGCACATATCTCTCCTACCCCAGTACTTGATATCAACCCATTTCTCTCAACCCATACTCGACCCCCATACGCGGCTGCACACCCCTCCATTATCCCCGGATCTGACCCCCACGTTCTTCCCTCATCTTATACCCAACACCTCACTCTTTACATCTTTACTCACCTGCACCCGACCCTCTCTCCATTCACCCCGTATTCAACCCGGACACTTCCCATACCCAGTGAATGCCCTATCACAAACCCCGAGTGGTAATTTCCTAGAGGCGGTAGAGAGGTAAGCGATACAATCAGTAACACGCCATCTCATGGTTGACTTGGCTCATTTCACCTGAAGGAACTTCGTCGTCGTATCTCACGTCTCCCTACGGGGCACGGCAGCGTTACAACACACTCCGAGTCCTACCTGTGTACACCCGAAACGTTGAAACACAACACCTCACCAACTTCCTCAACAGCACTGGTCACCACACGGATTATAGAGTACATACAGATTCTTGTGAGCTTCACGCGATGACACCGTTGGACACCAAGGACACCTGTGACACCATGGTGGATGTATCACAACAAATGATTCAATAATTACACCAGCCGAGTCATCCTGTACAGAGAGTCCGTCTCTTCTGACGACACTCCTATCACTCGGGTTCTAGCAAAGAAGTATGTACAGTGTTAATACTTTATATACCTGTATATGTTTTGTGGATTTTTTTGTGGACACACTTCACAACATGTTTATGATCCATTGACCGCATTTGTTAATTCATCTGTGTTGTCATGGTGATATTCGCTGATGGGTACGTGTATGCTAGAAGTGAACAATAAGCATTATTTAAGAAGGGTGTTAAGGAGTACGACGAGCATAAAGGCCTTTTTAAACACACTGAGGTCGGCGAAAACAGGCTATATTTGTTATACAACAACATGAAGGATTGTCAACGTGGTTATGTGTTTTGAGATTTCACGACAGCTGTTTTTTGGATACCGGAATACTCCTCTGGATTTACCATACATGGACGAAAAGGTCGTGTATCTGAACTAAACAAGCTGCATCTTAAGACAGACCTGTGTCATATAGATTAATAGATTTGATTAAACATGTGCATTTAGTAGCGTTGCCGACTGACAATGTATCCTCAGTGGAAGGGACTGTTGATACTGCTGACGGTGTTCGTCTACGGCTCTCTGGCCCAGGACGTCATCAAGGTCGGGTTCATCACCACCATTGACAGCCCCGAACCCAACAAAGCCGAGGGGAGGAGGATTGCTGGTGCCATGGCCCATGCCGTGAACACCGTCAACAACGACCCCGACATCCTCCCCAACCACACTCTTGAGTACGTCTTCGCCGACAACAAAGATAATGAGTTCGTCAGCATCAATGAACTGACCGAACAATGGCGGAATGGAGCGATCGCTTTCTTTGGACCGGAAGACTTTTGTGAAACCGAGGCTAAGGTGGCAGCGTCATGGAATCTTCCGGTTATATCCTATGTGAGTACCACCCTTAGAACGCAGTAGATAAAATAAGTGTATAAAATAAGCCCAAAACCCAGTCAGACATCTGGGCTGGTAGAGATTAAACCAGTCATTCTTAATACTAAACAGACAGTGCCAGTGGACACGTTATCTGAATATTTTTGTCACCCGTCCACCGGGCTGGTTAGCTGTAAAATTAGACCGTCGGGCAGAAATTTGGCCCGTCTCGGGCGGTCGGACGGGCCTTATTTCATACACTGATGTACCATCAAACTGGCCTACTGGTTCGGAAATTGTCAATCTCAATTTTTGTGCTACGTTAACATTTCTTAAAAGCGGAGTAGAACACTACTCGCTTTCATTAACATGTGTTTGTTTGCTGATTAACGCCAAACTTGTTATGATTTAATCTTAATATGATGAATAATAAGAAAGGCATGATGCTATATGGATGACGACTTCTTAACTGTATTATGATGAGACGTTTCGGTATAGATTCTACATATTATCGTAGTCAAGCAAAGGTTATCATCCATAAAGTATCACACCTTTCTCAAACATGAACATTTGGTTTGCTGGATTTTTTGTTGTTGTTTTTGTTGGTGGGGTTTTGTTTGTTTGGTTTTTTTTCGTTTTTTTCTGTTTTTTTGTTTGTTTGTTTTTTTGTGGTGTGTGTGTGTGTTTTTGTTTGTTTAATTTTTTGTTTTGTTATTTTGGTGCTTATATTGTTGTTTAACGCACTCCACTCAGCATTTTGCCAGCTATATGACGGCGATCTGTAAACTATCGAATCTAGACCAAACAATCAGTGATTGACATCATGAGCATCGATCTACCTGTGGATGACATGCATCACCCAAGTCAGTGAGCCTGACCACCCGATCCCGTTAGTCGCCTCACACCACAGCAACTGGTAGCTGAAGACCAGTTATAGCCCGGATCTTCACAGTTCGCATGTATGTGACGGGCATTAACTATAATGGGGGCCAAACCCTTACTAATCCCAAAGATATCCCTGCTAAAAGCAGTGTCGATTGTAAAATTCCGACGATGTCTGAGAGTGTTTGGTTGTTAAACGCTGCACTGAGTAGCATCCTTTGTTATCACCATTATCACATGAACAATTGTAAAACATGCCCCTAAACTATTAAAGTGAGTGAGTGAGTATGGTTTTACGCCGCTTTAAGCAATATTCCAGCAATATCACGACGGGGGACACCAGAAATGGGCTTCACACATTGTACCCATGTAGGGAATCGAACCCGGGCCTTCGGCGTGACGAGCGAACGCTTAATCACTAAGTTACCCCACCGCCCTAACCTATCAAAGTAAACTTTATCTTAAACACAAACCATCATCGTGGTATTTGCAATGTCTGTTTGACACAACCCGCCTCGTTATAGTGCGAATATACACTGCCGTGTGACGTCCGAAATTCTGTAATCTGACGATGCATAATGGGCGGCGAGGTGAGCTAGTGGTTAAAGCGTCTCGCCGGAGACCCAGGTTCGATTCCCCTCCTTGGTGAGATATGTAAAACCGATTACTAGCCTCACCAGCCATTGTATTGCTGGAATATTGCTGAAAGCGGCGTAAAACCACATTCATTCAAGCGGCGTAAAACCACATTCACTCATCACTCACTGTAATACAGAAAGCTAAATCTATCATGCAATATTTTAACCGCTACGTGGTAATATAAACTGAACGCCAAAAGAAATGTTACACCTCTGAACATTAGAATATCCAATGGGCATTTCTTTTGGCCTTCAGTTTATATTAGACATTGAGATTGCTTCGCCATCGTGAGTCAGCGCTATGGCCTCCCTAACAAACATAATGTGTGACTGATTCCAGTTACAATACCTATTGTCAATTAATTGTAACCGACGAATGAGGATTAAGTGGCCCAAATCTCCATCAGAGTGTGTGATTATACCCCGATGGCATCTGGTCGTTACTGTGCCACGTTACTGTGGCAGTCTGCAGAACAGAAATATCTTACATCACCATGCAACCCACCCCACCCCCCACCCCGCACCCACCCATCTCCCTTCTTCCTCAAACCCTACTCGACACACACAGTCATCACCCGGTGGTATCCAACCCCCACACTCCGACCGAGCCCGACCGTCACCTCCTTGCCCCACCTCCGTATATGACCCACACTCTTCTCTCGCCCTGTACCCACACCCCCACCCAGCCCCGACTGTCTCCGTACCTGACCCTAATGTAATTTCCCCGAAAACATTTATAACCTGTTTGGAACATAAAACAACATAAAGTCATTCATTTGACAAGGTAACACTTGAAAACAATTTTACATAAATGTCTCTCGCAAAACTGGTTAACTTGGTCTCCGGACCCAGCTCCACGCCTTAACATCCCACCACTCCCCTAAATCCAAAGCGTTCTTAAGGGGTAACTAGAAAAGATTCTGAATCAAATAACACAGCATGATGTCTCATGCATCCAGACGGCCGTTTGCCTTCCGTTAATATCAAAGCATTATTTTGTATCGCGCTGAACAATCAGAAGAAAAAAGAAAGATGAAAGTGAAACACTATAAATACACAGTACTTAAACCGTCGCACGGCTTAAGGGCAGATTTCCTCCTGATATAATATTATCACCTATTCAGATTTTTCACACTTCCTCAAATCAACTGAATATATAATCGCCGACATGGCTGATATTTTTTTACTGACGCGGAAGCGATTTAATGAGCTAAAAAATGGTTGATAGAAAAACTGAATGTAGGGTAAACTCTTAGTATACACGTAGTCATAAATAACTCTCTTGCAAAAGAGTAGGCAAAACCTGTAAGTCTGTGTACAGTACCTGGTGAAAGAAAGTACACCTTTGAAAGATTGATTCGACAAGACATACAAACTTTACTGAAAACAGTCCCCGAAACACTGCTCAGGCCGAAACCGAACTTTGATACCCTTTATCATTGAAGAACCATTTCCGGTAGTCACGAGGTGTTGAACGTCAGCTGGTGATCTAACAGAGTCGACACACATACCCTGAGGTAACGAGTTGTAGAGATAGTTGGACTGGCCTGTATCCAATACTGCCACAGATGCCAGTGGCAAACTCTCTGAGTGTTCATATCTTTATGGTGTTTTCTTACGGGACATTGGAGATTTTTCTCTGAAAAATATATCCATGCCCGTGGATACAAAACTCTCAGAAGTCGGTTTAATGGCATTGTAATATCTGATGAATGAATTGGCAAAATCCAGGAATCGCATCTCGACCTAGAATCTATTTTCAGAAAGTGTTTATACTTTTAAATTCACACCGCGAGTTGTGACAGAATCCTGGAAAGGCCACTGGTCTTATTGGAATATCCGGGTTTAGCGAACTATCTCGAAACATTCAAATCAACAACAAAAACAAACAAACAAACAAAACAAAACAATAATTTTTACAAATAAAAAACCAAAAAAAGCCCAACACTTTTTCATTCCAAAACCGCCGACTCGAACCTAAAACGTACCGCCTCGTTATATATAATGTTTATCTATCTAATATGTTTTAATAAGTCGCTGCCACAAGTCAAAAGAACGCGAGAAATTGTAATAAGAATTACAATAAATTAGAAGGAAGAACATTATTTGGATAAATTTGTCTCTATTAATTTATATTGTTTAGTTGTATTTCCCCGACCGACAGACCCATGTTCAGAATTTGGTGGCTAGGTGAAACACATAAAAAAATGATGCCCTGTGTTTCCGTCTTTCCGTTGACACAGATTGATGAGGGTCGCCTGCGGGTCACAAGGACGAGGGAAGATATGGGCCGTTATCAGATTGAGTCAAATATTAGAAAAACAATGTACCGTTACCCTTTTGTTTATGGTTTTCAAAATAAAATACTGTTGAACTGAATCAAGTCTTATTCTTTTTCATACCAGTTCATTTGAAACCTTTTTCTTGAATATTAATTATTTGTAATACACTTCTTAATTAGTTATACATGGTACCAGCAAGGCATATTTTTTACCTTGTCCTGATAAATTTAGGGAGAATGAGACGTGAGTTTGATAACATTAAAAGAAAGCGTTCAAAGAAATTTAAGTTTGTTTGTATCTAGCATGAGAATGTTTCATCAGATAAAATTCCAATTTAGCGGTATCTTCAAAATTGACGGAAAACGATTTCGAGGTTTTCAGGGAGCAAATTTAAGAACATTTCATTTTCTTAGAATGCTATACATGGATCAGGAACGCCATACAGCTGTAATATTGCTGAGTGCGGCGTTAAACAACAAACAAACAAACAAACATTATTTTGAAAGGAACTAAAGCTAGAGCGAACACCTCATCGATAAATTAGTATGATATTGTATACATATTATGTTTTGTTTGACAAATATGCAATTTATTTTCCGTATAGAAACGTCCAGCGTATGTCATATCAAAACTTATAACTGTTTGTCAGTAGAACAGTTTGTAATAAATATCATAACAATAGTAATATGTCAAATGTCCTTTCAACATAAAATTATCAAAATTAGAAGTCGTAAATGATAAACTATAGAGTTACGACAGGTCGTAACGTTACAAACACTTTGTTGATCGAAACCCTGGCACGTTACTTTTTCCCCATACTGATTCAATGAATACATATTGCGTCTTACAACGTAATTCAGACACCGTGTAAACACCCGCAGAATAATCCAGTGTCATGTCGTGAGCAGGGACCTAGTGAGGCAGTTTGGAAAAATATTACATCAAATATTACAATGGTGTGAGAACTCGTGACGTTTAAAGCCACCGTGATAGAGAAGATATGAACGTAAGTAGCCTGCAGATACCGAAGCTCATGAAGTGAAGCCTCGGGCAACGTGCTGTATTCTCACGAGATGTATGACTGATCGTCAATTACATTGTCCCCCCTCGTTATCCATGCTTTACTTACAGCTGTTGCGTTATCTATATCACCATCTTCATCCTGCGTAGGGAATGCGCTTTGATACATAATAAAAAAGTTTCCCTTTGATCATAGTGACGATCTTTCGAGAGCGAAGTGATTGTGCAAATATAGTGTTGGTGTATGCGGTCTCTAAGTGGATTTGATTGAATGCTTCCTACATCTTTGGTATGCGGTTTGTAGAGGGATATCATTCGTGGTTTGTGGTTGACGTAGAATACACCCTCGTATTGAATAAACATGTGTTGTAAACGTGATTGAGTTTAAGAAAATGTTATAAGTATAAAAACTTTATTATCCATATATTTTAAGATACCAGAGATAATATAAATCTTCACGAAGCGAATCATGGTTTTCGGAAATTGTTGACCACATCCTACTGTACCGAACATTGTTGACTCGTATTTGTTGTTGGTGCTTGTTGAACCTGTGGTACTCATTACAATTCCAGTTAAATGACGAAGATCTGTAATTGAGTCCGGCCAAACACATTCAGTGATTGACATAATTAGCATCAATCTACGCAATACGATGATACGATGACATACATCAACAGTCACCGAAACATGAAAATATATTTTAAATCATCTACGATACGATAGTAACACGAAAATATATTTTAAATCATCTACGATACGATAGTAACACGAGAATATATTTTAAATTATCTACGATACGATAGTAACACGAGAATATATTTTAAATCATCTACGATACGATAGTAACACGAAATTATATTTTAAATCATCTACGATACGATAGTAACACGAAAATATATTTTAAATTATCTCGGCGCCTCATAAGGCAGCTACGGATGTATACTCCCCAGGTGGCTGAGAAAAGCATGATCCTTCGACGATGATGATGATAGTCACCATCATCGTCGCCGTCATCGTCTTTGACATCTTAATGATCATTTTCATTGTTGTTATCGTTATTAGTTTTATAATCATTGTTTCATCCAGAAATGCGACGACGCAGTTGTGTCGGACAAGAAGGAGTTCCCCACGTTTGCGAGGACGCAGCCCCCTAGCTCGCATTCTGCTACTCAGGTGATGGCGCTCATGCGTTACTACGGCTGGAGCAAGTTCTCCATCGTTGTGGAGAAGATTGACCTCATGGTGCGGGCTGCCGAGAACCTCAAGTACCTTGCTGAGTTCAACAACATGACCGTCAACGACCTCGTCAACTTCACCGGCCCCTACAGCAGCAACAACAACATGCAGGAAATCAACGCAATAGTCATGAGGACGTATCTGAGGACACGGGGTAGGTATTCCTCCTATATGGAGCAGTTGTATTAGTAGTAGTAGTAGTAGTAGTAGTAGTAGAGGAGTAGGTGTAGGGGTAGAAGTAGTAGTAGCAGTAGTAGTAGAGACGTTGTGGCAGTAAATGTAGTTGTTTCAGTAGTTGTTGGGGTCGTTGAAGTAGTGACAACAGCAGCGACACTAGTCGTCGTCGTAGTAGTAGTAGTTGTAGTAGTAGTTGTAGTTTTCCTGATTCGTTCATTCGTAAACATCTGTGTTGTAGTAGGCACACTAGTTTATACAACATGCATTCGCTGAAATTGAACGGCAAACGGTTTATCATTACGTTTTTACTTGGTGAAGTCTCCTCTTTATGATGTGATATACGGATATTCGTCGAAATACACAACTTGTAATGGACGATAATCAAAATAAATACAACATTATTTGAGAAGAGTTATCGTCTAAGTGATTCCTAAAAACATTGGGTCGAGAGATTTTAATGAAAAATTGAACCGTTACGTAATTTTTAAAAATTTGTGTGTGTGTGTGTGTGTGTGTGATCGATTTCCTTTTTTCCCATCCTTTGGGCCTTACTTTGAAGTTGCTTTCATTCATAATTATAGTTCAACCCGGCGGAAAAGATTTCTTCTTCACTTTTTGTCTTGAATATCTTATAAAGACTCGTAGGGTAAAACTTAATACGACATATTTTATTAGTAGATTTGTAGACTCTGCTGTGTGGCGCTGTTGGATAGTATCAGTTATACCACCGGGTGTCAGCTTAATGTCGGAGGAAGCCATGAACTGATGCAGATTTAGTTAACCGGGTACCAAAAATACTGACGGACTATGGTTCATGATAAGGAAGAATTTGGAATTCGAACTGATGGTCATAGAATCCCGGCATGTCAAAGGGATGTCACTCTGTACAACCATCTCCAGTGTCCAAGGCGACTGGACTTTTAATTCAAATACTGAAAAATATTAAATAATCTTGATACTGTTGGTTTTATGTATATATATATATATATCATTTGTCTAATTCCGTCCTGACGTCATCTCAGTGTACGTGCTGTACTCCCGCATCCCCGCCTTCATCGACTTCGTCCGCTTCCTCAACCGCCTCGGACTCACGGACACCGGCGAATACGTTGTCATCGGCATCAGGGACGACGAAACTTACAACACCGACACCAACATCGACTTCATATTTAAAGGTTTGTCAAATTCATGAGCTCTTCGAATTCAGTTATCGTTCCTTGTATGCCCCTCCTTCTGACCAATCAGATTCCACTTCCCAGATCACGTGTCATTGCTTCAAACAAAATGGCTGCACCCAGTCAAGATCTGATGGGCAATCACGATCAGTACTGGACTGAAGCGAATTTCACCTCGCAATGTGTAACAATCACTACAGCGATTGATTAAACTATGAAAAGATGATCTTCGACGTTCAGATGAGGGTACCAGTGGTTTGCAATTCTTGCAAAATATGAAAAACAGTGACCATATTTTATGAACTTGATGTCAGTTTCTTTACACGATTTCGATTGGACAAAGCAGAGAATCGTCAGGCCGGGTAACTCAGAAATTCCACCCCAGCTCGGCAAGGATGGTAACTAGACTTCTGAAGTCTGCTAACTCCCATTCCTCGCCAAGATGTGCAGCTGCTGGAGAGCGTTCTCCAGTAATTACACGTTATTGAGTGAGTGAGTGGGTGAGTATGGCTTTATGCGACTCCGGGGGTGAATGATTGAAGGATGAGGGTATGGGAGGTGGTGGTGAAGGTGCCACAGACAGATCTGGTGTGGGTGAGACAAGCAGTGGGCCGGATCATTGATGGTGTAGTATTGGAGTGAGTGAGTATGGTTTTACGCCGCTTTAAGCAATACTCCAGCAATATCACGGCGGGGAACACCAGAAATGGGCTTCACACATTGTACCCATGTGAGGAATCCAACCCGGGTCTTCTAAATGACTCGCAACGCTTTAACCACTAGGCTACCCCACTGCCCCTACACGTAACTGTAATTAAAACCACCAGCATATAATAACGTCTAGACGTTTAGCCAACTTTGCGATGGAATCTTACAGAAACAGAGTACGAGTCTGAGAGAAGTGTTGATTCTGTTATGGCGTTCAAGCCGGTCCTCCAGCTTCAGTCTCGTTCCCCCACCAACCCCGACTACAAACAGTGGCGGGACAAGGTCCGGAGCCTCCTGTACCAACCTCCCATCAGCCTCCCCCCGCCGCCGCCACTACACGTGCTGCTTGACATCAAGGTCAAGGTGAGTTAGTAGGAATCCAGAAAGGAGGAAGTTGGGGATGTCATTTTTCAATATAAGAAAATCAGTGTTTCGGAGTATATTCTGACTCACCACCTTCATCGCCCGATGAGGGGCGGTGGGGTAGCCTTGTGGTCTAAGCGTTCGCTCAACCCAGGTTAGATTCCCCACATGGGTACAATATGTGAAGCCCATTTCTGGTGTTCCTCGCCATGATATTGCTGGAATATTTCTTAAAAGCAGCGTAAAAACATACTCACTCTCTCATCGCCCGATGAAGGAACACAATGTTTCAAGGGATGACGGAGTAAGAATGTACTCTGAAACGTTGTGTTCCTTAGAATAAAGAATTTGACATCCATCATTATAAAGTTAATTTTCCCTTTATATGATTGACTTCCAAATGTCATTCAAAGACATTAATAGGAGTCCAGCTAATGGATGCACCCGGTACTCAGACGGTCAGAACCTTTGCCAAGCATTGATTGCTCTTCTCGATACAATTGAACTTCAATATGTGTTTAATTATCGGTTGCGTCTAAGTCATTGTTCAATTCTGGACACGGAATCTGATAATTGGAATCAGATGTGTCAAATGACCCCTGAGGTCGAATCTATTTTGTAGTCGGGAATTCGATGGCAAATACAAGAACTAAATTGTCTTTGTTCTATCTTAGTGCTCGCTAATTGCTAATCTTCGTTCCGTGCTTCCAGGTCACCATTTTCGCTGCCTACCTGTATGACGCTGTCCTGGTGTACGCACGTGCTATACACGAACTGCTCAACGAAGGGGGTGATCCGAAAAATGGGACTGCTGTGTTTGAAAAGATCCGGAACAGGACTTACGAAAGTGCGTCAAATACGTTCGTACTATGTGCTGTGTATTATAAGTGGCATATAACCCATAAATATCAAGTATGATACAAGGATCAAGTAATTGACTCGGCACTGTCTTAAACACCAAGACTTTGGACCCGTGGAGATCTGGGTTAGAATTTGTCTATAGTAACTCATACTTATCATAATATTCGACAAATGGGATCGGCGGTCATTGTATCCCAGTTGCGTAGATCGATGCTCATGATGTTGATCACTGGATTGTCTTGTCCAGACTCGATTCTTTACAGACACCGCCATATAGATTGACTATTGCAGAGTGCGGCTTTAAACAACAGGTGATTGATTTGTGCATGTCATCGTGTACCTATTTTTGAGATCGATGGTCATGATATCAGTCACAGGACTGGCTGGTCCAGACTTGCTTGTTTACATACTGCCGTCGGTACGATTCGGTAGCCTAGTGGTTAAAGCGTTCGCTTGTCACGCCGAAGACCCAGGTTCCATTCCCCACATGGGTACAATGTGTGAAGACCATTTCTGGTGTCCCCCGAGGTGATTTTGCTGAAATATCGCTAAAAACTACACTCACTCATTACATACCGCCGTCATATAACACGAATAGTACTGAATGCGACGTTAAGCAGATAAAGAAACTACATATATGTCACAGGTATAGAGGGTCATCAGATTTACATTGACGAGAAGGGGGATGCCGAGGCCAACTACACCGTCCTGGCGTTACGGAGGGACAACAACACCTTCGGCTACGACCTGAAACCCGTGGGCTGGTTCTTCAGAGACTCGTCCAATAAATACATCGTAGGTTCTGTCTGTTTGTTTACGTGCATACGAAAGTGTATATTTGTGGTAAAAGTAAACCGAAAGGCAATGTATGAAATAAGGCGTCCTACCGCCCGATACGGGCTTGATTTCTGACGGACGGTCTAAATTTACAGCTTGCCAGCCGGATGGTGTGGTAATTTTTTAAAATGTTCCATACATCTGAGTAAATTCACCCGTGAAGGTCCGGGTCAGAATAAACCTTCAGTAATCCATGCTTGTCGTAAGAGGCGACTAACGGGATTGGGTGGTCAGGCTCGCTGGCTTGGTTGACACATGTCATCGGTTCCCAATTGCGCAGATCGATGCTCATGCTGTTGATCACTGGATTGTCTGGTCCAGACTCGATTATTTACAGATCGCCGCCATATAGCTGGAATATTGCTGAGTGCGGCGTAAAACTAACTCACTCACCGTATCTTGCTGTCTGGTCTGGTTAAATCCATTTTGGGCTAGTAACATTTTGAAGTTACCAGTGCTGAGGTCTGGCTGCGTTTTTGGCTTATTTCATACACTGCTGAAGGCAACGGATAGTGTGACATACAAGAAGCAGAGTTAAACTGTTACTGCCGCGAATGAAATATCATTACATGGAAAGGCAAACGTTTCAAGGTAACGATCAACAGTCCGTAAGAACAGCGCAAGTGGCATATGCAAATAAGCCAAAACACAGAACTAGGTTCACAAGCAAGTTCACACGATCAGTAGCGAGTGTGCCATCAGGTACCTTCTCATTGAGGCCACCAAACGTCACTCACTCACTCACTCACTCCCACTCACTCACTCACTCACTCACTCACTCACTCACTCACTCACCCACCCACACTTACTCACTCAATTGTCCATACAGGAGTTTGTTGAGGACCTCCCCGTCTACAACACCGGATCAGTCCCCCTTGATGAGCCACTGTGCGGGTACGGTGGAGAAAGGTGCAAACCTATAGATAGTGAGTTGATTCAATGTTTATAACGTATATAATACTTTATGTGTTCTCATGTTGTTGATCACTGGATTGTCTTATTCAGATCTGGGTTCGATTCCGCATGGGTATAATGTGTGAAGCCCATTTCTGATGTCAAATACCTTGATATTGCTGAAATATTGCTAAAAGCGGCGTAAAACTATACCCACTCACTTACTCATCCTCTGTTGACAAAATGGCGTCAACGGCCATGCATTATCTGAGAGATGCAATCAAAGCGTTTTGTCTGTTGTCTGTACAATTCAATACATATATTTGTGTCGTTGCAGATTATGTCGGATTTATTGTCGGCGGATGTTTGGGAAGTCTGACACTGATTGCCGCCATCATCCTGCTCGTCGTATACAGGTAGGTTCACGCTTACAGAATAACAAGGATGCTCAAGCAAAGATTTAATGTTCTCAGATTATTTTTAAACTTGCCATGCAGCAAGCCGTCTTCCTTAGACGGTAGAAACCCTGAAGCAAAATCGAGGAAAAAACGACTCTCATGTTAAGTTCCGGACAATGTATTCGTTCAGAAGCATGTGTTTAAGAGAACTCATTCATGAAAAAGACTAAACATTATTCATCGCCTTGAAAATATGACGATCAAGAGAACAATAACATTTCGAATTTGTCCATGTTTTCGTGAAAACCAAGATCACATATTATAATTCATAGCTGATAATTCAGCCCAATGAGAATTGTTGGATTTGCTTGTATGTTTATCAAAAATGTCGGATAGTTATTCAGTCCGGGACCTATTCAAATGTAAATGGTAAACCAAAAGTTAAACTCAATAAAACGAAAAAACGTCCGTTTTAAAGAGGAACTATTGCGTTATACAAGCAGTCAACAGCTGTCCCAGCCTATCGCTGTACTGACTGCGGCATAAAACATCATTCACTCTATTTGTAAGGAACTGGCGTTATGAGCAGGAGTTGGCGAGTCTCATCTGGAAGATAGACCTGAAGGACATTCAGCAGCAACCGGGGGCGGCTCTCTCCGTCCTCTCCTTCGTCAGCAACACCGTGGTAAGTGCCAACCTTGTACTATATGTTATAGGGTACAGTTGCGTCCCTTGATCGTGCTAGGATCCTATGGTCGTGTGTTCGATTCGAACTTTCGCCCTGATTTTGATCAAACATTTGTCTCAGCAGTAACTAATTTCGTGGGTTTCATCAGTGTAGAACGTTTCTAAAATCGTCATTACTGTGGGCTTCCACACGTGTTATAACTGAAGTACTGACTGTTCAAAGCAAAGTACAGTATTGTTTGACCTCATTCACTGTATGTAATTCTGAAATAAATCCCAATGTCTGCCGAGGATAGTGTGTATGGCCTACAACAACGACACGAATAACGATATTTACCTTTACTGTGTAATTTTTAATCTATGACATAAATCGTAGAGAGAGCAAGAACTTTTTTTACGATGAGTGAGTGAGTGAGTTTAGTTTTACGCCGCACTCAGCAGTATTCCAGCTATACGGCGGCGGTCTGTAAATAATCGAGTCTGGACCAGACAATTCAGTGATCAACAGCATGAGCATCGATCTACGCAATTGGGAATCGATGACATGTGTCAACCAAGTCAGCGAGCCTGACCACCCGAACCCGTCAGTCGCCTCTTACGACAAGCATGGCTTACTGATGATCAATATGTTTTTACAATATGTGGAGATATTGTAATTACAGCTGAAGAACAAACGTAAACACGGATCTTGATATATCTAACATGACCCTTACCTAAACAGTTAAATTATTAACATATACATCTCATCTGGAAGCTAGAGGATTATATGTATACGTGAGAAGTGTAAGGGCTGATTGGTCCTTTGTATACAGTTCATAAGTTACACGTGCGTGCGTGTGCGCGTGAGGTAGGAGTGAGTGAGTGATAGTACGTGACCCTAAATATGACGTTTGCCAATATTTGTACTGACGTTATGTATATCTGTTGAGATAATTGGATCAGAGCAAAATTCTCATTTTAGCAGCCCTAATGTCTGAACCACTAAACATGAAAGTGCTCATTGTATCACGTTTTCCTCTCATTCATATGAAAATAAGGGATAACTTAATGTTGTAGTATAACAGTGCCAAAATTTACCTTTTTGGCACTGTTATATAAGGTATAACATGGCATTCTAAATATATATATTTCTTAAAGTGATGCTTTGTGATACTTATACTTTAAGGGTTGATATTTATAACAAATATCCTAAACCACAAAGCCTTTGGCACCGTTTACGGGGAAATGAAACACCAATAAAATCATCGCGCCTTGGTTGTTTTAACGTGTAATCTATGTTGGATTTTTGCTTGTTGTTTAACGCCGGATTCAGCATTATAGCAGTTTTATGACGGCGGTCTGTAAGCAATCGAGGCTGGATCAGACAGTCCGGACGACTCCAGTGATTGATAGTAAGAACACAGGTCTACATTAACTAACGGTATTTAAGGTCTACACTAAACATGACCAGTCAATCCTGTGATTGGCTGCTATTGTGACTAATTTTGGATACGAAGGTATTTATCAACCATGCATGTGTGCGTGATCTACATGCCTATTGGAAAAGTCAGTGAAAAACACACCTATGATCTTAAGACTACTCCAGACCCGTGAAGATCCGGGTTAGAATTGATCTTCAGTAGCCCATGCTTGTCGTAAGAGGCGACTAACGGGATCGGGTGGTCAGGCTCGCTGGCTTAGATGACACATGTCAGCGGTTCCCAATTGCGTAGATCGATGCTCATGCTGTTGATCATTGGATTGTCTTGTCGAGACTCGGTTATTTACAGACCGCCGCCATATAGTTGGAATATTGCTGAGTGCGGCGGAAAACTAAACTCACTTTGCCACTATGACTACTCCAGGGTCTACAGAAGAGTCAGAAAAGTCTAAGCTTCGTGCAGGATCGCAGTGAGCAGAAGTTTACCAAGGCTGGCGTCTACAGAGGCACGTTGGTCGCCATGAAGCTGGTGAAGAAGCGACAGCCAGACCTCACAAGGGACGTCAAATTGGAGCTCAAGCAGGTCAGTACAGGTTATCATGGTGGCTCAAACAGGTCATTGATGGTCATCATGGTGGCTCAAACAGGTCATTGATGGTCATCGTGGTTAAAAAAATAAGTCAGTGTTGGTTATCGTAGTGGAAAAAACGGGAAGGGTGTGAGCGGAGAGTACACCTCTAATTTACTTGGTTGCGACAACAAATTCAATGATATGGGTGTTCCTTGATATTGAACCAACACGCCAGCGAGGGTGGTCTTGCCATCAATGGCGACATATATCGTTCTGCAGAATTGTCTCCCTTAGGTACACCAGAAACCTGTGATTGATGGTCCGAATCCCGATCTGTCCTGATGATGTTTCATGGTTTTGTCGTGTTTTTCACCAAAATGGTAAACGTTTATGATCTACACAATTATCCGCCCACAAGCTGACAATAACTCAAGTACAAATATAAGTAGTCAACCTGTAATAAAACTATTATATTCAACTCACTTTATCATGTCCTAGATGAGAGACCTGCGTCACGACAACATCGTGCAGTTCATTGGCGCATGCGTGGAACCCAGTGAGGTCTACGTCATCACGGAGTATTGTCCTAAAGGAAGTCTGGAGGTAACTGTTTCTCTACAAAATCAGCTTGAGCCAAGATGGAGATTTATAAGTTTAATTGTTAAATATACCATATTATGCATAGGTCAAATTTGATGTATAAACTCCTCAGTAACTTATTAATAGCATCAATGTTGGTGAATGCTAAGTTTTGAATACATAAGTGCAAAAATGCACAGTTTAAGTTTGTGACGATCCGCGGTTGTCTTATTCGGGATAAGAATAAATATATCCCATTATTCACATGACGTCATCACCGCTATGACACTATGTCATATGATGTCATCAAGACATGTTTAATCCACGTTTAATCCCGCTTTTATTACTTTGCGTGTATAATCCCAAGGGCCAGTAATCGTTTCAGTGTAGGGATAATGATATTTATTCTAAATTATTTTCACATTACCTGTGACCCGTGATTTCCGGGTTAGATTTGATCTTCAGTAACCCATGCTTGTCGTAAGAGGCGACTCACGGGATCGGGTGGTCAGGCTCGCTGACAGGGTTGGCACATGTCATCGGTTCCCAAATGCGCAGATCGATACTCATGCTGTTGATCCTAGGATTGTCTGGTCCAGACTCGATTATTTCAGACCGCCGCCATATAGCTGGAATACTGCTGAGTGCGGCCTCAAACTAAACTCACTCACTCACTCATGTTACCCGTGAGGCCGTGCCATAGAGAAATATCCACCATGCATAGTTAACATGGCAACGATTCGGAATCTGCCACTGAATCCAAAAGATTCCTGAGTATGACATCCATGATTTCTATTACTTGAATGTAACAACACACGTTCATTAATCCGAGTCGTTTGAAACGCCATTATAGTGTGTGAAGAGTTGCCTCCCTTAGACGTTTCCGACGTCAGTGACAGATTCACCCATGATTATGTTTGAGGTCTATTAGCACAGTATTTGTGAGTCAGTGAGTTTAGTTTTACGTCGCTTTTAGCAATATTTCAGCAAAATCACGGCGGGGGACACAAGGAATGGTCTTCACACATTGCACACATGTGGGGAATCGAATCCAGGTCTTCAGCGTGACGAGCGAACGCTTTAACCACTAGCCTATCCCACCGCCCTTGTGACTGAGGGTTTCACCAACATAGTAACGCCTAAGACCTAATCACTTTGTGCTTATACCGTCATTATGTTGACAGTTCGTGATATGACTGGAATCTCTCTAAATCACTGTAAAATGAAAACTGTTGAAGATGCTGAACCATTTTAATTCTTCTTTAGGACATTCTGGAGAACGACGACGTCAAACTCGACACCATGTTCATTGCCTCCATCGTCGCCGACATACTCAAGGTGATTGAACGTGTAGGATTATTTCGACAGCAGATAATCTCTTGCTCCCTATTAATTGATCAACCTAATTTTCACCATAACATAGAGTAATGCATTAGCTAATGGTTTTCCAAAAAACCTTGGATGAAGCAGGCGTGGTGCTTTAACAGGTCGTCTTACAGGCTGTGTTATAGACTTGGGAAAATAGTTCGGGTTTTCAGTAATGGTGTAATAACTGTCTGGGGATCATATGATTGGAACTTATGTGAGATGTCATTTTATATTTTAACAAGCCGTATTGCTTTGACTTTGGAAAATAGTGTAGTTCGGGTTTTCAATAATGGTGTTTTTTGTTTTAAAAATCAATAACTGTCTGGGGATCATATGATTGGAACTTATGTGAGATGTCATATTATATTTTAACAAGCCGTATTGCTTTGACTTTGGAAAATAGTGTAGTTCGGGTTTTCAATAATGGTGTTTTTTTAAAAAAAAAAATCAATAACTGTCTGGGGATCATATGATTGGAACTTATGTGAGATATCAATTATATTTTAACAAGCCGTATTGTTTTGCTGCATCAGGTTTGAACGTAAAAACTCAGTTGATACCATTTCTGTGTATGATACACACTAACGTTTCGTGCTTGTCACAGTTTACGAGCTAGTGATGTATATGTAACTCCACTGATCCCAAACACCTCACTGTTTTTATGTTTGTCTACGTATGTTTTTCAAACACTGCTATTTTATCTGTTATTACACATCAAGAACTCGATGTACCCTGTTGTTTTACTTGTCATAGTTTAGCAATATCTTATGTTAGTTTATTGGTAAGCAGCGCGGATGACAAAAAGCACAATGTACCTTATTAACGTGTTAGTGACAGCAGTGTTTCCCAAATAGTGCTAGTCTGTTGTACGCTGATAGTAAACACCTCAATGTACCCAGTTTTCGTGTTGTCAGGGCATGGTAGTGTTTCTCAAATAGTGCTAGTCTGTTGTACGCTGATAGTAAACACCTCAATGTACCCAGTTTTCGTGTTGTCAGGGCATGGTAGTGTTTCTCAAATAGTGCTAGTCTGTTGTACACCGATAGTAAACACCTCAATGTACCCAGTTTTCGTATTGTCAGGGCATGGTAGTGTTTCTCAAATAGTGCTAGTCTGTTGTACGCTGATAGTAAACACCTCAATGTACCCAGTTTTCGTATTGTCAGGGCATGGTAGTGTTTCTCAAATAGTGCTAGTCTGTTGTACACCGATAGTAAACACCTCAATGTACCCAGTTTTCGTGTTGTCAGGGCATGGTAGTGTTTCCCAAATAGTGCTAGTCTGTTGTACGCTGATAGTAAACACCTCAATGTACCCAGTTTTCGTATTGTCAGGGCATGGTAGTGTTTCTCAAATAGTGCTAGTCTGTTGTACGCTGATAGTAAACACCTCAATGTACCCAGTTTTCGTGTTGTCAGGGCATGGTATACGTACACCAGAGTGACGTGGGGAGCCATGGTGACCTCAAGTCCTCCAACTGCCTTGTGGACAGTCGGTGGGTGGTCAAGATCAGCGACTTTGGCCTGAACAAGTTCAAGAGTGGACAGGAGATACCGTATCATGGCGAGCATGCTCTATATAAACGTAAGTTGTGCTATCAGAGGAAGCGTACATATAATCATGCATTTCACGCTCTTCTGTTGGAATATTGAATGAGAAAAAAAGAACTATCACATAAACAAATATATGCAATATTCCAGAGATACCGTATTGAATAGCACTTTGGTCAGATTAGTGGTTAATATCATGAGCAACACGGCCTGTATTGAGCAGCACCTTGGTCAGACAACTGGTTAATAGCATGAGCATCAGTAGCACCTTGGTCAGACCAGTGTTTAATATCATGAGCATCGAGGCCCGTATTGAACATCACCTTGGTCAGACCAGTGGTTAATAGCATGAGCAACCATGAAGGTGCCAATATCATTTCATAATTTCGATTGAGAGCATTACATTTTATAAAAAAAAATCGACATACGGTTCGAACATATAACATAAACCGATTTTGTTTAAGTGAAAGGAATGTCTTTGGGAGTTTCTGTGAGTCCAGTACAGAGCCACGGTGTCAAATACTGCTCGTAATCCCCCCAAAACAGTAGATCGCGGGGTAACAATGCGTCACTTTATTGACAGGTAATCTGTGGATGGCTCCTGAACTCCTTCGTCTGTCTAAACCCCTCCGAGGGGGGACACAAAAAGGGGACGTCTATTCCTTTGGTATAGTCCTGTACGAGATCCTGCTCCGGTCCGGCCCATGGGGGAGTGTCATCTCACGCCAAAAGGTACGTGTTTGTTATAAGTCATACTAAATACAGTTGTAAGTGAGTGTCCTGTTACGCTGATTTAAGCACTATTTCAGCAATATCTCGGCAAGGAACACTGGTAACATTCTACACACTTCTGCGTGACAAGGGATGGATTCAACCGCTGGACAATTCCACCGCAACAAGGCAGCTTTTAACAGTCACAGAAATGTACCGTTTTGTTGAATCTCACAGGATGGTGCCAGACCAATTATTACTGAGGTAAACCTGTGATACGAACCCATGATCGGCGGATCCTGGAACGGCTAAGGGGCGGAACTCGGCAGAGTTCTTGCCCTCTTATACCACTTGGGCCTAATCTAAAGATGTTCTGAAACCAAAGTTTTAATGGATACTATATAACTTTATGGTGGATAAGGGACACAGTATGGCTGAGAGGTTTTCAAAAGATCTTTCTTTTAAATGTCTGTATAAGATATATAGGCCGTACATCGTACAGAACAATGGACATTGGTTTATATAACAGTATCACGGTTCTGTCATGACGTCATATCCGCATCTTCAAACATTCGCTCGCAACTTGAAGACTTTGTTAATTGGACGATATTGTCCTTAAGAAGGTAGTGGCTTGATCCCCACAGATGTGAGTGAGCCGTACGGATAAAGGCAGTGGCAGAACGGTTGGTTCTAAAGTAATCGAGATATGGCAATCGTTATAGGGAAGATAGGTAACGGTAATCACTGTGAGAATTGTGAGAATATTTACGGACATACCAGACTTAACACTCTATGCATAAAACTGAGCGTCTCATATTGTTGCAGTGTGATTGTCTTCATCGAGTCGACAATCTATAAATATGGGTTCTTATGTTTTAAAGTTACGTTTTATTAACATCTTTTAATAGGCTGTACATAATGTTGATATCTCATATACAAAATGAACGACTCTTGGTCTTTGTTTATCGTACAATAAAACGCTTCAGGGAGAGTAGAGCATTCGGGTCTGCGTCAGTCGTGGATTATTCTGTCTGCAGTATTTTATTGTACGATAAACAACTCCCCATTGTCGTTTTGTCTTAAATATACGGTCTTGAAGCAATAATGGTTATGTGTCTAACAGCTTAATGTTCTTCGGTTGAAAGCCCTGGTTCAAATCAATGTGATAAATTCTATTAAACTAGGAAAGGATATTCAAGTAAAAGTTGTCACAACTATTGATATTATATACAGTACACCCTGGTTATAATGACACCGTTTGTCCAGGAGAAAATATGGCATTATATCCAGGGTGACATTATAACCAGGTACGACCGTTGAGGCCCTATGCAATCAACGAGGTGATTGAGCTGATGTCTCCTGTAATGAGCCTTGAATGACGGGATAAACCCAGTGTCTAGGGACTGCGGGTGACTTGTTCAAGGTGACAGGAAATGTATTGTCACATGTGTTATCCTATCTGGCATTACAAGACTACTTAAAGCATTATACTGAGTTTTAGCAATTAATTCTAGTCATGTTAATTAACCAATTAAGATATGTATACTACATGCAGCCAGTGTAATTGGCATTATAACCAGGGGAAAATGACTTATTGTTCCAAAAAACCAATGGCAAATGGCATTACATCCAGTTTGGCATTATAACCAGGGTATCATATCGGCATCTTTTTAATAGTATATATGTAAAGGTAGCAATCTTTGAACAGTGGAAACAACATTTGAAGTCCATAAAGTACTAAAACTTATAAAATGGTGTTGCAAACAGAAGCTTCGTGCTATGTATACTTTTCTCAAATGGTGACAATGGTTTAAAATTATAACTAAATGATCTCATCTTCTGCAAAGCGTCCGCTCACCACGCCGAAGACCCGGGTTCGATTCCCCACATGGGTACAATTTGTGAAGCCCGTTTCTGGTGTCCCCCGCCGTGATATCACTCACTTTACTGAAGTTGTTCTGATACCTATATTAATCAATCTACGATTAGTGCGGTGTTCATATTGCCAAGTCCAATTCGATGCTTTGGAAATATGGGGTTCAAAAGAAACATCCTGATTCCTATCCCATTTTATAGCCCGTTAGATTAAATTGCTCATTTTTTCATTTGTACGAACCATTAAGATGGAGCGAAAGACCTCTTTGAAAGTCAGAAAACATATCTGTGTCAGGAATTCACGTCGAGATTAAACTTGAAATCCTTCATACTGTATTTCCAAAGCAGGCTGTGCTTCAATCTGAACGGTAAATTGCTCCTGTTTAAAAAATCATTATACAGTTAATTCTATATCAGTACGCGGATCTCGTCCTTTTTCTGCTGACCTATTGAACGAGGGTCATTTCATGAATAAATATCAAATCTGTCATTCATCCTCCCTGTGTCACAGAACAAAGACACGACTCGGGCCCCGTTTCGCTCAGATGCAATAATTACTGTCAGTCTTTGTGAATGGTGGTTTCGTATTAAAACATGACTAGATTTTCCTTTCGTTAAACTCCCCTCGTGAATACATGTACTGTGCGTGCATATGGTGCTGTGAATCAAGTAGTTTTTTAAGCGAAAATGAAGATTTTTTTCGCGTAAAGAACCGACTTTGATGTTTTTTTGACTGGAGAGATCCAGCGTTGCCTGGGTTTAGTATCTGTGGAACAGAGTGTAATCGGCTACTGTGGTGCACTGTGGTATTTATCTGGAAACCGAGTCCTCAGCATCAGACACACAGTCTCTAAAAGCCCTGTATTTAAAAAAACGTAACTTGTTTTTGCTTTGGGATATGCAGATCTATTTCAGTGGTTTACAGAATTTAAAGGAAGGTCTTTACGATGAACCTATACACTTTTTAATCGTTTCTCCTCTGTGTATTCCTGCAAGTTGTGCTGATTGTAAGAGTGATAGAGTGAATGTGGTTTTACGCCGTTTTTAGCAATATTCCAGCAATATCACGGCGGGGTACACCAGAAATGGGTTTTACACATTGTACCCATGTGGAGAATCGAACCCGGGTCTTCAGCGTGACGAGCGGACGCTTTAACCACTAGGCTACCCTTACCACCCCGCTGGTTGTAAGAGGTGACTTAACGGATCGTGTGGTCAGTCTCGGTGTGACTTGGTTGATACAACGTCGTCGTAATCTGACGGCATGGGTCGTTGCTTATGTCACAGCTTTGTCTCGCTTTTAACAGATTCCATTATGTACAGTGAGTGAGTTTAGTTTTACGCCGCACTCGGCAACATTACAGCTATATGGTGGCGGTCTGTAAATAATCGAATCTGGACCAGACAATCCAGTGATCAACAGCATGAACATCGATCTGCGTATTAGGGATACGATGACATGTGTCAACCGAGTCAGCGAGCCTGACCACCCGATCCCGTTAGTCGCCTGTTATGACAAGCATTGGTTACTGAAGATCAAATCTTACCCGGATCTTCACGGGTTCATTATGTACAGACCGCCTTCATATTCATGAATGTGTCATGAACATGAACATGAACATGAACATGAACAACATCAAATGCTACCCTGTGTTATAACTGTACGGGATGGGTAAACTGACAAACAAAAGAAAGTATACACCTGCAATTTTGATTTAATCCAAACATTCCAAAGCGTTATATGAAGCTTACTAACCGGAAAACTGCCAAAACACTGGAAAAGTAAGGTCCAAAACACAAGCATAAGAAATTAATCTCCATCAAATAACAATTTACTGGCAGTATAAAAATCGAAGATTAAGAATATCGTTACCCAGATGATTGTCGACATTTCGTTACTCGATGTGACAGGGCTCTGTAGGCTTATAATTGCAGTCAAAATCTGTAATTACAGTTGCATGCAGCAGAGCTTGGTGGTCGTGTGGTAAATGGACACGCTCGTCATGCCAAAGATACGGTTTCGATTACCCATATGGATATAATGTATAAGATGGATCCCCGCCTCAATAATGTTGGAATAATGCTGAAAACGGCGTTAAACCATTTTCACTCAATACACTGTCAGATTTCCTGTTAATGCCTTGTTTGTGTATTTGCTTCGTGTTCAGTAACGCACAGTCTGCAATGTTCAAGTTACATGACGACGACCTGTAAATAATTGAGTCTGGATCAGATAACGGATCAGTGATTGTAATACTAAGAGTGTGAGTGAGTTTTACGCTGCTTTTAGCAATATTACAGCAATATCACGGCGGGGACACCAGAAATGAGCTTGACATGATGTACTCATGTGGGGAATCGAACCTTGGTCTTCGGCGTGACGACCGAACGCTTTAACCACTAGGCTACCCCACCGCCCCCTCATCTGAGACTTAAAATGCTGTTCAAAGCCAAGACATTTACTCACACGTATGGGCGGCGGGGTAGCCTAGCCTACTCCAATTCCGGGGTTCGATCTTCACATGGTTACAATAAGAGAAGATCATACCTTGTCTTCACTGCAGTGATGTTGTTGGAATATTACTAAAAGCATTGTAGGACCCGTGAAGATCCGGGTTAGAATTGGTCTTCGGCAGCCCATGCTTGTAAGAGGCGACAAACGGATCGGGTGGTTAGGTTCGTTGAGTTGGTTGACACATGTCATCATATCCCAATTGCGTAGATCGATGCTCATGCTGTTGATCATTGGATTGTCTGGTCCCGCCATATAGTTTGAATATTGCTTAGTGCAGCGTAAATCTAAACTCACTCACTCACTCACTCACTCATTGTCACCCTTACGATCAACATTGGAATAAAATGGTTTTGTGTTGACATAGAATTTACCTGGTATCTGTCGTGAATGCACCTTGTGTTTACCTTGTGTTTACCAGAGATTGTGGCAAAGGTTAAAGTTGGCACTGACGAATCTGGCATCTACTTCCGTCCTAACCTGGCCCGCATTACATGGGACAGTTACGTCATCGACGTCATCAAAGACTGCTGGGACGAGGATCCGGAACAGCGACCCGACTTTAAGACGGTCAGGAAGATGCTCCGACCTATGCAGAAAGGGATGTGAGTTATTTATGTGTTTGCTGTGCAGCACTTATCAGTATACCGGCTGTGTTACGGGGCCTGTCCAAGCCTAAACTTGACAATCCAGTGACTGACATCAAGAGCAACAATCTACGCCGTCAATGTACGCTTCCAAAGCGACCGATCCGTGTTGTCGGCTCTTACGACATGTATAGGTTGGTGACGACATGATTGAACCCGGAATCCGCTCGAAGGTCTTGTATTTAGCAGACCAAAGGAAATGCTACCTCTGCTACTATCGGTGTATGTGGTCGCTCGTCCGAGTCGATTCCCGCTGTGGGTCGAGTGTGTGAGGCCCATTTGTGTAACCCCCTTCGTGATACTTTGGAATACTGCTAAAAGCGGTAGTAGACCCAACTGTGATACTTCCTAACCTATCACTCTCACATTGAATATTGTGCAATTGGATTCTTGTATTTCACAATTTGTTAAATTAACTGTTTCAATATATGCAGTTCTTTCAGTCTCAGTGGAAGGAGTTTCCTCCCTTTGTTGTTCAGGAATCGCGCCCTAATTGTGACCCGTATTTTGTCAGCACCATATCAGTGCTCTGTGGTTTTATTCAAATTGTAAACAGTCTGGGTCACAATGGGGGATCTTCACATTTAGCGGAATACGTGTAGGATAAAGCACGACTCCGAGGTTATGGTTGGGAAAGTAAGACCTGAGACCGGAGGGTGGGGAGAAGTAAGACCGGGAGCGCGTAGCGCTCGTGGTCTTACTTCTCTTCACCCGATGGTCGAGGGCTTACTTTCCCAACCATAACCGAGGAGGAGTGCTTTATTATACATATAAACCGTCAATGATGGATAATTAGATGATCATGTAATGAAGCTACATAACAGTAGCTGATGCGCTAGTAAGATCAATTTAATGACAGTAGACCTAACTATAAATAGATAATTCAACCCAAGCTTCTTTGTCGGCCCGGTGGCCGTGAGGTTGGGCGTCCGTTTAAGAACCTGATAGAAGCTGTTCCAATCATGCTAGGTAAACCATTTGCACATTAAAGTTGATCATTTACGATATATTTCAATTGATTTCAAACACTGACATATCATCTGAATTTGAATGATGATGTTAATTTAGAGTTAGGAAAAAGTAAAACCTGGGAAGAGGTCTTACTTGCAAAAAGTAAAACCTGGGAGCAAACAAAAACCTCAAATGCGGTTATTCCGGGAAAAGAAGCCATGTCAAATATACAGTGAGAAGCACCCTTCAGGTTTACAAAAGTCATGTTTGTCAGGGCGGAGTTTAACTAAACGTATTATTACGTTTTGAAACAGGAAGTCCAACATCTTCGACAACATGATGATCATCATGGAGAGGTACGCCAATAATCTGGAAGCAGTAGTCGCGGAGAGGACGGTGGAGTTGGCGGAGGAGAAGAAGAAGACGGATCTGTTGCTGTACAGGATGTTGCCGAAGTGAGTTAGGGGATCGTGGATTCTGGGGATTAGTGTTGGGAATTGGTTAAAATCTCATAATTGATGATTGGCTTATTACAACCGATCAATCATCGAAAAAAATTGGTTAGCGTCATTAATGAAATTTGTTAATGCACATAAAAATAAGGAATAAACATGTAGTTCTTTTGGGTGTTTTTGGCAAAATTTCACATCTTTAAAGGATGACTAGTATGTCAGGAACATAAATATCTTGGAGTCCTTAAGATAAATTCAATCATGACATGAAACGAGCTTGTAGTGCTTATGAAATGTAACAGACAAAACCAACCTTGTGAAAAATATTGTTTATGAAAACAAGTGTTCCAGAATTGTTTGTGTTCGAGTATGAGAAAACATGATCGATTGCTTGGTCGTTTAGTCACTGCGACCAATCTTCGATTATTTCAATTAATCGGATCACCACTACTGGGGATGAATATATTTGGCGGTTTAGGGACCTGTCATTTTCGATTTTGGCCGTGATGCGCTGCGTTGATGATTATGCTGGTTTGGGACGGGTAACAGTTAGGGATGCTTTGGGTGGGGACGGTTAGGGTTCGGGTGGTAAGGGGCAACGTTGGTTGAGAGGATGAGCGGACAGGGCTCGCTGTGTCGCTCGACTTTGTTGGTTGTATGGCGATTGATGAAGGTTTGGGGGTAACCTGCTGGTTACCGATTGGGCTGGTGATAACGGTTTGGGTGCGTGGGATTCGTGTAATTAGGGAAAGGATGTTTGAGGGATGACACGACCTGTCTTGCTTTGTTGGAAACCGTTAGTGTGCGCGGATTTGTGGGAAGGGTTTGAGAGGATGAGGATAGTAGAGATGGGAACATGTGGGCGAGCTGAGTGTAGTGTCACACGGGATGGGTGAGGCGAGAACGATCGGAGGTTCTGGCCGGGTTATGTTATTGGTAAAGAACTCACTCACTCACTCACTTAAATCCCACTTTCTCTCTAACTCACTCACTCACCCGCTCAACCACATACACACCTACAACCACCCACTCACTCACTTAAATCCCACTTTCTCTCTAACTCACTCACTCACCCGCTCAACCACATACACAACTTCAACCACCCACCCTCTCACTCATCCACTCACTCACTCACACGCTCACTCACCCACTCACTCACCCACTCACTCTCTCCAATGATATACCCCTCCAGGAGTGTAGCTGCCCAACTGGTCCGCGGACAACCTGTCATACCTGAGGCCTTCGACCTCGTCACCATCTACTTCAGCGACATCTGCGGCTTCACAGCGTTGTCGGCTGAGAGCACACCTTTACAGGTAAGTGTTGAGTCTATTTAATCTCTCAGTCGCTATTTCATATTTGTCCAAAACGGGCGCATTCAAAACCTCACCCTCGTTTTTTGTAGGAATATAGAAATCATCTTTTTACCGTTATAATAAAACCAACGCGATTTTACGATTATACTACTTTACATATCATTTAATCATCCGTTTTTATAGCTTTTACAATATTACAAATCATTTCTTATATCCTACCGTTAATAAAACCTTTATAAAAAGGAAATGTTGAAGCTGATGAAACTGAACGTTGTCGTCAATCATCATTTAAGGCTCACAGCTTGCTCAAAAATGTCAATACGACTTATACTCCTAAAAACTTTATATTCTATATTTCAAATGGCAAACACGTTTCGTCGTACAGCAATGATGATTGAGGGGACGTTTACATCCACGCTCTTATAATGCTGCTGAAATAATCATCGATTTCTGAAAATACCATATTCTTTGGAAAGGAAGTTTATGGATACAATTATGCACTATATCCAATGCGAAATGGGAATTTGATTTTTTTTAAATTGTACAACGTTGCAATTTCTGAGGTCTGCTTGACAATCTTGTAGCTGTGTCAGTCTGACCTCGTTCATTCCTTTGTGCAGCATCCTACAAAAACTGACCACGGAGATATGTTTTCAATCCCTTCAGTTTTTATTAATTTCTACGTGAAATCCATTACGCGTATAATTGAAAATTAAAATAAAATTATATCGCCTTTAAGCCGTTTCATATGAGGATTCGAACGTCATTGCAAATCTAGATCTTGGTTTCTAGATCACATTTGCGATTTGTTGTTTATTCAATTGCATATATTCGTTGTTATAACAGCAAGTATGCGTGTGGCATGCAATTTATGCGTGAATGACCAGTCGAAGAAATTACATTATGATCTCACATACACCACTTAAAAACTGAACGACCATCCGATTCTTTAATATTCCTGGCTACTGTAAATCTGTTTTAGCAAGTGAGTGAGTGAGTTTTGTTTTACGCCGCTTTTAGCAATATTCCAGCAATATCACGGCAGGGGACACCAGAAATGGCTTTCACATTGTACCCATGTGGGGAATCGAATACGGGTCTTCGGCGTGACGAGCGAACGCCTTAACCACTAGGCTACCCCACGGCCCCTTGTTGTAGCAAGACGTACATAATACTAACAGTCATGGTGCTAATTCATCTCTTTATGGGCCCATGGCCCATTTCTGCATGATGGTTGGTCTGTTGTTTAACGCCGGACTCAGAAATATTCCAGCTATATGGCGGCGGTCTGTAAATAATCGAGTCTGGACCAGACAATTCAGTGATCAACAGCATGAGCATCGATCTACGCAATTGGGATACGATGACATGTGTCAACCAAGTCGGCGAGCCTGACCACCCGATCCCGTTAGTCGCGTCTTACGACAAGCATTGGTTGCATAGGACCAATTCTTACCCGAATCTTCAAAGTATTTCTGCATTTACCCTTATATCAAATCTCTACATGCACCTATATAAAATATCTCTACTGCACTTTATATGAAATACCATAAAATACCACCGACTATCGCGTTACTTGGTAATAATAGATAGTGTCATTGTGAGTCATCGTTCCCTACTGGCAAGGGTTGATGCTCATGCTGTCAGTCACTTGTTGCCATACAGCTGGAAAATTGCTTACTGGGTAGTAAACAGCAAGTAACGCCGTGTTTAATCCTATTTAATCCTGTTGTGTGTTTGTGTCAGGTGGTCGACCTCCTGAACGACCTGTATACGTTGTTCGACTCCATCATCAAACACTACGACGTGTACAAGGTGGAGACTATCGGAGACGCCTACATGGTGGTCAGTGGACTGCCCAACAGGAACGGGGACAACCACGCAGGAGAGATCGCCTCTATGTCCCTCCATTTGCTGACCGCAATCAAACAGTTCAAGATGAGGCACAAACCGGATCATATTCTCAAACTCAGGATAGGACTTCACAGTGGTAAGTCGTTTTCACAGTTCTCACACACTGGACTTCACAGTGGTAAGTCGTTTTCACAGTTCTCACACATTGGCCTTTACAGTGGTACGTCGTTTCCACAGTTCTCAGACACTGACTTTACAGTGGTACGTCGTTTTCACAGTTCTCACACATGGGCCTTTACAGTGGTGCGTCGTTTTCACAGTTCTCACACACTGGCCTTTACAGTGGTACGTCGTTTTCACAGTTGTCACACACTGGCCTTTACAGCGGTACGTAGTTTTCACAGTTCTCACACACTGGTTATTACGGTAATACGTCGTTTTCACATTTCTCACACGCTGGCCTTTACAGCGGTACGTAGTTTTCACAGTTCTCACACACTGGTTATTACGGTAATACGTCGTTTTCACAGTTCTCACACATTGGCCTTTACAGTGGTACGTCGTTTTCATAGTTCTCACACAGTTGCAGGGGCCGTCCTATATTACAATAGATGAAGTTTATTTGTCTCACACAGTCCTCACACAGTCACACGTGTCTTCATAATTGTACGTCACTCTCACAGTTCCCATACAGTTCTCGCACAGTTACATGGGCCTTCATAGATGTTCAGTTGATGCACATTTGCCTTACCTCTCACAGTTAGAAGGGCTTTCGTGGTAGTACGTCGATCTCACATTTATCGTAGTTAGCATGCTGTTTTCGTACTCTTTCATAGCAATTCTCATACAACTCTCACAGTTCTCAACAGTTTTCACCCAAATTCACTTGTCAATCATCTCCTCACTCTCTCTCGCTTTCTCGCGCCCTCATATAATTACATAGACCTCCCCAGGAGTTGCTGGTTATATATCGTTCAGCATCTACATCTGATAGCTGAAAGATGGTTATGCCTTAATGTCGGGAATGTATGTCAGAGATTCTCCCAAACGCCAAACAAACTCACGAAGAAACCTTGATCAATTCCCCAAAACCTCGTGTGACTCTTTCTGTCTACCTATCCCAAAACACACATACAAACACTTCCCCTCCTCCGATACTACACGGAGCGGTGGGGTAGCCTAGTGGTTAAAGCGTCCGCTCGTCACGCTGAAGGCCCGGGTTCAATTCCCCACATGGGTACAATGTGTGAAGCCCATTCTGGTGTCCCCAGCCGTGATATTGCTGGAATATTGCTAAAAGCGGCGTAAAACCATACTCACTCCAGTACTACACCATCAATGATCCGGCCCACTGCTTGTCTCACCCACACCAGATCTGTCTGTGGCACCTTCACCACCATCTCCCCTACCCTCCTCCTTCAATCATTCACCTCCGGAATCGCATGTGACCTCTGGGTATGACGAAGTGTTGCTTGTTCGAAGACCCGGGATACCCCCGTTCTCTTCCTGTATCTCTACCCCCTGCCCCTCCCTCCCTCCTTCCTCACTTACCCACTACTTGTCTCACCCCCAGGTCCATGTGTCGCCGGTGTCGTGGGGCTGACCATGCCGAGGTACTGCCTGTTTGGAGACACGGTCAACACGTCGTCCAGGATGGAATCTAACGGTGAAGGTGAGCCTTATCTTATCATCTCTGCCAATGTCACCATGCCTTTCCTTCTGACATACACGCATAAATATCAACTGTTTTAAACATACCACCACGAGCCAAGTTCCTCATAATAAACTACATCAGTAGCAGTTGATTATATACGTGAACTTACTTAGCATAATACCCACCTGCCTACATACAGATGGTGCGCGCTTTTATGACATGAGTCATGCTGTTGCTTAATTGGAAAACAGAGATGTTTCCATACATTTAAAGAACCTGGAAAGGGCAACCATAGAAGGTGGTGATCGCAGCTTGACTGGCCTGTCTCACAGTCCCTGAACCATATTATTTTCCCTTCCGCCCAGCCCTATCTGTAACGCAAATGTACATAGTGAAGCAAGTCCAGATTTTTAACAGGTTCTCAATCTCCAATTTCGGTTGGGTTTCTTTTCATTATAAAAAGAGTTAATTGTTTCTATCAAAACAGAGCACATTGACTTGCGAAATAAGAGAGTGAATGAGGATAGTTTTACGCCTCCAGTACCAACATTCGTGCAGAGGGACACAAGAATTGGACTTCACACATTTCTGGGTGTTTTTTCGTTTTAAATAAATTAAGCGACAAACCCCTTTCCATGATCGAAAAACATATTTGTATAGTTCGATTTCTACCTTACTATTAAATAGTGACTATGATACCATGTGTTTTCGAGAAAGAGGGTCCTGTGCAATGTTGGTAGCGGGAACAAACACGTGGAAAGGCATGACAATCGTTCAATGGAACAAACATGTTGCATGCAAAAACAGAGACATTGCATTGGACAGACATTCCATGACGTGATAAGGAATTATAGGGAGTGAGTGAGTGAGCTATTACACCGCTTTGAACAGAATTTCACATTGTGTCAGCACAACGCGAACACTAGACGTTTAACAGTCACGAGTATCTTAATCTGAGAATCATCATCATCATCATTATCATTGTCGTCGTCATCATCACCACCAAATCACCACTTTATCCATCATTATTGTACATTAAGTCTTTATCCATCATTATTGTACCTGCAGTCTCTACATAACTGGATTGTGCTGTCTGCGACGGAAAATAACATTCTCTCACTCATTTAATTACACATACCCACTCACATGCTGCTCTCTGTCTCAGCCCTGAAGGTCCACGTGAGTCCAACTACCCGGGGGATATTGCAGAAGCTAGGCGGTTACTACTTGGAGGAACGGGGGCTTATCGCCATGAAGGTACCGTATTCCTGGGACATTTGATAAACACCAAGCTAAACAGAGGTTGGATGAGTTGTTTTCGAGCCGTAAATGTCATATATCAAATTATGCACGTTTTTTAATGAATTTACTTTTGGTTGTTTAATGTACACCATTGAACGTACAAAAATAGCTTAACGATGTTATTCATGTATATGTCTTGTGATACAATATTTACTTTGGAAACTATCTGTGAAGGAAAGTCGATTTCAGGGCAACCATAGGTTCAAACTAAATCAAATATCAAATATTTAATTACAAAGTACATGTACCATAGGTTTTTATCACCATTCTACCATGATGATATTCTTTTAACATTAGTATGTGTTATGAATATAGATTTCAGCATGTTAGGTAAGCTGTTTAAACAAAGTACTTAAGTGCAGTGCAGCAGCGTAAGACCAATCCATCGGATAATATTCTGTCATCAAATGGATGCAATTCGAACGGGTTATCGACAGGTAGTGTTTCAAACATCGATATGTGGGCTATCGGTAGGTCACATGTTCACGTGCAAGTCCTTTTGTGAAAAGCTTGTTACTGTTAAGGTATCTAACTGACCTAGATGCCTGATATGAATGTTTTTGAAACAATTAAAACAAGCATTCTTCAGTGTCTTGGTAAAACGCGTGTAACAATATTTGTCCTGAAGTACACCATACTTTACATGTCAACATGACATAATAAATTCTATAATATGAGGTGTCCCCATTATCCGGGTTCTGTTTACAGGGTAAAGGCGAGATGAGAACATACTGGCTGCACGGCGAAGACAAGAAGGTTCGGGAAAAGCGAACCCGGAATTCGGATGACAGTGGTGTTCACCTAGATGCCCCGGACACCTCCGACAGCCAGACCACCCCTCAGCCAGCCGAGAGCATTGCTGCTTTCAATACCAAGTCCTTCAACCCCTGTCTCAGACCGTCTCTCATATTCGAGAAGAAGAAACCCCAGTTCCCAACCCCTACCAACCTCCCAGGACAGGTGGACGGAGGGATGAGAAGCGAGCCTTCAGCGAAAGCCGAGGCGACCACTTCCGGTCGCAATCACCTCATAACTGTCTCAGAATATGATCCATATTTCGACCAAGCGGAAATCAAACCTGTTAACAAGCTTCTACCAATTTTGAGGACGAACGGTTCTAATTCCTCGAAAGAGTCTGGTAGTCTCAAAGCAAATGGTTCCAATAATTCCAGGGTTTCGTACCTCCTGAAAACAAACGGTTCCTCCCATTCGTCACGTGGTTCTTCGTCAGCGGACATCGGGAGCTCAGACCGGAAATGCACCGCAGTCCCCCTGGTTCAGATCGACATGGGAAGGTTTAAAGAGGAGGAGTCCTTGGATTCAAGCACGAATGGGGACACAAACTCCTCCGGGTCAAGGCAGCCGAACACGGTCAAATTTTCAGATGACGCAATTCTTTGATAAAATTCTATTTTAATGTTTGGTTATTTTTAAATCATGCGTGCAGGACTTTGTTGGCAGAGGTTGAGGCTGCTACGACAAAGAACTTAAACTTGATTCTATGTTCAACACATTCTTGGATTTTGTCTGTGGTTGTCTGCACGTTGAATGACAACATAACGTCACAGAAGACTTTCATGGATGTACAGTAGATGAATTCGATGCTTTCTATTTGTATTGGGGCCACAGTATGACTTGAACTGATGACCTGAGATTACACTGTGCCTGTCAGGCTTAGAAACTGACGTTAACTCCTCAACAAAAACACGAGGTCATACTGGAACTTCACGGATGTACGGAGGTTATACTGTATTTGTCTCAGATGAAATGAGGTCTTACTGTTTGTGTCACGGATGAACTGAGCTCGGCCTGAACTTGTCACGAATGAAATAGAACGCTTGCACTTGTCATGGATACAATGAGGACATACGGCATTTGTGAGCAGTGAACTGTGCTCATACTGTGTCTGTCACGGCTGAACAGTAATCATGCTTTATTAGTCACGGATGAACTAAAGTCGTACTGCATTTATCACGGATGAACTGAGCTCGTCCCGCATTTGTCACGGATTAAATATAATCTTACTGCATTTGTCACGGATACTCTGTGGGCATACTGCGTCTGTCACGGATGAAGTAAAGTCGTACTGCGGTTGTCACGGATTACATATAATCTTACTGCATTTGTCACGGATACTCTGTGGGCATACTGCGTCTGTCCCGGATGAAGTAAAGTCGTACTGCGGTTGTCACGGATTAACTGAGGTCATAATGCATTTGTCACCGATGAACTAAGTTCACACTGTGTTTGTCAAGAACGAACAGATATTATAAAATATTTAATATTACGGAAGGTCTGAGATTATAGTGTATTTGTCAGAAATACGCTGTTTGTGCAATGGATTAATGTTGGCCCCACTGCGTGACAGCAGTACTACTGTATGACCGCGGACAACCAATGCTTACGTTTTCTGTGTGTCAAACACCTGGTGTCACAACTGATTTTCAGCGGCCCAGTCATACAATTTTCACCGCTACTTTGTCGTTCACGTGGAATCTGTTACGGCGGGTAATAGATACAGTTATGGGTATGTTGAAGTTACATATCAACATATATCACGAAGTTACTCTGCAAATTACGGTTTGGGTAACATTGTAATGTATCTGTAAATATATATTATGTGTTTGCAATGTATTTTTGCGGATAAATTGAGATACAGATATGTTGCGGATAAGCAAAATAAGCCTGTCGAACAAACTGAGTTAACGATGGGATTGTTACGGATAAACAGTTGTGAAGTTACGTTGTCATTGTTCTCGTGGATCAGTGAGTGAGTGTTGTTTTACGCCGCCTTAAACAATATCCCAGCAATTTCAGGGCACCTCCTTCACACATCTGGGGAATCGAACCGGGTTTATCCGATTGGCCACTCCTATCGCCCCTTTAACATGGATCAATTGAGATAACGTTGCATAACGTCTGTTACGTTTGTACGGCTAATGCGTTATATGTTACGGGAGTTACGGTTACACTGAAGTGTCCTTGCTGACGTCACATATATATATCACGACTAATAAATCAGAAATAAGTGGCCATTGATGTCAGATGAATTTTGTTATCATCTTATATCATAAGTTACGATCCATGCCATGCCGTGTAATACCATACCGACCCGTGAAGATCCGGGTTAGAATTGGCCTTCAGTTACCCATGCTTGTCGTAAGAGGCGACTAAAGGGATCGGGTGCTCAGGCCTGGTTGACCCAAATCATTGTATCCCAGTTGCGTAGATCGATGCTCATGCTGTTGATCACTGGATTATCTGGTCCAGACTCGATTATTTACAGACCGCCGCCATATAGCTGGAATATTGCTTAGTGCGGCGTTAAACAAGCCAACCAACCATACCATATTAATACCAATGTCATTGCCATACCATACCATACCATACCATACCATACCATACCATACCATACCATACCATACCAAACCATACCAAACCATACCATACCAAACCAAACCATACCATACCATACCATACCATACCATACCATACCAATACCATACCAATACCATACCATACCATACCATACCAAACCATACCATACCATACCATACCCTAAACCATACCACCATACCATACCATACCATACCAAACCATACCATACCATACCATACCATACCATACCATACCAAACCATACCATACCATACCATACCATACCATACCATACCATACCATACCAAACCAAACCAAACCATACCAAACCATACCATACCATACCATACCATAAACCAAACCATACCATAAATACCATACTATACATACAAACCATACCATACTAAACCATACCATACCATACCATATACCATACCAATACCAACCATACCAAACCATGCCATACCAAACTATACCATACCATACCATAGCCAAACCATACCATACCATATACAATACCAAACCATAATACCAAACCAATACCAAACCATGCTAAAACCATGCCATACCATACCATACCATACCATACCATACCATATACCAAACCATACCCATAAATACCAATACCAATACCATACCAAGCCATACCATACTATACTACCATATACCAAACCATACCATATACCATATACCAAACCATACCATACCAAACCAACCATACCAAACTATACCAACCATACCATACCATACCATAACCATACCAAACCATACCATACACCATACCATACCATACCATACCAAACCATATACCATACCAAACCATACCATACCATACCATACCAAACCAAAAAACCATACCATACCATACCATAAACCATACCATACCATACCATACCATACCATACCATACCATACCATATACCAAACCATACCATACCATACCATACCATACCATACCAAACCATACCAAACCATACCATACCAAACCAAACCAAACCATACCAAACCATACCATACCATACCATACCATACCATACCATACCAAACTATACCATACCATACCAAGCCATACCAAACCAAAACCATACCACGCAATGCCATACCATACCATACCATACCACACCAAACCATATTAATACCATACCATACCAAACCATACTAATACCATACCAAACCATATTAATATCATACCAAACCATACCATACCATACCATACCACGCAATGCCATGCCATACTGACCCATACCATTCATACAAATCATACCATACTCAACCATACCTTACCATACCATGCTACAAAACGATAACATAAATGTCTCTTCGGCCGATCTCTTACACTGCTTCAATAAATCAGAGAAATGAGGCAGATTACCACTAATGATGCTGACGGCGACCACGGAATGGAAGGTTCCTGGCAAACGTACAATAGGTTCAAAGACCTCGCATACACTTCATTGTGATGTATGTAGAGTTCCTATATCGCCATACACAATACACCAGATGAATCACAGCTTAATGATAAAACGTAGGAACAAAATATCGGCTTGGGCGTCGATCAATACTCGAATTTGCTATCCCACGGGCGGAAACTGAGCAGTAATGTTGAAAATATGCAGACGCTACCCATTAAATACCCTGGCAGGCAATAGCGCTGCTGAACCCGATCCACATATTACGTTCTGTGGGATTTATACTACTTTGATAGGATGGTTTTATGAAACCCCCAAAACACGTCTTTGAGTATAAAGAGCAGATAACAATCATATGCGCTCCTAATGAGTTTTATAGGCAAAAAATGAGGAAATTTCACTTCTATTTAGTTGTAAACAGGAAACGGGAAGGACATAGATAATATTATCTCATTCCGTCACACGCACGCTCAAACTTTGTCTGTTTAGTGAAGAAAAATAGATAATGTTTTTATCTATTTGGCAAGTTTTTGTATGACCTAGTACCACCACTTTTTGATGGGGATTCTGAAACACATGCTATGATATAGACAGAATCATAGAATGGAATCTGATTTTAGCAGAGCTTTATTATTTGGAAAATAGGTTTTGCGGTTTTAATGTGGCGACCGTCCTGTAGACAATATGGCCAATAAGTACAGAAAGTCCACCCAGTATTTATGAGCTGATATAACTATAAAGCTGGTTTATACACGCCATGTCTGTCCTATATCATACAGCGGATACGTATATCTACTGTACACTGGGTTTCACAATATTCCGTCCCTGATGGTTGAGTGATGGTTGAGACGCCAGTCGTATAGACCTTGCAGAATAATGATGTCACATCACATAAAAGACTTTACCGATGAGATTCGTGGAAAGAACCGATGTCTGGTAGAAACAATCGATTCAATTGTTTCCAATCTGAAGGACGTAAAAGATGCTGACGGCACCGGAATTCGCAGTCCATTAGTTGGGCCATGACCCACCGATCTGATTCGTTCTGATTATTGTCCTTTGTTATTAAGCAACATAATAGACGCGCGCTTCGTCTCTGGAGATATATACTTTTGCAACATATGTTATATATGGGAATACACGTTCTTGGTAAAGCACTAATTCTGGTACCTTTCTGGGAATCGAGTAAGGCATCTAATCGCCAGGACACAAAGTCAAACTTCCATTCTCCTGGAACCTGCGCGGGCTGAGTGGGTTAGATCGCAGACTTACAGTGCTGGCGATTAGATGTCTTATTTTTGGAGTGAAGGTTCGGATCCAGGTTTGGACAACACAAAATCTACAATCTGACCCACACAGCCACCGCTAGTTCCCCGAGAATGGAAGTCGGACAGGCTAGATCAGGTACTTTAGAAAGTGTAATCAAAAATATATCATAACTTGTAACACTATTTATCTGACCACTTTCAAAAAGGCATTGTCTATCCATAGCTTCGGCAATGGGAGGCGTGCCAATTTACACTTATCAGAGGGGTGCACAAAGTAGGTAATCTCGACTACCAGTTGTCCGACTATATTCTCCTGGAAAGATGGCTGAGTGGGTTAGATGGCTGACTTTGGGTTATAGCGATCAGATGTCTTACTCGAATTCCGGACAGAACAACCATTAGTCGAACCTGAGAAAGGGGAATTCCCAAACATGTTGCATTTGACCACTTTATAAAACTAAGGAATTGTGTAATGATATAACTTCGATGGAAAAAGACCCCTTATTTAATGCTGAAATGGAGTCGCAGTGAGATTGGAAGTGAACCTGTGGAAAATCTAGACATGCTTCATTTAAGGCTATAGCAATAAAGTAAGGGGTTTGCGGACGGTATATTCATATGGTTTAAAGGCTGTGTTTTTATATCGTCACTGAACCAATATACTATATGTCTGCTGTGAGTTCTATTGGCTTTGCTCCCACGACAACCTAAAATGCCGTTACACGACCGAAATAATGTCCAACGTTGAAATACTGTTAAACCCAACTGAACGAACCAATGAAAGAGCCAAAAACTACCTCGAGTTATGAGGGAGATGAAGATGCATACATGTTTTAATTCGAGCAGCTATTTTGTTTAATCCAGATATTACAAAAGAATTATGTGGGCAGGAATTAAGACAGAGAAACTGCAATAAATCCTGAAAAAAGTAAACGGTGAGATATAGACATATAAACTAAAATAAATATTATCCCAGTCAGCCATATTGTTGTGAGATCAAAATAGATTATTTTGAATGAAACATTGACTCGTGCATATCGAGGATATATTAACAATTCGAATTTCGAGAGAAAAGGGATTTCAAATTAACAAGGTCACTGTCTCATGTGAGTGGGGGAGTATGAATTGACTCCGCTTTTAGCAATGTTCCAGCAACATCACTGTCTCAAGGATTAAGAGAAATGTATTTTGTGGTGATATCGAAATATCTGCAGGATTAGTGTGGATTATATCTAGACACTGGCAATGGGGATTATCAGTTGCCACAGATCAAGACTGTCATTCTATCGACCACTGTTTTTTTTCTTTTCATGGATTGTTACATTTCTCTTAAACATGTTTGTGTTTGGACGAAATACTGTGACCTTAGTGCTAATGCTGGTGCAATACCAGTGCGTTGATGAATATAGTTTAACGCCACGTCAGCAACAAAAGAAGAATAACACTTTCATGCAAGAAAATTATTTAATCTCAAAATATTTCAAATATCAACATCATAAAAGACTGAAACGCGAACAGTTGAAACATTGCAATACTTGATGTGAACACATAGGTAATTATGACTGAACACGTCGCCAAAATATACACACAGAACTTAGTTAAGCACCCCCTGACATATCTCACGATTGGAGTATAACTGAGACATGATTGGTCGTCGTGTGCAACAAAGGGATCCTCCTGTACAGAACCTGGCCCAATTAGAGGCTGCTTTACACGAGGAATGGCGTAGACTGCCCCTTCAGAGGATCAGGAGGCTGGCAGGGGGTATGAGGAGGAGTGTGCTGGCTGTCATACAGTCACACGGAGGATATTGACCTTGAACCGTGTAAGATACACAAAATGACATATTGAACGTTCACATTCACCAATAACTTAAACATTCCAGAGACATACTTGTACAGACATGTTTTTTGTATGAATAGTAGTGTTTTTTGTAAAATGAGCAATTATCATCTTAAAATCAACATGGATTCTAATCATTTTGTCGATCGTACGGGTCAGAAAAACTCATGTTTTTCCATCGTGGTCACCACGAGAAGTCTTTTGTACGTGTTGAAAACCTATCATTGCAAAAATACAGGGGGTGCTTAATTAATTTCTTTGTGTATACATCATCCTCGGTTGGCTGACGTTCAACGCATTTTAGTATCGCTAGAACACTGGATATTGTTATTCTAGAACACTGGATATTGTTATTCGACGTGTAACAGAAGCAATGATGGAGTAAACTTCCAGAACACGTCGCTCAAACCCACCATTCTGTCAGTCGGTATCCACTGTGGGTAATAGTGACTGTCGGCGTCCATCACGAGTTATAGTCGTGAACACCGTGAACACATCGCCAAAATACATCACCTGGTTTCTTGGCGTCAAACACTCGCAGTTACGACTAATATCTTGAAGATATCGTAAGAACACATCATCCTACTCGTCGGCCTCAAATAAAGGCTTACATCGTTAACACAGAACCAGAACCAACCATCCATATTTTTGCATTGCATAAAGACATTATGACAACAATCAAGAACACATCGCCAAAACGCATGATTGTCGTTTGGCGATACAGTACCATCCTATTTCTTCTCCGAAAACAACGTTCTCCGCACGATTTGTACAGTTTCATGTGACGTCGAGGAGACTCAAGTGAGATTAAAGAACCAGTTTGAAGGTCAATCTCTGGCACAGAATTAGTGTCTTCACTGGTGGGATTATCAATTATCTATCAGCACAGTATTCCAAGCTTCCAATGTCCTGGGATCATTTGTTATTGCAAGGGTCTGTAGGCAGTTCATACACGCATGCAGTCTTCAGGTGTACGTGGTATAAAGAGGTAGTGATGAGAATCAAAGACGTTATAGTTGGAGGAAATATATAAACAAATGTAACTGTCTTGTGATTCGTTTCAAGAAGACACAGCAAAAGATCTTGAAATTAAGCGTTCTCAGATTGATGAACTATGTACACATTACGTTCTGGGAACACCAACAGCAGACCTTTGTAGAAGGGAGTATATTAAACTTCGAGAAAATGGATGTTTCGAGATAAAGGCAGTGCTAGTGATATAACAGACTTGCTAACAGCAAAATCCTTAAGTACCACAACAAAAGCAGAGGGTACCTTTAATGGTTAAGATCTCTAAGTACAATCCTGCCCATAAGTTCTTTCCGCTTTGAGAATGTGTGGACCACCCATGTGGAGAGCTTCGCGGGTAATACACGAGATGAACACCCGTTGTGTATGGTAATGATCCTCTAGAAATGATTGACAGTGTGTATAATACCTTCAGTAAGTCATCAGCTTCGTCCTTTGAATAAGTATCAACATCCTCCCATAGGGAAGATTGCAGTATGGATAAGTGAACACAAACGATTGAAGGGTACAGATCACATTCGACTGTTGCTCCGTGAATATATGATGGGGCCCATGGAATGACCACTGGTGACCGACATGTCATGACAGCTCACGGACGACCGTCCGAGGCGTGTGTCCGTGCGTCCGCCGTTCTGATAAACAACGGTCATTTCCCTTGGGTCATGAGCGGACAGGAGGCCCAGCGTCTCATTTGGTTCCTCCAGTGAAGTGTCCGGATCGACCGGTGCGCTGTTCACTTCCTGTGTGGCCGGAAGTCGGTCGCCCTGACTTGAGTTCCGGTGTGTTTGGTTGGCGTTTGGGTTGAGATAGCTGTTCCGGTAAATGCTTTGCTCTGACAATGGCTTCTCCCCATAGTCTAAGTTTCCAACTGACACGCAGCGTCCGTCTCTACCCATGGCTTCTTCCGAGATCCGCCGAATCCGATGGGCTTGGTCTTCACCCGTAAGGAAGTAAGTCTGCTGCTCCCCTTTACCCTGAAACATAAAAATGGGTTAATGTGGCTCTACAATGATTTTGTTATTGTTTTGGGTTGGTTCTAGTTCAACGTCGCACTCAGCTACACTCCAGCTGTGATGACGGCGGGTCTGTAAATAATCGAGTCTGGACCAGACAATCCACTGATCAACAGCATGACCATCGATCTATGCAATTCGGATACGATGACATGTGTCAACCACGTCAGCAAGCCTGACCATCCGATCAGTTAGTGGCCTCTTACGACAAGCATGGGCTGCCGAAGACCAATTCTAACCCAGACCTCCACGGGTCCTACAATGCTTTTAGTAATATCCCAACAACATCTCTGCAGTGAACACAAGGACTGATCTTCTCTTATTGTAACCATGTGAAGATCGAACCCCGGAATTGGAATAGGCTAGGCTACCCCGCAGCCCATACGTGTGAGTAAATGTCGGCTTTGAGCAGCATTTTAAGTCTTACACGCAAGTCATCTTAGATGAGGGGGCGGCGGGATAGCCTTGTGGTTAAAGCGTTCGCTCGTCACGCCGAAGACCCAGGTTCGATTCCCCACATGGGTACAATGTGTGAGGCCTATTTTCAGGTGTCCCCCGCCGCGATTTTGCTGGAATGTTCCTAAAAGCGGCGTAAAACTAAACTCACTCACTCATCTCAGATGAGGCAAATTTTATGCCTCAGTAAATTGGCAGTCCCGGCAAATTTTAAAGCCATTACGTCTACCAAGTCACGTTTATGATTCACATTAATTTCCCAGACGCTCATTAACCTCATCAAACACAGACAAGGGCCCTGTTCATCACAAAGTACTAACACTGTGATATTTATTCTACAATTAGAGTTATCAAGTAAAGTGTTTCATTACCCACGGGATAATGGATGGTGTGTCATAACCTTCCCATATTTGCACATGTGCGATTATAAATGCCGATTGTTAGGTTGAATCCATACGGTGTCATGGTGCTTCATTGGTTAGAAAGTATTGTTATGACGTCATCCATTGTTCATGACGTCACGTACTGATTATACTACATATATGTCTCTTTTAAAATCGATAACAGACTTCTCACCATTTGCAAAGGACTACGACTATTTTTACCCTTAGCAAATGGTGAGTAATATATAAAGACTATCCTGCTTGGAACTAAGAGTTTTAGTTATTTATCTTTTGTGAATTAATTTTGTAAGTCCTTTGCACATAGCTCGGGATTATCAACATTCATTCACTTGATATAGATGATCTGTACTTCCATGTAGCACGGTGGTTGTTTTCTAAAATTGGACATGAAATAAACGTGTTCGATCTGCCAATTCATCTGAGCACAGACTGTTTTCATTTGTAAGAGTGGGCGTGTATGGTTGAACGCCGCAATTAACAGTGTTTCGGTTAAATCACGGCGTACAGCTTAGAAATGTGTGTTTGTTGTTTAAAGCCGTACTAAGGAATCGTTCAGCTATATTACGGCAGCCTGTAAATAAGCTGTATGAACCACACGATCCAGTGATTGCCATCGATCCACGCAATGTGGGTAGAATACCACGTATCAGCCAAGTCAGTGAACCTGACCACATGATCTCGTCAGTCGCCCTTACTACAAACATAGGTCACTGAAGATCTCTGGACCGGATCGTCAGGCGTCGTCAGTTTAATGTGGCAAGGGAAAAGTCACAAAGGTCGTAAACGTCGCCCATTTTAATGGTTTGGTTTGGTTGTTAAACGCCGCACTCAACAATATTCCAGCGGCGGTCTGTAAATAATCGAGTCTGGACCAGACAATACAGTGATCAATAGCATGAGCATCGATCTACGCAATGAACTACGAGTGCAGGTGAGATGCGGCAAACCAAACAACAATAACAAGGTGGATCTGAGATTCGAACTCACGATCATACATCATACGTAAGGGACGTAACTCCGTAAGCTAATTGCGGTGCCTTTGGCTTGTGTCCTCGCCATAACGTAAGTGTGAATATATACCTTCATGCTGACAATCCCCCTCTCCTGTAGACAGTACCCGCCGAGGTGGTCCAGCTTGTCCTTGCATTGCTGACTGCAGTGAATCCTCATCGCTGGCAAGAGACAATGGTCACAATGAAATATACACCTGGGCCTAGATTTTCGAAGCTCTCTTAGCGCTAAGATAGTCGTAAGTTAATGTTAATGTATGGCACTTACGACTATCTTAGCGCTAAGAGAGCTTCGAAAATCTAGGCCCTGAACACATCTCTTCACACGGAACACTTCCGACATGTACCGGAGATTACCGACAAAAAACATTCCACGTGACAATATATTTTGTTTGCGATGTCTATTCTACAATATCCGGAGGTCGTATTTTGGCATACTAATGATGTAATATCAGTGTAGAGTTTGGGTATATGACTGATATTTGATTAGATAATCCCTGGACGGATAATTGTTCTCGTTTGTATGTAAGGGCATTTTGAATGTTATAACTAATCAGAATATTTTATGTATTTTGCTATCAGATTAAGATCGGACTCATTTGACCCTGTATTGATGTCATTGTAAATGCAGCATAAAAATAATTTGGTGAGGGATTTCTATAAAACGTCAAAAGGGCGGTAGGTCTCTCTTCGATTTTCATCGACAAGAAAATGGATGAGGGAGGAACGCTTTTTAGTGAATAAGAACACCAATACTAATAGTCACAATACTTAACTCAGCTTTGTAATACAAGGTCAGTTGTCATGCATGCCCAACAGTCGGGATATATGAAAAATATGTTTATTGACGAAACGAAATTGACCGACACGCAGTATTTAAAGTAACACGCTGATGTCGAGTTGGCATTTCCCCGTTCTTAGAATAAAATGGGGACACAACAAATTAATTATAATATACTGAGTATTTTAAAACATGAAGTGTAAATAATTTTTATGTTTGTAAACCAGCTGTTCAAGAAAACATTCATTGCTCTCTCGCTAATGATATGACAAATGATAAACATCTCGCACATCAATGGCATCGTTGTCTAAAAGATCCAGCCATTATCAGAACATATACAACGTGTTTGTGACGCCATTACCTCTCGTTACAGTCCGAGTGCTCTCAAAGACCAAGACCGTCCGAAAATGTATGTCCAAAAAAATGACTTTGTACTTATAATCCGATTTTAGTAAAGTATAGCCCAACATGAAATCCGCTGTCCGCTATGCAAATCAGTGCAATGTATAGCGCTGGACAACCAGTCAGGTCCATCCCCTATACAGAACCTCTCAGAAAGTACTTTACAGACGCATCAATGACCAACGACTGACCACAGGTCATTATCTGTAATGCATGGTCTGATGGTGTTGGTGTGCTATACGTGCTAGTCACGAAGGCTTTTAAGGAACACCTAGTGCAATTCGTTTAGACGTACCTTCGCCCGTACTCTCCATCCTTGATGCAGTGTTCACTGTATCCCCGAACAGACAGTACCGCGGCATCTTCAGCCCCACCACTCCGGCACAACAGGACCCTGGAGATGTAGACGGTGATAATGAAACTATGACGACTCGGAGCGTGGGTTTAAGTTGAGTGCGTTTGGTTAAAAATCGCTTTTAGCAGTCTTCCAGCTTCGACAGCAGACATTGGTCTCACACATGGGAATCGAACTCAGACCTTAGGCGTATCGAGTCAGCACATTAACCTCAAGCCAAACACGTGGGTGAGGCGTTTGTTGTCTCACAAAAGGAAACCTCGCTACCTTGAAGTTCGATTTATTCGTATTTGATACAAGCGAACACGTAGCTCAAGCGTATCGATAAAATAATGCTTTCAAAACGTCACTGGCACAAAATAACAGTCTCGAATATCTGCTGAAACAGCTTACACTGGGCTTAAAGGGCAAACAAATTTTGACAATTATGCGAATGGGTCATTGATCGGTGACGGCACCAGGTGTTAACGTTTACTCTGCCACTATTCACACAATGTTGCTTTAAAATATAGGGTAGCCTAGTAGATAAAGTGTTTGCTCGTTACGCTTGGGACAAGGGTTTGATTCCCCACATGGGTACAATGTGTGAAACCCATTTCTGGTGTCCCTCACCGTCATATTGCTGGAATATTGCTAAAAGCGGTGTAAAACCATAGTCACTCACTCACACACAACAACAGTTGCCTGCGCAATGTGACCATAGAATTCACTTAATTCAACTAAATACTGATACATTTATATAAAAAGAAGTTATGAGTTTTATTTGAGAAATGTAACTTTTGACATCAGGCATTAAATAAATAAATTCATGCATCCCAACTTTTGAAAGGTAACTGCAGCGGGGTAGACTAGTTGCTTATCACACAGAGACCCGGGTTCGATTCCCCATATGGGTACAATGTGTGTCCTGGTGTCCCCCGCCGTCACATTGCTGGAATATTGCTAAAAGTGGCGTAAAACTAAACTCACTTATTCATTTGAAAGGTAAACACTTCATTTAAAATTTTTAACTTTTAAGAATCTTCGACAAAGGGACTGTCACACTTCTTTTTCGCGCATTTAAAAGGTTTAATCATCAAAGTATTACGTAACATGTCATTGCCAAAAACACATTTGAAAGAAGAAAATTATTCAAAACATGTAAAAGACATGGAAGTCTGTCTTATGATACGACTCCATCACAAAAACACGAGGACCAGTTGTCAAGACAAAGACAACACTCAAAGATGGCCTTTCATTTTATTAAATCAAAGAAACGCTCTCTTCCATAAATGGCGTCACGCTGAGTCTAAATGGGGACGGCACTACAGAAGGATTAACGTGTTTATTACATTAGCTCTGTTTAAACTTACTGACGGCATGGGCTATGTTCTGGGCTCGTGAGAGGAAGTAATCAGAAGAAAGAGAAACTGATTGTTTCATGTGACAGAAGCACTGTGATTCCGACCAAGAATTTAAAACAAAAACAGGGTTTTACCTGAGTGAAGACCGATACGAATTTTGATAGAAGCTTCTGGCATGTGGTTGATCCGGAAGGACTTTATCCGGCTGAGCAGGTGAAGCGAAAGCGAGGCTACTTCCCCCGCGTGTCTGTCCTCGTTTCTGATTGGTAGACCGCTGACCACCATATATGCATCGCCGATTGTCTCTACCTTGTAGACATCGTAGTGTTCGATCACGGAGTCGAAGACGATGTAGAGGTCATTGAGGAGATGCACCACCTGTGTTGTGAAGGATTAATTTCTGAGATTTAATATATTCAGCCACAAGGGCTTGCATAGCAAAACTTAGCATGAAAGTATGAGGTCTATAGTACCGGGTATATATACTGAGAGAAACAAAAAAGGGAACACCACTTCATCGCAGCGTTCCTCTATATATTCTCATCCACAGTGCGATACAAAGGTTGTGAAGAAACCTGGAAAAGAATAAAGGAACTCTTGTGCTTTCATGTGGTCCTTTATTTGTTTCCTTCAGTATAAGGATGCCTGTGTTTACGAAATCCCTGTGTTTTCAACAAACCATTACAGTCTTGACGGTGTTTGATTGCGATAAACGTTCTGTCATCATGGGTTTGAATCCTACATTCGCAAAGATCATGACTATTTTTGGTCCGAAATATACCCGGTCTAGGGGATTTACTAGTCATACGCATCCCTTGGGATTTTCGGACCCGTGAAGGTCCGGGTTAGAATATTGATCTTCAGTTACCCATGCTTGTCGTAAGATAGACTAACGGGATCGGGTGGTCAGGCTCGCTGACTTGGTTGACACATGGCATCGGTTCCCAATTGCGCAGATCGATGTTCATGCTGTTGATCATTGGATTGTCTGGTCCAGACTCGATTATTTACAGACCGCCGCCATATAGCTGGAATATTGCTGAGTGTGGCGTAAAACTAAACTCACTCACTCACTCACTTGGGATTTTCCACCAAAATGAATTGATATGCAGGAACTCCAGTACTTATCCAGTCGGCGCTGAAAACCTGTACCTCTTACTAGTACTCTGTTTTGAGTAACACGTGCAGTAGACTACATTTAGATGGAACACGCTTATAAGGAACAGACGAATATAATGAACTGTTTTTTGGTCCCGGTTTCTTTATAATTTAGTCGAAATGTGTACTCCGGTTATAACGAACAAAATTAGTGGTCCCTTGGAGTTCGATATAAACGTAGTTTACAGTAGCTACAAATGAGTCTACAGTGAATCATTACATGTATTTCTTGTCTTATTTCATGAAACAATGAATATATTGTATAGAGTTAAGCGCCGTTAATCTACAGTTTGGGACTTTCTTCTACCAGAAGATAAGAACACCGATTTATTCATATGAGTATAGTTATTCTGTGGGTAATGCGACACATTGCCTTCCAACAGTGAATGTTCTTCAACATATTTTGAGTCGTGAGTAGCCCTGTGATCATGACTACATGCCAATGTTAATGGCAATCACGATGCCCTACCGAATGGTTCGCCTTGAAGATCAATGCTTTTACTGCAGTGTACGTGTATTTTAGAATATATTTAGGAATATATAAACAATATGTCCTGTCTCTAAAGAAAATGTATAAAATATTTCACAACTACTTCACCATTGTACCCGTGAAGATGCGGGTTAGAATTGATCTTCAGCAACCCATGCTTGTCGTAAAAGGCGACTAACGGGATCGGGTGGTCAGGCTCGCTGACTGGCTAGACACATGTCATCGTATCCCAGTTGCGCAGATCAATGTTCTTGCTGTTGATCCTAGGATTGTCTGGTCCAGACCCGATTATTTACAGACGGCCTCCATATAGCTGGAATATTGCTGAGTGCGGCGTAAAACTAAACTCGCTCACTCACTCAATTCACCATTGTATGACTTCATACAATCAGTTTGAAGCGTATAATATAATACGTTTGTACATGTATGCATATTCAATCTTTAAAAGAAATGTTAGCAACATTTAACAAATATTAGTTTCTAAAACACTTTTTGGCTTTCAATTGAAGTTCCACAGTGACTTTAATCAAATGATCAAATTCAACCCAATTTATGTTTGATTATGCCTCAAAGGTAGAATGCGATTTGATTAAACACTTGGAACAAACATGTTATTGTGCACCACTGAACTCCTCGTACTAATTACATCGATATTAGTGTAGCCTAGTTTCAACCCGGGTCAGACTATGCGACTCAAACACAATCCTAAAACAGTATCTGTGACTGCGCACGATAACCTCTTACGAAATTTACACCACGCTTCAATTACACTTTGTAGTCTTGAAATCACTCTTTGGCTTCCATTGCATTACATTAATGAACATGATTGCCTCATCTTGAACGAAGAACAAATGACTGAAACGATAGTACAAGTGAGCCAGAAATCAGTAATTAAGAATGGCTTCCTTCCAATGACTTATGCTCTAGAACTATCCATTTAACAATTGGATGTTTGTGTGACTCAATATATTTCAGCCAGCCTTCATGAAATAAATTAATTTCTATGAAAGAAGTGGCACAGCTATTTTATTCACATTTTGTTACAAAACAAACGATTTCTCTTGTTGCATAACCAAGGCACAAAATTTTCAAAACAAATCGGGAAGAGAGTTTTTTTATATAAATTTATTATTTTGCATTATCCCTAAATATAAAACGGTCGACCCCGTACACAAACCACCAATACACTATGAATCTAGAAAGGTTTCATGCGAATGCTTATACTCAAACCAACGGGCTGTAAAGCATTGATATTGATGGCTTCATATAGATGAGGTTCCCTGCCACTTAAACTATGGCGATATCGTGTTCATTTCTTGCCTGATCCCTCGACACAAAAGAACGTGAAACAATTAGTTGTGGATTCCGTCAAGGTATTGTTTGAAGGCAAAGGTTGTGCTATACCTGAATCGGAGTACTTTGAGCGGCGATTGAGGTGAAGCCGACGATATCACTAAAGTAGATTGATACACACTCGTACTGCTCGGGAATGACTGGTTCGTTCTGCTTGAGACTCTCCGCTACAGACCTGGAATACACAATGAAGAATCGATTACGTTCTCAGACGGAAACAAGTCGCGGCCATCTTTTTTAACAATTACTAGCAAGGGGAGTGGGATAAGCCCCACGTGATTATCGTTGTTTCTTCACGTTCCGGTGTTTTTACCAATTTGTGTTGGAGCCTTTCTTTGCACCTTTTGTTGATCCAAATTTAACTAGGTTTTAATGAATGAGTTATGGTTGAGGTTCAATGTTAATCGAATGGTCAAAATGGTTGTTGAAACTGGGCCTAGATTTTTTGAACGCCCTAGCGGTAAGGTGAGGTGAGGTGAAATTGGGTTTTACGTCGTACTTGAGAATATTTCGCTCATGTGACGACGTGCATGCGTGTGTATGTGTATGTGCGGCTGCTTGTACTAGCCCAGACTGAAGCTGGTTTTATAGTGCTAGCCCACTGAGATACCATGCTGCAGTGAAGCATGAATACCCCACTCAGACACATTATACCGACTCCGAGCCGACCAGTCCTTGTTGTACCCATTAATGCCGAGCGCCAGGCAGGGACCAATAAGTACCATATTTTAACGTCTTTTGGTATGATGCGGTCTGGTATCGAACCCGCGACCTTCCGCTCTGGCGGACCTTAGCGCTCAGACAGTCGTAAGTTACTGTATGGCACTTTTACGACCATCTTAACACTAGCAGAGCTTCGAAAATCTAGGTTCTGGAAAGTAGTACTTGGATTAAGGATCACAAAAACAAATCCTCATCAGTGAGATGGCTGAATACCATCAGCCAGACTGTGTCTGGTGTGGTAGAGTAGCTTAATGGTCCACGCATTCGCTCGTCACGGCCACTGTTTGGGTTCGATTCCCTACTGTTTCACGTCTCTTGCTACAACTCCATAAAACCCAACTCCTTCGCCAGGACCAACACTCCCTCACTCTACACACCTTGGCAACATCCTCAACAGCAGGTTCTCGGTCAGCTTCTTCTCCATCGACAACTCTACCGTCCTCTCTGCGACCTGTTTCTCCAACGTCGTTGCATACTTTTCCATCAACGCCAACATGTTGTCAAATATGTTGTTCTTTCTGTGAAGATATATACGGTACATACATCGCTGACAAAAGACAGCACAACCAATTACCCAATATGTCACCACCAAGACACAATTATTTCAGGCAACAACTACTACTACTACTACCACGACGACGACTTTTGTTTGTTTGTTGTTTAACGCCACACAATATTTCAGCTATATGCCGGCGGTCAGCAAATAATCGAGTCTGGACCAGACAATCTAGTGATCAACATCGTGAGCATCGATCTACACAATTGGGGTACGATGACATGTGTCAACCAAGTCAGAGAGCCTGGCCACTCGATTCCACTAGTCGCCTTTTACGACGACGTCTGCTGCTACAACGACCTCTACTACTGCATCCCATACGGTTACCACAACCACTACGACTACCACAACCACTACAACTACTACTCCTACTGATACAATTACTACTACTGCTACTGCTGCGACGATGACGACGTCAGCTACAAGGACAGCTTGTATAGTTGCGACAATGGTAACTACAACACCTACTGCTACTTCTACTACTACTACCACTACTACTACTAAGACGACGACGACGACGACTACAACTCCCAACGACTGCTATGCCACTTTATCATCTACGACAATGCACTACACGGTTCCTGCTTACATTTAATTTCTGATATATGAAGCTAACGCTGTGATCTGAATACTGATCATGAATATGATTGCCACATGTCCATCAAGTATTGTCAATCTGTATAATAATCATACAATTAGTTGTTTGTTTGACGCGTTCCAGATGCGCGTAAACATATTTGGCAGCATTGCTTCTTCGACTGATCGTGTCAAAGCATCAATTATAAACAGCCAGCACGACATCTTACTTGATTTACTGTAATGTATAATTACACCTATAGCATTGTTCCGACAATAGGAAATGAGACATAAAACTGCCAACTTTTTAAATTCCTCGCAGTAAAGGAATATGTTTGAATACAATAACCATTTCTTATTGTAATGGTTGATGCCACAACGTACAGCTCGTCAGGTCAGCGATACCTGTGCAATTAAGGCGTTGGTAATTTGAAATGGTTGTAACGTTCTGCAGCTTTAAAATTTACTGCACTACCTTTACTGACTATAAACCGTGTTCATGTACGTACTACTACTATCATTACTACTACTACTACTACTACTACTACTACTACTACTACTACTTCTGCTACTACTACTACTACTACTACTACTACTACTACTACTACTACTACTACTACTGCTGCTACTACTATTACTGCTACTACTACTACTGCTACTACTACTACTGCTACTACTACTACTAATCACAACTACAACCACCGCTACTACTACTACTCCTATTCTAGGATGACCAAAGTCTACGGATATCACTGCAGTTACCGCTACTTCTGCCACTCCTCTGCTACTTGTGTTTCCCCTAAACAAAGGAATATACTTCTACTATTGTCTCGTCTTCATCTCCTCAAGGTACTACTACTAACACCTAGAGCAACTATGTCAGCAACTGCTTCAAGAACAACAGATGATACAACTTAACACTACGACTATGCATACGACACAAGTAGTAAACCCGTGTACACCACGATAGCTCTTGTCACTTCTGTTAACTGAGATATAACAGAGACTGCTCATGTGCACAGTCTACTACTACAATTAGGGACCGTTCATAATTTATGGCATGGGGGGTGATGATGATTTTTATGGAGAAGCATGTACAATGTTACAATGTGAGTGCCATCCCCCCCCCACTAAAATTTATGTACAAAGTCAGTGACCAGCATGTCATATACAAAATCAATTTTTTAAAGCATATTTGTTTAATATTTTGTGTAAAAAAATGCTCCCCCACATGTGTACAGAATTGATGACCCCCACCCACCAGAACAAAATTGGTGAACCCCCTAAAAAATCATCATCACACCCTCTCCCCCAAGCCATAGATTGTGAACGGTCCCTTTATACTCCTTCAACACCAATCACTATTAACACTTCTAATATCTAACTTTTACTGCACCAACAACTACTTCTACTACTACCAAATCTTTCTTCTAAAACAAGAACTACTACCACGACTGATTCTACAACAACGACGATGTATTGTCAACTTACAGCCCGTGATGCATGATCCGGAGCTTCTGTTTGATCATCTTGAAGTCCGGCCTGGCGTCCGGGGACTCGGCCCAGCAGTCTCGCATACATTCAATGATATAGGGCTGGCACTTGAGGGTGTCTGTGGGGGGACGGAATAGCTTGTGGGGAATGCGCTGCCGCACACGTTGCACGATCTCTGTCGGTAGAAAAAAAAACATGAGCACCTGGGACGATGTAACTCATTGTTATTATGCCACCTCGAATGCTTCTTTGTGTCAGGACGATAACGTAGCATTCAAGTATTAAAGTATTCCATTGTAGAACATTTCCTCCTTTCAAAATATGGCGCATTAGTGACACTAAGAAGCAGTCTAAGTAAACTTAGTGTCAGTATTATTCGTTGTACTGCTATAGCAAACTTAGTGTCAGTATTATTCGTTGTGCTGCTATAGCAAACTTAGTCCCAGTATTATTCGTTGCACTGCTATAGCAAACTTAGTCCCAGTATTATTCGTTGTACTGCTATAGCAAACTTAGTCTCAGTATTATTCGTTGCACTGCTATAGCAAACTTAGTCCCAGTATTATTCATTGCACTGCTATAGCAAACTTAGTCCCAGCATTATTCGTTGTACTTCTATAGCAAACCTAGTCTCAGTATTATTTGTTGCACTGATATAGCAAACTTAGTCCCAGTATTATTCGTTGCACTGCTATAGCAAACCTAGTCTCAGTATTATTCGTTGTACTGCTATAGCAAACTTAGTCCCAGTATTATTCGTTGTACTGCTATAGCAAACCTAGTCTCAGTATTATTCGTTGCACTGATATAGCAAATTTAGTCCCAGTATTATTCGTTGCACTGCTATAGCAAACTTAGTCCCACTATTAAACCCAGTCTCACTATTATTCGTTGTACTGCTATAGCAAACTTAGTCCCAGTATTATTCGTTGCACTTCTATAGCAAACCTTAGTCTCAGTCATTATTCGTTAAACTTCTATAGCAAACCTAGTCTCAGCACTGCTATAGCAAATTTAGTCTCAGTATTATTCGTTGCACTGCTATAGCAAACCTAGTCTCACTATTATCTCAGTATTATTTGTTGCTGATATAGCAAACCTAGTCTCAGTATTATTCGTTGCACTGCTATAGCAAACCTTAGTCTCTCACCTATTATTCGTTGTACTGCTATAGCAAATTTGTTTTAGTCTCAGTATTATTCGTTGCACTGCTATAGCAAACCTAGTCTCAGTATTATCGTTGCACTGCCATAGTAGTCTCACTATTATTCGTTGTACTGCTATAGCAAACTTAGTCCCAGTATTATTCGTTGCACTTCTATAGCAAATTTAGTCTCAGTATTATTCGTTGCACTGCTATAGCAAACCTAGTCTCAGTATTATTCGTTGTACTGCTATAGCAAACTTAGTCTCAGTATTATTCGTTGCACTGCTATAGCAAACCTAGTCTCAGTATTATTCGTTGCACTGCCATAGCAAACCTAGTCTCACTATTATTCGTTGTACTGCTATAGCAAACCTAGTCCCAGTATTATTCGTTTCACTGCTATAGCTTACAGGGGTTTTAGGTGCTATCAAAAAGTTTTGATCCTGAAATTCTTCTGATATCTGGCAAAAATAACTGTATGATATTAAAGAATAACACCAGTACGAGTACCCACCGGACGTTTTTGTGAATGGTATAATCCATTCTTCAATATCATGCAGATATCAGAAGTTTTTTAGTCTCCAAACGTTTTGATAGCCCCCCGTTCTGCGTTAGTGAGTCTGATATGCTAAATGACGTAATGTTCTTCAAAACGTGAAATGGTCTCCAACGTATGGTCTTGGTCTGCATGTTGGGTCTGTGGATGTGCATAGAGCTCTTTTACACCGGACATAGTCCTGAAGCAAATGTTCTCGCAAGCCCTTTCGCCCGGTCCTGTTTTTTAAACCCCCTGACTTCAAATTGAGGCAAACATGAGACTTCGTCCCAAACTGGCAGTTGGATTTCTCTGCCACTAAGACAGGAGGCAGAAAAGAAAATACAGCTGTATTTGTTCATTCCACCGAAAGAAAACTTGCGTGTTCACCATAAATGTTTATTCATATGACATGTCACAAAGCAGAATCGATGGAAAAAGCTTACATTGCACTTTACATCTAGATTTTACATCTTTATATTCAAATAACGGTTGGAAGAACAAACTAACAATCTGGAATGGATTCGTGTGTTTCCATCTCTGGTCCAGATTTGTCAAAGATAAGAAAAAATGAATTTCAAAGTAGTCTAAGCCGTTTCGTTTTAAAAGCAACACTCGTCAATATTCCAACAGTGTGGCGGTCTGTAAATAATAGATTATCGACCAAAGAATCCAGTGGGTGACATTATGAACATCGATCTACGCAACTGGGATACGATGACGTGCATCAACCAAGTCACCTAGCTTAACTAGTCGATCCCACTATTTTCGTTCTTTCAAGAACAGTTCTAGATTTCAGAAGACCCAAGAACGTTTTGACCACAAGGCTACCCAAAGCTCCGATATTTGTTATTAGTATTTACCTTTTGCTGTCAGGTCTGTGTCTCCCCACGGACCGTTCCGACCATGGATGTCATACAGGATGAGGGAGAAGGAATATACATCCCCCTTCTGGGTACCCCGGGGCTCGTGAACCCCGTCCTGGAGCAACTCAGGGGCCTTCCACTTTAACCCTAAAAACAGCAACCTTTCATCAGTTGGTTCCATATTTAGTATTTAAATATACTATTCACACTTTGCTAAGGATCACAAAAATATTTTTATTCGCAACTTTACTTAAAGGTAGATTTATAATTTGAAATTGTATCCATTTGAAATTGGAAACAGAATAATATGGTAACCCCTCTTTAGACCAACATTCACTTTAATCTAACCTTAATTATATTATGCACTTGATACATGAATAACCATAGAAATGGTTTTCATGGCACCAATCAACCATTTTGCAAATCATGGAACGGGTCATTGACAAGTACACAACACCTGTCAATAGCAGGTATGGGATCCACAAGATGCAATGACATACTGAAACCTAGGATCCATTCTTACAATAGGCTTAGATATTTCACCAAACTTGACCCCACAACATAGTTTTCTATTGAATCCATGATTTGATCCTTAGCAAAGTGTGAATAGTACACAAGGGTACCTATTGGACAAATGACGGCACAGCATCGCCAATCATGTCACAGACCTTCTTCTGCTATTCCATCTCTCACTCGGTGAAACTGAAATATTGAGTTACGCCGGCAATATTTAGCCATATTACATGTTTAGATTTCAAATGTATTCCGTTTTATTATCAATTTCTGCCGACAATGGTCGGTAACACGACGAGCAATAAAGCAGAAAATATTTTAAAAGACTTAAAAAACGTTCGAAACTATGCAGTGGCGTATTTAATGAGCTCTGCTTCTACAGCAGCACCTATTTTTACCAATGATTCCAGCAGGTCTGGGTAACAAATGTCGCACCAGTTAGCAGCAAGATCATTTGTAATTCTATAATTTCAAGACAAATTGGATGTGTTCAAGCAGTAGTTTCAACTGCCCTGAGGCACAAAAGACGGGTTATTGATATAACGCAGATATAAATATAGAACCATATCTCGTAGTAATGATTGAGTTTTGAATTCAATGACAGAAACTGTCACCAATGTGGATACATCTGTAAATAACGATTTGAAAGTATCATACGTGCTTCTTAACTGATTTTATTTTGATCGTGGCAACCTCTTGATTTCTTTCAGCTGGTGTTATAAAGTCTGTTTCTAAAAAGAGCGAGGAGGGAGTGTCAATGTCCTTTTAAGTGAAATATTAGCGGCAATATACTGCTGGATTCTGAATTTATGGTGCAGGATAATTGATTACTTCTTATTGTGGAGGACATCATAAAGAGGACTACACACGCAGATGTATGATGGATGGCACTCGTTAGAATAGGAGGCCATGTTTTACAAGAATGATGTCTCTATGTGCCGCTGAGTTGGTTCATCAGCCTCATTGTACTACTACTACTACTACCATCACCACTACTACTACTACCACCACAGCTACTACTACTACTACCATCACCACTACTACTACCACCACCACAGCTACTACTACTACTACTACTACCACCACCATAACTACTACTACTGCGTCTACTACCACCACCACCACAGCTACTACTACTACCACCACTACTACTACCACCACCATAACTACTACTACTGCGTCTGCTACTACCACCACCACCACAGCTACTACTTAGTGAGTGAGTGAGTTGAGTTTTACGCCGCTCTCAGCAATATTCCAGCTATATGGCGGCGGTCTGTAAATAATCGAGTCTGGACCTGACAATCCAGTGATCAACAACAGGAGCATCGATCTGCGCAATTGTGAACCGATGACATGTGTCAACCAAGTCAGCGAGCCTTACCACCCGATCCCGTTAGTCGCCTCTTACGACAAGCATAGTCGCCTTTGTGGCAAGCCTGACAGCTACTACTACTACTACTACTACTACTACTACTACTACTACTACTACTACTACTACTACTACTACGTACGACTACTATTATCACTACCATTACTTCTGCTGTTGTTGCTGCTACTGTAACATGTATTGCTACTGCTCTCTTGCTACTACAGCTACTACTACAACTACTACAGCTACTACTACAACTACTACAGCTACTACTACAACTTCTACTGCTTCTGCATTTGCTGTTACTGTTAACATATTGCCTCTACGGAAAACCCAACATGTCCATCCTACATCAAATAAGCGTACAGCAACAACAACAACACCTACTACTACTACTATTACTACATCGTTGCCAGCTCAAACAACAACAACACCAACAACTACAACGCCCACCACCACCACGACACCGACGACTTACTATTGTAATACTTGTTCTCGTGTTTGCTGGACTGACTTGAGGTGTACAGGGAGTAAAGACCGAAATCCGTTATCTGCAGCACCCACCGACTGTCCACGAGGCAGTTGCTGGACTTGAGGTTGCCGTGGGAGACGATGCGGCTGTCGTGGATGAACGTCATACCCTGATTTGAAAAAGTTTTAATTTATTTCACACATGTATTCGATAGTTATTAAATCAAGGAATAGTATTAAAATGTATCGATATGGGGCAATTGACAAAATTTGGTTTTGCATCGTTCCAGTTCCGTTTTAGTTATAATTCTGTATTTATAATCCTATTTCATAACGTTATACATGTTAGTTTGGGGGCGTTGGCCTCCCACCCGACACTTTCTTCAGTCACCTTAAATGACAACGGCGGGTTTGGCAACTGGGTAACATGTGCATGCGCCTCGTCAATGGAATCGTCGGTATGGAATCGTCAATCGCTCGTGGGTTTGTATATGTTACAACGTCCTTCTTTCAACGTCTGTGTGGGGCAATGGCGTAGCATATTGGTTAAAGCGTTCGCTCGTCACGCCGAAAACCCGGGTTCGATTCCCCACATGGTTAAAATTTGTGAAGCCCATTTCTGGTGTCCGCCAACATTGCTGGAATATTGCAAAATGCGGCGTAAAATCGTACTCACTCACTCCAACGTCCATGATTACACGAGTTTCAGTGTAGAAGCTACTTTTAATTTAACCGATGGATGAAGCAACGCTCTGGATCAGATCAATGACAGTTCAGATTACATTGACAGTCACAGCCCTACGACCTTTATGCTGCATCTGAACAGGGTTCACAAAAGATTTATGCACGGGGTTGGGCTAATGTGTCATTTCTATACCACGAAGGAAAACCAAGTTCTATGGATAGTCAACGTCTTTATTGCAATGAGTGCAACGTTTAGGTGTAGGTACTAACACCGTTACCATCACTTGCTATCCATAGAACTCGGTTTTCCTTCATCTAAACAACTTCTAAATGCCTCTCAAAGAAATGTCTATACGACCACTGAGAGAGTATGGCTTTAAAGCATTATTCCAGCAATATTGGGGGACACTGTAAATGTGCTCCACTTATTGTATCCATGGTGAAATGTGAACCCGGGTCTTCGGTGTACCGAGTGAACGCTTTAACCACTTGGCTACCCAACCTCCCCATTACCAACAAACTCCACTATTATATCTCACAAACGGCGTCAATATTCGGTACTTGTAATGGGGTTCCAACCCCATCAATAAACACCGGGCATAGCATCTAGTTAAGAGCTTCTCTTAAAATCCAGTGAAGATCTTGTGTACGTGTACACAGCTAGTTAAGTAAATTAGACTGGTCTTTTCGCATAGTGCGTATGACTTGCTCCAAAGCTTAGGGCGAAATATGTTGTTATGTATCTCTCTGTATGAAAAAGAATCGAAAAATCTGTTTGAACATTGAAACATTATCACCTTCGTACCCGGCAAATATTACATATAACAGCTTTCGGCGCACTGTTCTGTGGTATCCGGAATACAGCTTAATTAACAGGGCAGGTTAACCGGTGTACTAAAAGATGGTGGCACACAATACGGTCACGTTTAATTAAAAAGCCTGTGAAGGATTAACGGTGCCACTTGCACATTCGCCGTTAATGTGATGAAAACCATTAAGTTTGTTCCACGATATAATCACCCAGGTGATGTTTATGGGACATTATTACACATAACAGCTTTTGTATTTCATCATTAACATTACAATAGTGACTGAGTGGGTTTAGTTTTACGCCGCTTTGAGCAATATTCCAGCAATATCATGGCGGGGGACACCAGAAATGGGCTTCACACATTGTACCCATGTGGGGAATCAAACCCGGGTCTTCGGCGTGATGAGCGAACGCTTTAACCACTAGGCTACCATATCATCCCTTAACACAAAAATAACCGAAGATAATCACCCTGATGAGGTCGGCGAGTAGGGAGGAGACAAACATGTCGTCGAGAGGAGGATCTTTGTTCTGTATTATGTCCTGAAACACAAAACGTCGAGTTAGGGCATAAATTGAATTAAATGTACATCCTAGAACACACAACGACAGCTTGTGAGTTAGATCCGCTTCCTGCATGCATACCGTCACGACAGGAGGAAACTAAATACAGCCCTGTACACCTTCCAAGAATTTCCTTATAGTTAATAACCGTGCGAGCGACAGTGCAATGCAGTTACTAGCGACTCCTTACGTTAATTATAGCACAGATTAAGCGAGGCACCGTTTGGGAGGAATGTTGGCCGCCATCAGGGGGTGTAGCGTTGAAAGATGAGGACCATTATCATAACCTACATATATGAAGCATCATCCCCTCCTGACACAGGTGCGTGGTTCCATCTTACATTATTCATCATGAGATACATGTGGAATTTTAAAATTATCAAATTGTTTGCCAGGCAAAAAATGACAAAATAATATTATCATACACCCATGGTTGATAGAGGCTAAATTCTGGACAAGAAATGGTTATTCGGAGTGAGTGCGTGAGTAAGAGTCAGTGAGTTTTTACGCCGCTTTTAGCAATATTCCAACAATATCACGGCGGGGGACACCAGAAATAAGCTTCACACATACTTTCCATATGGCGAATCGAACCCGGGTCTGCGGCGTGACGAGCGAACGCTTTAACCACTAGGCTACCCCGCCGCCCCTGACGCTGGTGTGTATCAGAGTAACTTAAAGATACGTATATCACAGTATGTCAAGTTTACACTCATTTGACATCTGTTTTAAAATTTCAGTCTTGCTATAGCTAGCGTAAGCAATGTTTTGGTCAACTCCAGTTTCCAAGGTGTACCCTCTTTCGCCCGACAGAGTAGTACGTGATCAAGTTAATGCTGCACGTTGAAAACAATGAATCACGTAATATTGTTTTTTTGCTTAATCGCATTGACTCCCAGTATGACACATCAAGGACTGTGATTGTGTTATTTGCAAAAAAGAAGGATTCGGTGTGGAAGATGAAAAGCGATGAATCAATATTGACATGAGAGTCCAATTTTGTTACAGCGTGTTAAAAAAACTGACACTGGTTACCGAATATCCTCAAATAAGAGACGGCTAAAAGAGTCGAGTGCTAAGGCTCGCTGACATGGTTCATGCATATCAGAGTATCCAAATGGTTAGATACATGCTCATGATGTCAACCACTGGATTGTCTAGTCTAGACGAGGTTTACAGACTCCCGCCAAGTAGTTTAAATATTGTTTTGCGGCGTTAAACATCAAACAACCCATACAGGTAAAGACAGAAGCTGGTTTATGTCAAGCAATGACTTGTGATACCTCTACATCCACTACTTTAGAGAGGGATCGATATGGTGGTGATCTTTTTAACCGCTATGTTGCTTTTTACGGCAAACTGAATCGGTGGATACTCTGGAGGGTTTTATAGGTTAATGTTTCATATTTCAAGGTAATACTGTTAAAATTGGTTTGCTTAATACAATGAAAAATATAGTGATGTGAACAAAAATGTTACCTAATTATTAAAGAAATTCTGAAGATCACAAAGCAGAGTACAAAAACATAATACGAAGAAAATACCAGGCTAGCAGACCATTAAATGGTCCCAAATACCAAAAATATTAACATGCTGCGATAGAAACCCAAGAAAACCCAGACCCTGGAGAATAAATTATATGATAAATCTAACTCAAGTCTAGAATGATTTGGCAAATCTAGATTGCCTCACCCCTAGGTATTGCTCTTTGCCTAATTTGGAATATGTTTATTTAATGTTTGTTGTTAACAAGTCACAATTTAATTCTGGACTCACATAAGTCCAGAAACTCTCTGCACTGTCGGCATGGACGAGCGAGTTTAAATTTAAAGTTTTCGAAAAAAATCTTTTCATTTTTTCATCCTAAGCATTTGTTCATAACAACACCCTTGTCAGAAAGAGCCCGCAGTGCGGAGAGTTTCTGGACTTTTGTGAGTCCAGAATTAAATTGTGATGTGTTTGTTGTTTTTCTGTGTGAGGTATTGAACGAACAAAGACGTGCTCATGATATTGTCGGAATTGTATAACAGACTCAGAGAGCCTGCTTTTATCATACATTTCTACATTTTATCATACATTTCTACATCTTATCATACATTGCATCTGGAAAGGGTTTTGTAGCTTTTATTTGTATGAATGAATGGATGGATGGGTGGGTCGAAGGATGGATTGGTGGATGGATGGTTGGACGAGTGGATGGATGGATGGATATCATTACCAGATGCATATAATTTATTACAAGAGCAATCCTCCATCTCTATACAAATAATAGTGACACGTAGCAACTACTATTGTTGAAACTAGCGAACGTACGATCTTTATAACAGGTAATAAGGTAATCTCTAACATGCTGACATGGTTCCAAACATCCTCGTGTAACACTGATATGCCCAGTATCACTGTAGTGTATCAATTACAGCGTTATCTTAAGACGTTAATCAGCAAATGGGGCAGGGACGCTAAAGAACTCGTTGTAACAGGGGCTATGACTTCATTTGTTATCAACCGTTATACTGCCAGTTATTGACTGGAGACGGGACTATTTTGGGTAGATTGGACGGTGCACTGACCGCCCAGTACGCCTAGATGAGAGGTCCTCTGACATACTGAAACGCGACACCGATCCTGCACGTGAGGCGGTCAGGAAATGTAAGCTAAACGGAACTAAACAGACTATTAACCTAATTACGACATGTTTCGTAAACATACCTTACCAATTAGAAACTGTTGCGTTATCGTGACACAAACCCCGTAATGATAAAAGTGCTTCCTCATTCTATTATGTGTAGTACTGACAGAGTGAGTGAGTGAGTTTAGTTTTACGCCGCTTTTAGCAATATTCCGGCGGGGACACCAGAAATGGGCTTCACACACATTGCACCCATGTGGGGAATCGAACCCGGGTTTTCGGCGTGACGAGCGAACGCTTTAACCACTAGGCTACCCCACCGCCCCAGTACTGACATAGTGTTTAGTGTACGTATTACACGTTGTAAGTGTGTGTGAGAGAGAGAGAGAGAGAGAGAGAGAGAGAGAGAGAGGGGGGAGAGAGGGGAAGGGAGGGAGAGAGAGTTAGAGAGAGAGAGAGTGGGGGGTCGTTCAATCGAGGCTGATACGCTGGCAAAATGAGTACCCCCCTCACACACACATACTAACACACACACACCCCTAACCCTCTCCCCACAATTACACCCACACCCACACACTTCTACAGTTTTCAGCGGACAAGGCCATGGCAGTTACAACACGAAGTATGTAGCCTGGATGTTGTTTTACATAATGGACACCCACTACGTGTTTGATGCCTTCCATTTCTACCTGACTGGATGTTTGATGTACCTTTTCCCACATTGTACATGATGGCGTATTAAACACCACATGCGCGCATCTTCAGCCAGTTCAACGAGACATGATTGCTATCCTCAAACCTGAATGTCTCCTTATAATATCCAAGACACGACAATACCTCCAGTATTGATCAAACACTTTTGTCTGCAGGTATAAAATTAAACGCCATGGCTTTCCAAATGAAACCCAAGACTACGTGAATACATAAAGTGTCGGTATACGATTGTATGTCGTTGGTCGGGTTTAACGCTGACTTTGAACAGTAGTTCAGTTATATCACGGTTTGTCTGCTAGACGTTGGAGGAAAGCCCGGAGTAATGCAGGGTTTTGTAGTGTACCGCTTTGGTTTAACAAAGAGGAATCATGTAAAGCTGTTTCTCACACAGCTAGAATTAGTGAATGCATAAAGTGTTGGTATGCAGCATGAATACCAAGCCCACAGGTCATATACACAAGTGAGAACCAGGAGTAAAGGCCGCTTTCAACAGTATTCCAGTTACATCATGGCGTGGAGCTTCATGAAGGAGGACAGACCAAAGCGATGCAGGTCTTTGACGTTTGGGGAAACCCAGGAACCGGGGTATGGCGCTGGCAAACCTTTGAACATAATCTGGTCCGGAATTGAACTGATTTTTGTTTTCTGGCGTGGCCATCGCGCAGCTGTGCACAGAAAAGTCTGGTTCTCTGGACATAAGTAATGATTCCTGAACGCGAGAAAGTGGGTATTATTCTGTAAGTGTTGCTTGAGATAGCTTGTGCATAGGCGGATCCATAGTCTCTATATCACGTCACGAGTAAGGTACGTAGGTACGATATAGATTTGGACAGTCTCCTTTTCATCTGGGGTACGTTGTAGATTTGGGAGTCTCTTTATCAACTGGGGTACGATGTAGATTACGGGAGTCTCTCGATCAACTTGGGCACGATGTAGATTTGGGGAATCTCTTTATCGACTGGGGTACGATGTAGATTTGGTGAGTCTCTTTGTCAACTGGGGTACGATGTAGATTTGGGGAGTCTCTTTATCAACTGGGGTACGATGTAGATTTGGGGAGTCTCTTTATCAACTGGGGTACGATGTAGATTTGGGGAATCTCTTTATCACCTGGGGTACGATGTAGATTTGGGAATCTCTTTATCAACTACTGGATTTTGATGTAGATCTTATCAACTGGGGTACGATGTAGATTTGGGAATCTCTCTATCAACTGGGGTCTCTTTACGATGTAGATTTGGGGAATCTCTTTATCAACTGGGGTACGATGTAGATTTGGGGAGTCTCTTTATCAACTGGGGTACGATGTAGATTTGGGGAGTCTCTTTATCAACTGGGGTACGATGTAGATTTGGGGAATCTCTTTATCAACTGGGGTACGATGTAGATTTGGGGAGTCTCTTTATCAACTGGGGTACGATGTAGATTTGGGGAATCTCTTTATCAACCTGGGGTAGATACGATGTAGATTTGGGGAATCTCTCTCTTATCAACTGGGGTACGATGTAGATTTGGGGAGTCTCTTTATCAACTGGGGGTACGATGTAGATTTGGGGAGTCTCTTTATCAACTTGGGTACGATGTAGATTTGGGGAGTCTCTTTATCAACTACGATGTAGATTTGGGGAATCTCTTTATCAACTGGGGTACGATGTAGATTTGGGGAATCTCTTTATCAACTTGGGTACGATGTAGATTTGGGGAGTCTCTTTATCAACTGGGGTACGATGTAGATTTGGGGAGTCTCTTTATCAACTGGGGTACGATGTAGATTTGGGGAGTCTCTTTATCAACTTGGGTACGATGTAGATTTGGGGAATCTCTTTATCAACTGGGGTACGATGTAGATTTGGGGAGTCTCTGTAGATTTAGATGGAATTTGGGAACCTCTTTATCATCTAGGGTACGATGTAGATTTGGGAGTCTCTCTTTATCGAACTGGGGTACGATGTAGATTTTGGGAAGTCTCTTTATCAACTGGGGTACGATGTAGATTTTGGGAATCTCTTTATCAACTTGGGGTACGATGTAGATTTGGGGAATCTCTTTATCAACTGGGGTACGATGTAGATTTGGGGAGTCTCTTTATCAACTTGGGTACGATGTCGATTTGGGGAACCTCTTTATCATCTAGGGTACGATGTAGATTTGGGGAGTCTCTTTATCAACTTGGGTACGATGGTACGATGTAGATTTGGGGATTTGGTAAGTCTCTTTATCATCTAGGGTACGATGTAGATTTGGGGAGTCTCTTTATCAACTTGGGTACGATGTAGATTTTGGGAATCTCTTTATCAACTGGGGTACGATGTAGATTTTGGGAATCTCTTTATCAACTTGGGTACGATGTAGATTTTGGGAATCTCTTTATCAACTTGGGTACGATGTAGATTTTGGGAATCTCTTTATCAACTTGGGTACGATGTAGATTTTGGGAATCTCTTTATCAACTTGGGTACGATGTAGATTTGAACTCACGTGTAGGCTATGGCGAGGGCAGTATTTGAACTCACGATGTAGATTTGGGGCAGTATTGGGACACGATGTAGATTTGGGGAGTCTCGATACACACTCCGATAAAGCGGCAGATGTTGTCGTGGTTCAACTCCTTCCTCAGCAACAACTGCTTCTTCATCGGCCTCGTCACCTCCAGGGCCTTCTTCGTCATCTGTTTGCTGACCACCTGAGTTCCTCGGAACATCCCTACCGACAGCTCGTGCTCTGCCCGGGGGGTGGGTTCACACAGGTCCTCCATCTCCGAGTCTTTAGACATTAGAAGGCTGATCCAGCGGTGGTAGTGCTTGCTCTGAATAAACAAAGTTTGTTTGAATTGAGAGTGAGTGAGTGAGTGAGTTGGGTTTTACGCCGCTTTAAGCAATATTCTAGCAATATCACGTCGGGGGACACCAGAAATGGGCTTCACACATTGTACCCATGAGAGGAATCGAACCCATAGCGCTAATGCTGGGAGCGAAGGAGTTCACAACGTGCCTATTTTACTACCCTACAGGACCAACCACGACCGGCGGAGGGATCAGTGTGTCAGTACATATTGTCTTACGCCGCAGTCAGTAGTATTCCAGCCATACCTGGGCGGCCCGTAAATGATCGAGTCTTGACCAGTGGTTGATAGCATGAACACCGTTCCAAGCTAATGGTTGCCAAGACACACATCACCCAGCCTCTGTAACCAACGACTTCAGTCGATTCTTACTACTATTCCTGGGACCAAAGCTGACCAGGTGGCTCTGGGTAAAACATGTGCGAAAAGCAGCCTTAGGGATAAACACGATTCACATTTCATGTAACTTCTGGCACGCCAGCTTTTTCGTACTTTTCACATTCTTGGAACAGGGGGTAATGGGGGGTGTCTAAACAAAGCGTTCTGTTAAACTTTTGTGATTTATCTGACATACAATATGCGATCAGTGAAACGTTTGTCTAAGACGGAACACCGCATGGGCAGCAGGTGTCATATAGTTGGACCTCGATCAAGCATGCGAGGAACTTTCATCCAAACTCTATGTAAACATCCGCTAAAGTTAGTTGCCTTCCGTGTTATGCTTGTAGGCTGCTTTACATGCACCAGAGCTTCATTATAATAATGGGGGCGGTGGGGTAGCCAAGTGGATAAAGCGTTGGCTCGTCACGCCGAAGACCCGGGTTCGATTCCCCACATGGGTACAATGTGTGAAGCCCATTTCTGGTGTCCCTCGCCGTGATGTTGCTGGAATATTGCTAAAAGCGGCGTAAAACCAAACTCGCTCATTATAATAATGATAATAATAATAAGGGCATTTGTAATGCGCTGAATTCCGCACCACGGAGAGGCACGCTCTAAGTATAGTTACCCCTGATAACCGGGAGGTGCTAGAAGGTTAATAGTCACATGAGTTATCCCACCCATTTTATTATGGGTGAATAGACTGACTTGCCTAAACTCACTTGCTTCGTTGTGGGGCAGGACTGAAGTTCCAGAAACTCTCAGGAGTCAAGCTGCCAAACACGGTCACCCATCCCAAGGATTCTCTGCGCCCAACGTTTCTTAACTTCAACTGGTTTGTGGCCTGAGCTCTAGGCTGAGGACCACACAATACTCTACTTGACTTGAAATCGGTGAAAGAATAGTCTTTTGAAAGATTGCATCTTGCAGAGTGTATTATACATACAGCATTATATCTTCATTTCTTTGATAAATACCATGGACTCATTCGCCACCCTGATTGTTTGATCCGGAAGTGACGTCACCCACACCAACGCTCAATAATTAAGCACTTAATTTCTTTCGCTTATCTGGGGAATTTGATTGGATGTCCAACATTGCGACATGTGAAGCCATGGTAACGAATGGATTCAGGCTCTTTATAAGAATAGAATGGAGACATAATGGTGAATAATGGCATCTGTGCAGCTAGTCTAAAAATGACCATTTGGAGAAATTCCATATTTGCAGTCCATGTTCCGCTTTCACAGACTAATGGATATTTGACAACCGAGAAGATGTTCAAAACGTATTTAAGTACATGGAATTTCTTTTCTGACAAAATTCCATCAGCATTAGAATCAAAGTAGTTACATCAATTACACCTTCGTGCGTTTTTACATATATTTTTATAAGCCCTTGCTCTTGAATTCCAATACAAAAAACCTGGTTATGTTTTAGCAAAGTACATTGGTGACAACACTCTGGTACGCTACAGTTTCTATCATACTGTATTAATATTGCGCTGGGTTTTATGGGATTGGTATGTCAATTCTAAAGTATTTGTGTCTCTTCTACTCTTAGATATGATTTTATCCAGATTAGTTTGTTAATTCTCAGTCACGGCACTTTGAAAAAGTGGAACTACCTTTGGTGCGAAATTGTTCCATGACTGAAAGAGGAAATAAGATGGACCATATGACGCTTTCGCTCCTCAAATACCAGATTTATTTATTCGTTTCATAAAATGAATATCATATCGTTTAGCATTTCTAAGAATGTATCACCTCTAACACCTTATCCTCTCGTAAATACCTTGGACACATTTATCTCAACCCCTTTGTTCATTTGCTTTTGGGAATTCAGACCTTCCATGAAATTATAGTCGGATAGTAAATTATAGTCGCATATTAATTTTATGGAGATGTACATTTTACCATCAACCGTACTGTTGTAGAAACACTGACTGCCAATTGTCTAGACCTTGTCGACCTTAACGACATACCCATGCAAACCGACCAGTTTGTTTTTACACCCACCCAAAGGTCGGAATTACGGAACCCTGACGTGAAGGAAACTGCAACGTCCTTTCCCACACGGAATACTAGCTGTAGATCGTGACCATAGTGTTACTCACTGGCTTTCTGGTATTGACAATGCTTGGTTCAGAACTGAACTGGATTTCTGCCCGGTCAATCTTCCACAGGAGTCGGGCTAGCTTCTGCTCGTACAGGTAATATCTGAAACAAACATCACTTGTTATATACGAACTGACTACCAATAAATTTGTGTCGTAAGTTTTAAATTTTTTTTAAATCAGACAGGCAGTTCTGAGAAAGTGTTCTTCGCAGCACGGCTGTCGTAATATTCAGTTTACACTAGTTCTCGGTCATCTTCCACAATCATCTTCTTGCTTCCGACTTTTTTACCTAAAATCAGATGCTGTTCATCTAGTGCATCATGCTGCATTCAGGTGGTTAAATGATAACTGCGTCGCCTAATATACCTGTTATTGGCAGCAGATCATTTTTGTCTTTAAAGTATTACTTTAGTATTAATTTAATGTACTTTATCAAACACTTCGTTCGATACTGTCAGAAAACTACGTTTATATCGAAAACTCTTACCATTTTTGTCTTTAAAGTTTTTATCACGTTTATGCATTTTATCAAACACTTCGTTCTATAATGTCAGTAAACTACTTTTATCTCGAACACTCTTATAACAAACTGACTGACAAACATGGAACATTTTTTGGCACCTAGAACTTGCTGTACACTTTAGTGCAAATGTGTAAAGCGAGTTATGGTTATAAAGTTTTGTAGCAAGTGGTCCATTTGGTGTAATCGTAGTTTACGCTACATTGATTTCGACAACTATACTATGCCGCTACAGCCATACTTGCTTCAGTAGTCTGTCTCACAGTCCCTGAACAACGTTATTTTCCCTACTGCCTAGCCCTCTCTGCAGTGCTAAAGCCCTAAAAAAGCAAGTCTAGATTTCCTCAGGTTAGGGCTCCTTTTCAATATAAATGGGCTTGTTTGTTACTATCCAAATTATATATATTCAGAGACTAAGCCTTAGTCTATTGCTTCAGCTGTGATGGGCTCTGGGACTCGTTTCAGAAAGAGCTCTCTTGGCTGCAAGTGTTGTAACTGAAGCACCCTTGAATGTGTCGAAGTACGCATTCGCTACGGCACTCGTGAGGTAGGTTTTGGATATAAACCACACTCGGTTGCATTAGCCAGATTTTCTTCTTTCCTTCCATAGACACTGTGTTTAAAACATCCCTTTCGATGATATCTAACTTGCGAATACATACTAATTTCCTTTTCTACTTAAATGACAACAATGCTAAAAGCTCTATGACAAAATTTACGAATGGTGTAAGTATAGGGTTACTAGTCTGTAAAACAAACCCCGAAACAAATATACCCCACTCAGCCCATGCAAGTCTATAATTTGTGACAAGTCTAGATTCCAGGTTTGAAAATGAACACAGACTTCGGCTCCTTTCTATTTTGATACTCATTGAAACGAATAAGGGAACACATGAAAGGTGTTCCAAGACTTTTTTCAAGGTTTCTCCACAAGGTATGTATTGCATTCTGGGAATAAATAAAGGACCACTTGTACTTTCATGTGTTCCCTTATTCGTTTCTATAAATAAAGGACCACTTGTACTTTCATGTGTTCCCTTTTTCGTTTCTATAAATAAAGGACCACTTGTACTTTCATGTGTTCCCTTATTCGTTTCTATAAATAAAGGACCACTTGTACTTTCATGTGTTCCCTTATTCGTTTCTATAAATAAAGGACCACTTGTACTTTCATGTGTTCCCTTATTCGTTTCTATAAATAAAGGACCACTTGTACTTTCATGTGTTCCCTTATTCGTTTCTATAAATAAAGGACCACTTGTACTTTCATGTGTTCCCTTATTCGTTTCTATAAATAAAGGACCACTTGTACTTTCATGTGTTCCCTTATTCGTTTCTATGAGTATATTTTATTAACATTTTTAGGAACCGGTTTTTCTTTAACATATGTTCATTTCGGAGACTAACTGTTAATCTAACATCATAAGAGAAAGAACATGTCGGTTTAAACCGCGACTGGGAGTCAAACTGTTGAATCCAACAATAGTCCGGGCGTCTACAAGGTACTGGCACTTTGAATCCAACAATAGTCCGGGCGTCTACAAGGTACTGGCACTTTGAATCCAACAATACTGGCACTTTGAATCCAACAATAGTCCGGGCGTCTACAAGGTACTGGCACTTTGAATCCAACAATAGTCCGGGCGTCTACAAGGTACTGGCACTTTGAATCCAACAATAGTCCGGGCGTCTACAAGGTACACAAATGCACGAATTGCATGTCGCTGAATACGTTCAAAATCGGGAACGTCACGTCAAACTCTGTTTAATCTCTACCACTAAAACCCGTGAAGATCCGGGTTAGAATTGATCTTCACCAACCGATGCTTGTCGAATAACGGGATCTGGTGGTCAGGCTCGCTGACTTGGTTGACACTAGTCATCGTATCCTAATTGCGTAGATCGATGCTCATGCTGTTGATCACTAGATTGTCAGGTCCAGACGCGATTATTTACAGACAGCCGCGATTTAGCTGGAATATTGCTGAGTGCGGCGTAAAACTAATAGATTCATTGACCTATATTAAAATGGTTTTGTGAAACCTACCCCGTGCCCTCACGTTAAGTATAGAAACGCCTAAGCGTAATGATGGATGTAAATCCTGGTTTTAGAACAGCTTATCCGATTACCACTGCTGAAACGTACTCGTAAAGCCCGTGTTAACACTAACATGACTTTCTGAAACGGGTCCTTGGATATATATGGCGTTTGACGCGGAGACATAACTCGGCAACAACCGCTAACAGCCTACATCGGGACATCATCAACCAAAACATACATCCAATTTCAAACACCAGCTTCCAGGCTTATCCAATAGACAAGGTCCATCTTGAAATACGCATAACAAGTACGTATTCCACGCCACAGCTGTGTCATCAAGGTCGTCTATTGACGGATCTGTCTCTCGATCTGGACACGTGGGATATGCAGTGATATTTCCAGAGAGGTGTTAGGAGGTGATGTACTTCGACACAATCCGGTTACTGAAGAGCCGCCGATGTGGGCGGAACGACATCAACGCAATCACGCGACGGATTTGCTTGTAAATGGACGTTTGAGAACCTGGCTACGATACAGCCATGGCGATGCTAATATCTGATATTTGAAAAAAGTGTTTTATCCCGTCACCACAAAGGCTACATGCATACGTCATGTGTCATTTTCAAGTGTTTTCAGACACATATTGTATATTTGTTTTCAGCCAGCTCACAGAAGCATCAGAACGTCAATGATCACGCAAAGATTTCTTCTCGTTGACTGACTGAGTTTAGTTTTACGCCGCTTTTAGCAATATTCCAGCAACATCACCGCGCGGACACCAGAAATGGGCTTCACACATTCTACCCACGTGGGGATTCGAACCCGGGTCTTCGGCGTGAGGAGCCAACACTTTAACCACTAGGCTACCCCACCGCCCTCTTGTCGTTGAAGCGAGTGAGTGAGTAAATAATGTTTGACGACGTAGATAGGACCATTCCATCAATATCAAGATGCAAATGATCACATGATCTCTTTGAAATGGGGCGGTGGGGTAGCCTAGTGGTTAAAGCGTTGGCTCGTCACGCCGAAGGCCCGGGTTCTATTCCCCACATGGGTACAAGGTGTGAAGCCCATTTCTGGTGTCCCGCGCTGTAATATTGCTGGAATATTGCTAAAAGCGGCGTAAAACCCAACTCACTCACTCTTTGAAATGATCTTACCTGGGTGATTAACGGTAATGCTGACTTCAAAGTTCTGTGTACAGTCTTTAAGTGTCTCAACAATTGCAACCTTGCCCCTACACATCTCTCATCTCTCCTAACCCAGTATGTGCCTCCCAGAACTCTACGTTCCCAGGATAAACAGCTCCTCAAAGTACCTCAAGCTCGGCTCCCCTCTTTTAGAAAGAAGAGTTTTCAGCATGCCGAACATTAAGGCATCAATATGGACGCAGGGTCAGATTGCCCTATTGTCCAAAATAGAATCTGATGGAGAGACTAATTATGAACAAAACAAACACTTTGTTTTCAATGGTTATGTTTTGCCGAGAGAATATTGTTGGCTAATCATAAATATTGTACATTGGTACATCCCCGCGCCTTTGTGCTCTTGTTTGTACTGAATTGGAAAAGGAAGCCGCTAAAACTAAAACTGCTAAATGAGATCGGGTTCCGCTCATAACATCAACCACGTGTTTGTCTATGCAAGACTCGGTGCTATAGTGTTGGAATAGTGCTGATTAACAGTGAGAGAGTGAGTATGGTTTTACGCCGCTTTTAGCAATATTCCAGCAATATCATGGCGGGGGACACCAGAAATGGGCTTAACACATTGTGCTCATATGGGATTCAATCCTGGTCTTCAGCGCGACGAGCGGACATTTTAACCTATAGATTACCCTACTGCCCCCTGACTAACAGACAAGCAAAATATAGCCTCACCTTGCAATCAGCACAATCAGGATTAACACGATCCCTGCGGTAACGCTGCAACCGATGATGATGGCGTAGTCTGAAAAAGATGAAGCAGAAATTCAGAATTCAAATACTCGTACGAAACGAGTCAACCATATCAAACGCGCCTGGCCACCAGGGTGCCGTTGTACAAAGCGATCTAAGCACTAAGGTAACCGTAACTCCCATACCTTAACATAGACTAAAGGTACAATTAGCGCTAAGGTTGTTTTGTACAACGGCACCCAGATCCCTTTAATCGCGTTTTACAAGCATGGGTTGATGAAGATTTAATGTTATATATTACAAGGACACTGACAGAATACATATTGCACAATTCAGGGCCGAGTTCCAAAAGCGATTCCGCCGCTAAGCCTCTCCTAAACCTGTGGTAAAGTATGGATACGATCACGGCGCTGGGACGGCTTTGTACAAACAAACGAGTGATACGGCATAAGGTAAACACTAAACAGGGTTTAACTTACATTTACTTATGACACGTGTGAATGTGTCTGCGTCTTTGAGAAATCAAAGCAACAAAAACATTATCTTAATCATCGGAAATCTATACTAAAAGCAGACTCGATTAGTCCGACATTGTCATGAGCAAATACTGATGCCGGGGATAAACTGGACTTATATCGGATCTTCATTGGCTTAGAGAATAAGCCAACGACAACTTAACATGAATAGCCAGCTCAGACAAATGACACAGAACTAACCAAGTTGCTTTATTTCCCAAATACTGAGCGCCAGGCAAGGCAACATCAAGTACCATCATTACTGTATTTTGGTATTGCGCGAACAGGGGATCGAACCAAAGACTTTCGACCCTCCAGCCAGACACATTATACAAAACTCCTCGTTACGGAGATACCACCCAGAATGTTTTCGATCGTAGAAATGTTCGTCAAGGGCCCACTGAACCAAACAAGAATACCCCTTCGACCCTTTCAACCAGGAAACAAAGGACTTACTTTTTCCTGAACATTTGTCGCCGCGGAATCCACATTTAGGCTCGCTTGGAGGCGGTTTACCAAGTGTCCATCCTATTTTGTTTTCAGAGGGACGGAAAATCTGAAAAATCCAGACTCCACTTATGAAGAAATTCAAGGATGACCCAGTTACTTCCAAGATTACTTCCAGTCAAGGTTAACACAGACTATTTGGCCCATCTGTAGATAGCGATCTTTAGCATGACTATATTTACACATTTTTTGCTTGTACGGCTTAAAAGACCGAGGTGTGGTTACTTTAGCGTTGTTTAACCTTGTATGGTGGACATAGATTTGCTGGGTAGAACACGGCGTTTGTATGGAACATATACTACCCAAAAGAAGTTAGGGGCTGATGGATTATATCATTGTAGTTTTTACTATCGTTAATCTGTTATGTCAAGAAGAAAATGCTGTAATTTGGAAAAATCGCACTACAGCTTTATTAAGTAGTAGGACAGATTAATCATTGTAATAAAAAAAATGTCGCTTTGAAGAAATGAGTGAGTGAGTTTAGTTTTATGCCGCAATATTCCAGCTATATGGCGACGGTCTGTAAATAATCGAGGCTGGACCAGACAATCCAGCGATCAACAGCATGAGTATCGATCTACGCAATTGGGAACCGATGACATGTGTTAACCAAGTCAGCGAGCCCCGTTAGTTGCCCCTTACAACAAGCATGGGTTACTGAAGATCAATATTCTAACCCGGATCTTCAGGGGTATTGATGAATTGAACCATGGGCCATTAGTTAAATGAGCGACAACTCACTCGACCCAGCTGTCTTTCACAAACATGAGTTCAAACGAAACCATAAAATTAATTTACACGGATATTTGCTGAACCAGAAATTATGCACTAGGATTCAAAACTACGAAGCTGGAGTCATCTACAATTCACAGATTCATCATAAGATTCATATTGATCGCCAAATGGTTAATCAGTAATATCCATCCCTGACAAATGCGGAATCCATGTGTACATCTATTATCCATTATCTACATCGATTTGGCTTCAGAAGCTGGTAGAGATATATGATCAGAAACATGTTTGGACAAATTGAATTGCCGAATTTCATCAGTAAGCGTGAACTTAAATTTTGAATCTCAAGAAGATATGACTGACATTTTCTTTTTCAACACAGGCGGTCGATTGACAGATCCACCATGAAATTCAGAGTTCTGTCTAATATATGTCATATATTTTTTACAAAAGGAATGTCAGTTGTCGATCATTTGGACATGTTTGATATTGTTGACAATCGCTGAAATTGAAATGCGATTAACTGGCGTCTCTCTTAACTTTTCAACTGAAGTGAAATCCTGTTAAAACAGACGATGTCGTTCTCAGTGAAATCATATGCCGGGCAGAGCAAAGCGAGTGGGTGAGTGAGTTTAGTTTTACACCGCTTTTAGCAATATTCCAGCAATATCACGACGGGGGGCACCAGAAATGGGCTTCACACATTGTACCCATGTGGGGAATCGAACCCGGGTCTTCAGCGTGACGAGCGAACGATTTAACCACCAGGCTACCCCACCGCCGGGCGGAAGAAAATATTCACCCATGACTTACAATGAAACAAATATGAATTAGATCCTCGTCGGCGATGTATTTGATTCGCATGTCCTGTATGTTTAAATTTGCAGTGCCCGTGAATTCTTTTTAAACCAATTAATGTTTTAATGGCGGTTTATTTGATGCAGGTCTCACTGTTATGTTTTGAAGTGTACAATGTTTCTCGACTGTGTTCAGCCGATTTATGTTTTGATAATGTTTTGAAATGTCTAGAAAAATATTTTCTTTTGCCCGATAGTTTGATTTCGAGGGTACACCTCCAGAATGCAAAGGGTCCCGATAAACGGGATTTCAGTGTATAAGTAATGTAGACGCGTACCACTTCGTTCGAGTTGTTGGCTTTCCTTATGAACATCCCTACGTTCTTCATCCTTGGTTCCGCCCCGTTCTCGCCGACTTCCACGCTCATGAGACTGTAATTGCCGAAGTTGTCGCCCTTCTCATCGATGTGCATTTCATACCCATAGCTGGCTGTGGGGTCACATTGAAACATATTTGACGTTAACGTTTGGCCATTAATAAAAGTCTGTTTCATGAGGAGGGAAGCCCGAAGTCATGGAAATCTTACACATTTACTATTCTGGTGAAACCAATTAGTAGGAATTATGGTATTGACAAAACCACAAACGTAATTGGGCGAACAGGAATTCGAACACAAAATCTCAGGTTTCTCCCCCAACAAACACCCCATCCCTCCACCATCACCAAGGTTGCGTGTGAATTTGTTAGGGAAGGTAACTCTGATTTTTTACTGATGTGAAAGCATGAATGTGTTAAGAATGAATATGAACATGCGCCTTCGTATGTTTTGGATCAACAATCTTGGAAAAACATACATTTGATAATATCTGTTCGTGTTACTACGGCTATCAAATAAACAGAATTAAGAAAAATATAGAATAAACACAGTACTACAATAATATTCAATATTTTTTTCTGAACGCTGCTGAAGTTGAAGCTCTGAGTTATTCAACTGTTTCACAAGTGATCTTACAATTGTATGATTTGTCCCTCATCTGCTCTACGATGGCAGTCGCGTTGAGGACGTCACCGTCAGCTTTGGCTTGTCCCTCAACAGCTTTGATATACAGATGGACAGCGTCGTACAAGTAAGCGGCTTTCAGTGGTGATGGGGACTGTGTAGGAAAAAAATACATTAATTTGTTAACATACTCTCACTCTCTCCCTCTCTCTTCCTCTTTCACACTCACTCACTCTGTCTCACTCACTCTCTCTCTCTCTCCCTCGCTCTAGCTCCCTCTCTCACTCCCTCCCTCCTCTCTCTCTCTCGCTCTATCTCTCTCTCACTCTCTCTCACACTCTCTCATTCACTCTCTATCTCCCTCTCCTCTCTCTCTCTCTCTCCCTCTGTCTCACCCACTCCCTCTCTCTCCCTCTTTCACACTCACTAACTCTTTCTCACTCACTCTCTCTCTCTCCCTCGCTCTGTCTCGCTCTAGCTCCCCCTCTCACTCCCGCCCTCTCTCTCTCTCTCTCTCTCTCTCTCTCTCTCTCACACACTCTCTCATTCACTCTCTATCTCCCTCTCCTCTCACTCTCTCTCTCTCTCTCACTCCACTCCCTCTCTCTCTCTCTCTCTCTCGCTCTCATTCTATCTCTCTCTCACGTCTCAGATAAACATAAACAACCACTCTGACACAGTCATCAGTGACGCTACCCTTATAGGAACACATTAAGGACTGGTCCGAACTTAGGACATTAAATTTCGCATTGTAGCAATATGCATGCTTATCATAAAATAGATCGGCTAAGAGTTTTAATTGCGAAAACACAGTCCGATAAACTTGGTATCTTCTTCCGAGAATGATGCACATGAGATCTCTAAACAGGGAATATGATCGTTATGCATGATAAATCAATGCAACGTATAATTGAATAAAATAATATTGTGTGCCGTTACCAATACATCGAGACATCAGTTTCCTGTGTATAGGTGATTCGGTGAACACACACACAGCGGCAAATCATTGGGCAAAATATGATAAATGAAGCAGTAAACCCGATCAATGTATTCATGTGTGGGTTCTTAGTTACTTCAGTAAGTGAAAGTAGATCTTTATCATGAATTACTCTGATAAGAACATTATACACTACTGGACAAAAGATAGTGTTCCCCCATAATTGATGGTAACTTGATGGTGATTTATTTAATACGTGTATTACTGTTGTGTTTTGAACGTGAAGTGCGCAATGCTTCTCAGCCAAGTAAAGTTTGGATAACGTTTGTAATTTCTATTATTATTATTATTATTATACGATATTTCTATAGCGCACATATCCAGGCAACTAGTGCTTGCTCAAGGCGCTGGTATTTTTCCCTCGATCATTGGATGTCAGTCTCAACGGCACAACGTGTTATCAATCTCAACTCCTAGGGGAGTATACAATTTCTAAGACAAATCTAATTTTCCAAAGTGAAAAATGTCTTTTGCCCGGGAGTTTAAGATAAACGGGATCATAAGCCAAAGGCTCGCAAAATACTTTTTTCTTTATCACTAATATAAATTATTGATAATATAATCAACCGACAATAACCTCCACGTCGGGAAAAGGAACGACAGCGACATCAGGTAAAACTGGAAAAGATTAATTATAGTGACAGAAAATATTAAAGAAACTGATTAATTCCAAACATATCACTTTATAGTGTCTATGTTCCTGGTATTCTGTGAGCGAATAGTATGAACCAAACTAGCACACCTACGTGGTTGTATAAACTACAGTGTACAGTTGAGATAAATGTCGCGTCGAACCGGTCAGTCGGTGAATTGTTTTTTCGTTCATAAATACATATTACCTAGACGCTTATTTGAACTGCAGTACATGTACATTCTTGGATATCGTTGGCAACAAATAGACATTTTTTATACTTTCTCTCTCTAGCAATAATCGCGAACCGGTTGGAGTTTCAGTTTTGTCTGAGATTAATCAGAATGCCCCTGAAATTCCCTACGAAATTCCCTGTGGTGTTCCTCGTTATTATGTTAGGGTTATAGGGGATTCAATGTTCCATTGCACAAACTTCACGGCAGGCCGGATAAACGAAGTTTAGCTTGTACGCTGAAGCTCTGGGTCATCGAATGAGACATTTCTCAGTGGATTGATTCCACATCAGCAACTGTAGATGACTGTACACTAACCGAATATATTTACATTCTCCCCCTTGCGAAAGTCAAAAATAAAATTATCTCCAAACAAATGGTGGAAGGTTGATTTAGCGGGTTCAGCAAGGTCACGTAACTTCCACACATTAACACAGGCTTACGGTCGTCGTGGCGCTAAGGTCGCTTTGTGGAACCGGGTTCTGGGTCCCGTTTCACAAAGGTAGCGCTACGACTGCCGTACCTCCTACACTGTAACACAGACTTACGACAGGCGTAGCGCTACGACAGCTTTGTGAAACGGGGCTCTGGGCCTAGATTTTCGAATTTCGAAGCTCGAAGAGTTTATACAGTCGTCAGTTAATGTTAATATATGGCACTTATCGACCATCTTAACACCAGGAGAGCTTCGAAAATCTATCTCCTGGGACCCGTTCCTCAAAGCGACCGTAGCGCTACGACTGCCGTAAGTCTATGTTAAAGTATGGGAGTTACGATCATCTTAGCGCTACGATCGCTTTGAGGAACGGTGCCCTGGTTCGTACGACCGAACATTGTGACGTAACAGGGCCCTGTTCCACACAGCGATCGCAGGACTAAGGTGATCGTAACACCCATACTCTCTGCAAAGACTTACGACAGTCGTACCGCTGCGATCGCAAGTGAGTCATTGAGTGAGTGAGCTTAGTTTTACGCCACTTTTAGAAATATTCAGGGCCGGGGACACCAGAAATGAGCTTCACACATTGTACCCATGTAGGGAACGAACCCGGGCCTTCGGCATGACGAGCGAACGCTTTAACCACTAGGCTACCCCACCGCCCCTGTTTATTATGATGTCATTATTTGTACTCCATATTAGGAATTTTTAGTAATCGTTAGTATCAGTGTTGCAAACTAGGATATATTCGCATGTTATGCGAAATTTGCGCTGTGTGAGCTACACTTAAGTGTGTATCTGCTAATTGAATCCTTAATGTGTTACCTTGGTTTGTTTGGTGTTCAACGCACCCCTCTTTTCCTTTATATAACGACGGTCAGTAAATAATCGGGTCTGGACTCGACAATCCAGTTATTGACATCACAAACAGAGATCTAAGCAATGAACTCAGCTTGGACCCGATGACATGTGTCAACCAAGACAGCGACCCTGGCCGGACCATCTGATAGCGATAGTCGCCTCTCGCGACAAGACCAATTGTAACCCGGATGTTCCAGGGTAACCTGGTTAATTACAAGTGTTTATAAGTCTTTAAACTATGGTTTCTCTTTGACAACGCGCCTTAATACAATTGTCTGCCTGTATATCGACCACGTCACTGTGTGTAATTGTGCATACGCTTCTGAACTCTTTTAACAATTACGAGTCGTTTCCTCTGTGAGTGAGGCGTGACTTAAGCATAGACGGTGTAATCGTTAGTGTCACCGTGGCAAAGTTGTCTCGAAGTTAAAAGCACCAACTTAAAGATGAATACGTCGACATTCTATCAACAGATATAGCCGAACCTCTTCGTGCCCAAATCTGATAAGTCGAATATTTGGTGTAACGAACTTATAACTATCTATGGTGAGTCGAATCGGATGTGGCGATGTTTTTTCAATCTTGAACATATTTCGTTGTTACGCCGACAAAAAGAAGTACAGGGTTGCCATGATAGGTTACATAAATCTCGGAATAACACAACACTTTACTGTTCATTTAACATTTCTGTTTTCGAATGATTTGTCAAGTACGTTAGCATTCTTTTGGTGTTAAATAGTGTAAATGACGTAAAAAAATCGCATTAGGTTTAGGTCACTTTGAGTTTGACACAAAGGTGTTCAACTGTAAAACGTTGCAAATATAAAACCCTTTATTTATTGTTTTATTTGTTTTTTTTGGCGCCACACTCGGCAATAGTCCAGGGCCCCGTTCTTCAAAGTGATCGTAACGCTACGACAGTCGTAAGTCTATGTTAAAGTATGGGAGTTATGATCATCTTAGCGCTACGATCGTTTTGAGGAACGAGGCCCAGCTGCATGACGGCAGGCTGTTAATTGAGTTTAGACCAAACAATCCCGTGATTGACATCATGAGCATCAATCTACGCAACGGGGATACGATAACATTCATAAACTGTTTGTTTCAATGTGATGATAGTGTACACGAAGCAATTGATATAACCATACCGCAAAGTCTTTAAATCGTTTGAAATTAATGGGGTCTTTCAAGTTTCTGTCGCCGATTCTCTCATCCATTTGTTTCCACTCTGTACTTCCGTTAGTTATGCGCATGAGCACAACGACGTTCCGGAAGGCATTCAGCCGTTCCTTTGGGGTTGATTTGTTCTTTAACTTCAGGTCATGTTCTGAAACGCAAAATGTGTAAAATTAATAATAATTTGTTTGTTTGTTGCTTAACACCGCACTCAGCAATATTTCAGCTTTTTGGCAGCGGTCTGTAAATAATCGAGTCTGAACCAGTCAATCCAGTGATCGACAGCATGAGCATCGATCTACGAAATTAGGATACGATGACATTTGTCAACCAAGTCAGCGACTCTGACCACCCGATACCGTTAATCGCCTCATGGGTAACAAGCATGGGTTACTGAGGACCAATTCTATGACGGATCTTCACGGGTTGTTAAATAGTTCAATGAATAGCGTAATAAATATTAATATTGATTTATGAACACCGTGGGTATATAGCAGATATTGACAAAGTTGTATTTCATCCAACCAATCAGAGCGTCTGACTACGGAAGTGACAGTCGGAATTGTTTTTTTCCATTCATAACATGTGGTGTTCCAAGCGCAAGCTACGCGGTTTAGGACGGATTTGTTAAATCATCTCTTGTCTCGCTCTCTTCAGCTTGATTGATGTTTGAGTAAGTGAATATATTTTACGCCGCTTTTAGCAATATTCCAGCAATATTACGGCGGGGGACACCAGAAATGAGCTTCACATATTGTGCCAATGTGGGGAATCGAACCCGGGCCCTCGACGTGACGAGCGAACGCCTTAACCACTAGGCTATCCTTCCGTCTCCCCCGACTGACGTTTGAAATGGAACAGACTTTCCACAGCGAATTTGTAGTACTACCATACAATCGCGGCCGTCTTGAATCTTCTTTTGTTAAACTTTTAAAATTTTGAATATTGAACTTTTAAATATTTTTTTAAACTTTGAAGTGGAAGTCAATAGATTGAAACTACGTCTACAGTGCCGTGAAAATCAAGATAGTACTTTCTGACTTCTGGCTAATGACTGCTTTATGTTAGTCATTTCAATGGCCGTTCAAAGTTCGCCAAATGTTGTTCTTACATTGGCATGACTTCAGATCTTTACTCAGCGGTTTCGAGAACTACGATGTGATTTCAATGAGATTGGTCATGACAATACGTGCTTAACAACACAAAACAACGCCGGTCAGTTTTCCTGTTCCAATCCTCTTTCTCGTTTTTGAAACCATGCTTGACTTTGACACGATTTCTTACCTTCCTTTAATGTATGGAAGTACTTTGTCGGTCTGTCCGAGACCGTCTTCCTGTCGATGTCCGTTGCTATGACTGCGTACTCCCCTTTGTCCGTCAGCCCAAGCCTTTGCATGGCCATGACGAACTGAATCAGACTTGCGTAGTCCCCCAGAAAGACGTATACTGAAAATGTATGGATATATTCATTGCGATACATTGACATGTGCATAGTGTTGTTAAGGAGAGTCCCCGACGGAAGGAGTGCACGAACGTCCAGTTTGAAATATCTTATAGATCCATGTGCTCAACCGTGTGTATTCATCAATACAAGTTGACGTGACAATGACGTCATTGTTTGATTGTTTGTTGTATTACGCCGCACTCAGCAATATTCCAGTTACATGGCGGCAGTCTGTAAATAACTGAGTCTGGACCAGACACTCCAGAGACTAATATCATGAGACAATGGGATACGATGATGTGAGCGAGCCGGACCAAACCATCCGGTTAGTCGCCCCTTACGAAAAGCATAGGCTACGGAAGATCAGTTCTAACCCGGATCTTCACGGACTGACGTCACGTCAATAGTTATGAGAATCAGAAGAAGAAGGTAGAAAAGGAAGGAGAATGCAAACAATAGTCATAATAATAATAATAATAATATCGGGTGGCAAGTGTAACGAGATACACAAAGCTAATTTTACAAAGCCTGCCATCTTCTTATCGGTGTGTAAAAGGTCGACACAATTGGACAGAATTTGAAGAAAAAAGCTTATATGTACTAAACATATCAAAGTTTTATTGGGATCGGTAGGTGAACGGGTAGTGCCTCCAAGATATTGTACTGCTCTGGGCTACATATACTGATACATTGACCGTGTAATGATGTCATATTGAAAGTATGGTGGGCCGTTCACACATATTGAAAGTATGGTGGGCCGTTCACACATATTGAAAGTTAGGTTGGTTGTACACACATGTTGAAAGTATGGTTTGCCGTTCACACATATTGAAAGTATGGTGGGCTGTACACACATATTGAAAGTTAGGTGGGCTGTACACACATAATGAAAGTTAGTTTGGCTGTACAAACATATTGAAAGTATGGTGGGCCGTTCATGGTGGGCCGTTCACACATATTGAAAGTATGGTGGGCCGTTCACACATATTGAAAGTATGGTGGGCCGTTCACACACATTGAAAGTATGGTGGGCCGTTCACATATATTGAAAGTTAGGTTGGTTGTACACACATGTTGAAAGTATGGTTTGCCGTTCACACATATTGAAAGTATGGTGGGCTGTACACACATATTGAAAGTTAGGTGGGCTGTACACACATAATGAAAGTTAGTTTGGCTGTACACACATATTGAAAGTTAGGTGGGCTGTACACACATGATGAAAGTATGGTGGGCCTTTCACACGTATTGAAAGCTTGGTAGGCCGTTCACAGATATTGAAAGTATGATGGGCCGTTCACGCGTATTGAAAGTATGGTGGGCCTTTCACACGTATTGAAAGTATGGTGGGCCTTTCACACGTATTGAAAGCTTGGTAGGCCGTTCACACATATTGAAAGTATGGTGGGCCTTTCACGCGTATTCAAAGGATGGTGGGCTGTACACACATATTGAAAGTATGGTGGGCCGTTCACACATATTGAAAGTATGGTGGGCCGTTCACATATATTGAAAGTTAGGTTGGTTGTACACACATGTTGAAAGTATGGTGTGCCGTTCACACATATTGAAAGTATGGTGGGCTGTACACACATATTGAAATTTAGTTTGGCTGTACACACGTATTGAAAGTTAGGTGGGCTGTACACACATGATGAAAGTATGGCGGGCCTTTCACACATATTGAAAGCTTGGTAGGCCGTTCACAGATATTGAAAGTATGGTGGGCCGTTCACGCGTATTGAAAGTATGGTGGGCCTTTCACACGCATTGAAAGTATGGTGGGCCTTTCACACGTATTGAAAGCTTGGTAGGCCGTTCACACATATTGAAAGTATGGTGGGCCTTTCACACATATTGAAAATATGATGGGCCTTTCACACATATTGAAAGTTTGGTGGGCCTTTCACACGTATTGAAAGTTAGGTGGGCTGAAAACACATATTGAAAGTATGGTGGGCCGTTCACACATATTGAAAGTTAGGTGGGATGTACACACATATTGAAAGTATGGTGGGCCTTTCACACATATTGAAAGTATGGTGGGCTATACACACATATTGAAAGTATGGTGGGCCTTTCACACGTATTGAAAGTATGGTGGGCCGTACACACATATTGAAAGTTTGGTGGGCCTTTCACACATATTGAAAGTATGGTGGGCCTTTCACACGTATTGAAAGTATGGTGGGCTGTACACACATATTGAAAGTTTGGTGGGCCTGTCACACATATTGAAAGTATGGTGGGCCTTTCACACGTATTGAAAGTATGGTGGGCCTTTCACACGTATTGAAAGTATGGTGGGCCTTTCACACGCACAGTGAAAGTATGGTGGGCCGTTCACACGTATTGAAAGTATGGTGGGCCTTTCACACGTATTGAAAGTTAGGTGGGCTGTACACACATATTGAAAGTATGGTGGGCCGTTCACACATATTGAAAGTATGGTAGGCCGTTCACACATATTGAAAGTATGGTGGGCTGTACACACATATTATTGAAAGTATGGTGGGCTGTTCACACATATTGAAGTATGGTGGGCCTTTCACGTATGAAAGTATGGTGGGCCGTTCACACATATTGAAAGTATGGTGGGCCGTTCACACGTATTGAAAGTATGGTGGGCCTTTCACACATATTGAAAGTATGGTGGGCCTTCACACATATTGAAATATTATGGTGGGCCGTTCACACATATTGAAAGTATGGTGGGCCGTTCACACATATTGAAAGTATGGTGGGCCGTTCACACATATTGAAAGTATGGTGGGCCGTTCACACATATTGAAAGTATGGTGGGCCTTTCACACATATTGAAAGTATGGTGGGCCTTTCACACGTATTGAAAGTATGGTGGGCCTTCACACACGTGGGCCGTTCACACATATTGTTGAAAGTATTGGTGTACACATGGGCCTTTCACACACATTGAAAGTATTGAAAGTATGGTGGGCCGTTCACACGTATTGAAAGTATGGTGGGCCTTTCACACGTATTGAAAGTATGGTGGGCCTTGCACACGTATTGAAAGTTAGGTGGGCTGTACACACATATTGAAAGTATGGTGGGCCGTTCACACATATTGAAAGTTAGGTGGGCTGTACACACATATTGAAAGTATGGTGGGCTGTACACACATATTGAAAGTTTGGTTGGCTGTACACACATATTGAAAGTTTGGTGGGCCGGTCACACATATTGAAAGTATGGTGGGCCTTTCACACGTATTGAAAGTATGGTGGGCCTTTCACACATATTGAAAGTATGGTGGGACTTTCACACATATTGAAAGTATGGTGGGCCGTTCACACGTATTGAAAGTATGGTGGGCCTTTCACACGTATTGAAAGTTAGGTGGGCTGTACACACATATTGAAAGTATGGTGGGCCGTTCACACATATTGAAAGTTAGGTGGGCTGTACACACATATTGAAAGTATGGTGGGCTGTACACACATATTGAAAGTATGGTGGGCCTTTCACACATATTGAAAGTATGGTCGGCCTTTCACACATATTGAAAGTTTGGTGGGCCGTTCATACATATTAAACGTTTGATGCACCGTACACACATATTGTAAGTTTGATGGGCTGTACACACTTAATAAAAGTTGGATGGTCCGTAACACATATTAAAAGTTTGGTGGTTCGTACACACATATTAAACGTTTGATTGACCGTACACACATATTGAAAGTATGGTGGGCTGTACACACATATTGAAAGTATGGTGGGCCTTTCACACATATTGAAAGTATGGTCGGCCTTTCACACATATTGAAAGTTTGGTGGGCCGTTCATACATATTAAACGTTTGATGCACCGTACACACATATTGTAAGTTTGATGGGCTGTACACACTTAATAAAAGTTGGATGGTCCGTAACACATATTAAAAGTTTGGTGGTTCGTACACACATATTAAACGTTTGATTGACCGTACACACATATTGTAAGTTTGATGGGCTGTACACACTTAATAAAAGTTTGATGGTCCGTAACACATATTAAAAGTTTGGTGGTTCGTACACACATATTAAACGTTTGATGGACCGTATACACATATTGAAAGTCTGATCGGCTGTACACACACATTGTTAGTTTGATGGGTTGGAGTCTTGATTGTCCGCCGAAACAGATACATTGACAAAATAGCTGTGATAAGTGTAAGAAGGGATCACTTGAACAAGCTACGTACTTCTCGTCCTTTCGTAAGTGCTGAGAATCATTTTCTCAAAGATGGTCTGGTTGACGCCCGGGAAGTATCTGTCGTTGAATTCATGCTCCTTGACGTCGGTGATGTGGATGTCGCTGGTGAGGTTCCCAAGGACACGGGTCGTCTCCTTCCAGCGGTCGGTGAGCCCACTGATAATGGTGTAGGACGTCCAGTTGTTGTACTTGAGGAAGGCGATGATGAAGGACGCGACCTTGACGTCGGAGGGCTGGGTGCTGACCACGTGGTACTTCTTCATGTTGCTATCGCTGGGGGTGTATACGCAGTCCTGACAAGGAATAAGAAAATGATGATAATTGTGATAATGATATGATTATGGTGGTTATGGTTCTTATACTACCTTAGCAAACAGCAACGAAAATAATAGTTATAATAACTATGATGCAGCTTCTAGTGCTGACAATGATGACGGTGACGATGAGTGAGTGAGTTAATTGGGTTTTACGCCGCTCTTAGCAATATCCCAGCAAAATCATGGCGACGACACCAGAAAAGGGTTTCACACATTATACCCATGTGGGGAATCGAACCCGGGTCTTCGGCGTGACGAGCGAACGCTTTAACCACTAGGCTAGCCCACCGCCCGTGATGATGATGATGATGATGATGATGATGATGATGATGATGATGATGGTGATGATGATGATGATGATGATGATGATGATGATGAAAAGGGTTTCACACATTATACCCATGTGGGGAATCGAACCCGGGTCTTCGGCGTGACGAGCGAACGCTTTAACCACTAGGCTAGCCCACCGCCCGTGATGATGATGATGATGATGATGATGATGATGATAATGATGATGATGACGCAACAACCATGAGGAGAAGCAGAGAAGGGGTGGAAGTGGAAGATCATTTCATCAAGTGTTATCATAAATTAAAGGTTTCGTGGTTTTATATTCGTCAACTCTCTATATACAAATTCCTATCAAAGACCGGTTGGGCTGAAGTTACACGAGAGTGTCAATATGATGGACAAACTGAAATATGACAGGAATCGTAGTAATAGTAGAATGACAACTAACTGTTTCTGTGTCAGTATTTTGGAATTTTTGTGCCGTTCTTCACTGACCAGTGAAATGTTCATGTTCATTCTGTTTTGTTTTATTAATATATAGACCCAAGGTCCATTTGCCACAAAAGTTTCGCTTCGGAAATGACGTCACCACAAACGTCTTGACATCAACAACCTATTAAAATCTTCTGAATCAGAGTTCGATTTATCTCTAATATCGAAATTAAGGTCCTGGACATGTTTAATCGAATTACTACACGTATAAATTCTGAATATATTACTGAGTATTAGGATAATGAAAGGTGAGGTCCTATTTCTACGAGCCATTCCGCGTTATACAGATGATGCTAGACAATTACACTGTCAAGCAATGAAGAAATCGTCGTTGTAGCGGTCATGAAATGATGTAACTACATTTACCGTTATTTCTCGTCATCAGTCGCACCTCATACCGAAGCCAATGTAACTACTGCTTCCAAAGTATTAGTTGAAATAGAATTGAGATATGATACCCATGAAAACCCAGGGTGGTTTAGGACTTCAATCGATGACAAAGTGACTATTTAAAATGTAAAGGCCTTTTTTCAAAACTTCAGTGGACAGTTAACAACTTACAAATCCGTGACGCAAAAACCTTCTCACGCATGTGAAAGACAAATAATCCTGTGAACCTATAAAACATTATGATAAAGTGTAATTAATTTTTCCTAATTTCCCGTTGTATGAATTCCAAATACTTCATGGCAGTTTCTAAAATATTTCTTTTTATGTGAAATATTTCGATTTAGTAGGCGCAAACGGATTGCTATATAGCCTTGCCCTTTCCAAACCAAGCATACCTCATAAACTGTACTTCAACAATTCAATGTGACTCTAACCCAGCAGGACAAATCTTCCCCAGTTTTAAGTTCACCAAACCCTATCCAACATACCAAGACCCTCTGCTCCTTGCAATGTGCTGATATTAAGTCAGTATCGTACAAATCAGCTCTTGTGCGACATACAGTCTCAAACTACTGACACGTCTATAATGACAGGCTACAGATTCCCGTACAACATTCCACTTAGCCTTGCTCCAAGGCTGTACTGAGTGCTAAGCCCATGGATGTACTGTACACCAATTCTATCCTTTAAAGAGGCAATTCTAGAACAGCGGACAGTACAGGGACACCGGTCATTTTATATATATATTTTAAAAATTATCATTTAAACTATTAATTATTACCTTGGAGACTTGTGCAAGTCTACATTCTACTGTTTTGTTTATTGTGTTCATTAAACCACGGGAAGCAATAAAGGAGATATTGCTGTACTGTAGTGTAAGTCGCATTTCACCCGAAACATCTGCATTTTGAGTATATTCGTCGTAAATAATCACGATTTTGAGAAAGATTTTGAGCTGATTTACCTCCCTTGTTAATGATGAAATGGTTGTGGATGCATTGACTACCAGATATGTCACCATTTCTTCATGACGTTGATCCTTATTAGTTTGCCTGGATACTAATTTGCACATAAAATATATTTAACTGATTTTTGTTATTATTAATTGATTTAATGTTGAGCAACACTGATCTAGGGGTAGCGGCCGGAGCGTAATTGTGTTGGGTAATGTTACACTCACGTGAACGTGAGAAACTAGTGGGTCCGGTTACCATAGGGATCCCTTAGTGCCGATGAGCATCTTCAGTAATTCACAATTACACACCGTTCTTCTGTCACTCTGGACTGCATCACTCTTTTAATGCAGTCACTATCTTGTACTAACGAATCAACTGGTTTTAGCGAGAGAGAAACCAGCGAGTACTCGGGCCAATGAGAGTCAATATCGTGCAACACGTGCCATTTGAAGCCTGACCATAAGGCAGTGTTTGTTTGTTTGTTTGTTTGTTATTTCACGCCGCACTCTCCAATATTCAAGCTATATGATGGCGGTATGTAAGTAATGGAGTCTGGACCAAACAATCCAGTGATCAACAACATGAGCATCGATCTACGCAAATGGGATACGATGACATGTGTCAACCAATGCAGCGAGCCTGACAACCCGATTCCGTTAGTCGCTTCTTAAGCCAATGATTGTAAGTATGTGACCCACTTCAAACAGCGTGTCAGCTTCATGGAGGATGCAGGCAGTGGTGTAGCCGTTTCTCTCTGTGTGGAAACTGACCAGCACGTATAGGTCAAGGATCATAATCGGAACGAATGTCGGATTCGCTATTAATGTCCGGCAAAGTCCGGCAAAGTCCGACAGCCTGTACTGGTAGGTATCGCAGACAGTGTAGACATTTAATAAATAACCAGTCCCACATTGTACACTGACTGAATGTTATACTCTTGGAATACTTCTAATCATCACGAATCCCCACATGGGTAAAATGTTAAAGCCCATTTCTGGTGTCCCCTGCCGTGACGTTGCTGGAATATTGCTAAAAGAGGCGTAAAACCAAACTCAGTCAGTCAGTCTAATCATCAATATTGATAATGATCACAATAGTGCTTTCCATTTGCTCTCAGGTTCTTAATGCTTGGACCTACTTCGGACAAGTAACATGAGACGTGAAGAGTCGTGACTACTGGAACTTATGGACTGTTGAAGGACTTGAGCAGGAAGTCTAAAGATGGTAATGGTCTCGATGACCGTGTTTGGTTATAGTCGCAGTTTCTCATCTAAGATATGTACTCGACAAACCGGTAACCGTCATGGTTGACAATGTTGAAGGTCGTGATGTTTCATTAGGTTTCATTAGGCGGCTAAGTATTCATATTAAATAAAGGCCTTATTACTTAGCAAGGTCTTTTTTTTCTTACTAAGTAAATACAATGGTGATAAAGTGTTGTGGCAACATTGTTAGAATTACGACTTTTAGTAAGGAACCATAAGATTGTTAAGAATTGGGTTATTTTACTGTCGTAGCTACTTGCTGCAGGATTAATCAATATGATATTATGGAAGTGTCATGGGCGCGATAATTTTAGTCCAATGAAGCTCCGTAGTTAGACACACACGAGGGCAAACAAAGCCACATGCACGCACGCACACAGACACATACGCATACACACTCGCACACACACACATGCACGCTATATACTTGCAATAGTCCTAAACCCTATATCACCTCACTTCACCTCACCATTTTTCCAGGAACTGTCTTTAGGGCAGAAATTATATTTTTTGTGTTTCTCATCGCCCGACCGACCCTAATTTTATTGCCGACCAAAAAATATTTTAAAAAAATTGTTTTCTTTCCAACACCGCCGACCCGAACCTAGAACGTACCGACTCGTCATATAAAATGTTACCACACAAAACATAAAATCAGAGTTATGACTCTTGACAACAGACCGACCATGATGTCTGCTACTCGCACAGCAGACGAAAACGAAAACAAACATCTGGTCTATTTTGAAGTATCACCTTCATATCCCTTTTGAAGTAGCAGTACTGTCATCTTAATTTGATAACCTTTTAACATTTATGAACTCTATAAACTCATTCAAACTCTCACAATATATTTGTGTTAGATACACTGGTCTCTAATTTGTCTTTATATAAGGGCAGACTATACTGTTGTTTCGTTGATCTTAAAGGTACATTGGATTCCATCAATAGAACAGGTTTGATGTATAAACTTTGGACTGGCAATGTCAAAGGTATTATTTTAGATTAAGTAAAAATATGTACACAAATGTTCAATCATGTATATCATTGCAAGGTGGCTACACACAACTGTTTGACTATTTGAGCGGAATAAAACAGGGCTGCCAACTATCACCAGTGCTATTGTCATTGTATGTTAATGATATTACTGAATTGCTTGGTGTTGATGAAGATAGGGATGTATTGACCTTGGTGTCTGTCGACTTTTCATGTTATTCTTCGCCGATGATATGTTATTGCTTGATAGCACTGTCCGAGGTTTACAAAACACATTGAATAATCTATCAATATATTGTAAAAAGTGATCTTTAACCGTCAATATTAATAAAACTAAATGTATGGTTTTCAGGAAAGGTGGTAGACTAAAGAAATACGAAAAACATTATTTCAGTGATACCCAAATAGAAATTGTGTCTTCTTACAAATATTTGAGCGTTCATTTCTCATGCAGTGGGTCATGGCATATAACACAAAAAACCTTGTCATATCCAGAAAGTGTTAAATAATTTACGTTCCCAGCTATCAGATTTCAGAAAAATAACATTCTTCTCAACATCTTTGACCACAAAGTATTCCCAACTTTAGTTTGCGGCTCAGAAATATGGGGATTTCATCCCTCACTTGATGCAGACAGAGTATACAATAATGTCTTACAGCAAATTCCTTTTCTTGGTAGAAATGCACCGAACTTTATGGATGTTTATGTTTTAAAACTAGACAATATTATAAGACAATTGTAAAATATTGGCCACGGTTATTATTCCAAAAGTATGATGGAATATTATACCACACATGCCGTTATCAATATAGATTATCAGAAGCTGGCAGACAATGTTGAAAGTGCCCTTAATGTAAAACAATTGTTAAATAAATTTGGTTTTAGTTATGTGTGGCACAATCAGGCTGTAAAGTGTACTTATTTGATTTTAAACAAAGTTAAATATCAACCGACATGGTTTGAATTAAAATGTTCGTTTCCGATTGTATATCAATTGTATATCAATCTAAAAAAGAAGGAATACTGTTGTGAAGAATATTTGTCAGTAGTGAATGTTACTTCATATAGAATAACCCTTACTAAATGTAGGTGTTCAAATCACAGAATAATGACAGAGGAAGACAACTTTATATTGCTAAAGATCAACGACTTTGTCATCTATGCATTCTTCCCTGTTTGGAACAGGGTACCATTTCTGCTTAATATGTACTTTTTTTGTCAGACCTGAGAAAATAGTTACCTGAATATTATATTATAAATCCAACATAGCCTACATTTTATCAGCTATTATCATCCAAAACCCAGATGTAATTGTCTAGCAAAGTATGTATTTCTTGCCATGAAAAAAAGAAATAAAAAATAGAAGAATATGCATGGCACCCTCTATACATGGTACATACATGTTGTACTACTAGTATAATGAACCGGTGGCCACCTTACTGAAATAATGTCTATCTCTCTCTTGATATAGATTGATCTACAAAGATTTCATTATTTAATATTTTACTAATAGATTAATAGGTGTTATCTAAGATAGTTAGGGTGAGTTTATCATTAAAAAATTGTTTACCTTCCTCTCAGTCGTTGCCACAAGTTTGAAGTCCAGAGTACGCAAGAAATTACAATAACAAGTACAACAAATGAGAATTAAGAGCACTATTCAGAAAATTTTGTCTTTATTAATTTGTTTTTGTTTTTTGGTTTTAGGGTTTTTTCCCCAACCGACCGACCCATGTTCAGAATTTAGTGGCGGCGTGAAACACATAAAGAAAATGATGCCCTTAGTGGCGGCGTGAAACACATAATGAAAATGATGCCCTCATCAACGTTTTGTATGTTTTAAGCAACGAATTTACTTACATAGGCAACATAGGGGATTTCAAGAGCCGTAGCTACGCTGGCTATACAGGAACAGTAACGGTCAGGTCCGAAGAAGGCAGTGACATTGTGTGAAGCTGCTACATCCATCATTTGCTTGTAACCAACGACATCACTCCCCTTGGTGTCTCGAAGCACATATTTCATCTCAATTCCGTATGAGGACAACATCTCTTTGTGGTCGTCCATAGCTAAGAAAAACGCCCCGCCGACGTGTTTAAAACCGCTGTTGTGTTCAGTAAGATAGGCCAGAGTGATGGTGGTGTTCGCTGTGGCGGGTGGTGACAGGACCCCCACCGCCATGACGGTCAACCAGAAGATGACCGATGGTGACCACATTGCTGTGGTGTGTACGTTGTTTACTTTGACCATTGGTTGTCCTCCTCTTCCCCCCATAACGGTATCCGAGTGGACTGAGGTTCTGGAATAGAACAACATTTCATGTGAATTCGAGTCATTTCAAATGTTCAAGCGTCTCTGTTCTGGGCTCTGTTTGGACGTTACAATGCACAACATTCCCAGTTTATCGTGTATTTGTGTGCGATTAATGGCCTATACAGCTCTTTAAAGTTTGAACAATAGAGATAACATTATCCATTCAATTCCCTCAGGTGCAATTGCAAGTGCACTATTTAACCGTCATGGAGACGATAAAACAAAAGTTTTATCACGTCACTTTGAGCGTGAATAAACAGTAATGACCTTGAACCTAACAACTCTATTTCTCGCCATTAGTTCTAAACGTCGATCTTGTAAACATGTTGACTTAAAATATGGATGAATGAGGGATCGAATTATTGCTCAAATTATACATCAACCATCAATATAATATAATAATAATATAATATATGAAAACATCAACTTGATCAATATTGATCGATGTCAGAGAACAGTGTTTTGTGTGAAAGTCACATGTCATTGCAAGATGGTTATCCTTTCAATTATGGTCAATATAATAAGTATTTCGGAGGCATTTTTGCCAACAAGGCCCTATTACTGTTCATGTTTTCAACGTTGATTGGATTGGATTGGTTGGTTGGTTATTCCAGTATATGGATGAGGTCTGTAAATAATCAAGTCTCGACCAGATAATCCAGTGATCAACATCATGAGCATCGATCTACCAACTGGGATACGATGACATATGTCAACCAACTCAGCGAGCCTGACCACCCAATTTCCTTTAGTCTCCTCTTACGACAAGCATGGGTTGCTGAAGACCAATTCTAACACCGATCTTCACGGGTCAACGTTGATTGAATATACATGTATAACACTCAAATGTCAATATCTGACTGACTGCTCTGGGCCAGAGTATCGCTTCTGTTCCAAGGTGGGACGAAAGATTTTCGGATGACATGACTATCAGGTGGACATTTTTTCAAACTGACTCTGACTCATAGTCATGCATCAGTGTGACTTGCTTCTCATGAAACAGCAAAACCGTGATGTAACTGAAATACTTTTAACTGTTACGGTTGACTGATGAATAGTAATACAAACGAAAGTACACATTCGCAAGCTAGAAGTGTCCCCACAATTTATCTATTTGTGTGCGTTAGAAGGAGGGAGGAGTCCAAAACATGAGGCTGAATTAATAACTTTGTCTTACAAAAGAATACTTAAACTATGTTGCGTGGAAGAAAATTTTATGAGATGTTATATTCATGTTTTCAGTCAGTGACGGAAAATATTCTCTCAATAACAAAAGTCATCCAACACATCCTCACCCCCATCCCCCAACACCACCCCACACTACCAATTCCACCCCTTACCCGCGTACTCACTCTCTCCTTGGTTGTCGACTTCACGAAATGTCTCGGTATCCCTATCGACATGTGAGTACTGTATATAACTGATTCACATGTACTCTTAATAAGCAAATCAAGTCTGATAGAGACGGTCGACTCAGGCCTCGGTATCTGATATAAGACAACGCCGCCTAACGGTCCCGCCGGATTCAGTTGGTTACGGATCATGACATGATCCTGATTGCTCCACATCGGAGAAGAGCAGATGAGACAATGTGTTTTTCTCCTATGCTTCAGCATACATGGTAATTTGACCTCGTCGGGTCGATATGCCCATCACTATTCGACGACTATGATAATTGATACCCTATCGGATTACCTACGCTGCTAATGATGAAATGATTGCTTTGTAGTTGCACTGACGACCAGATATGTCACCATTTTTTCATGACGTTGGGGCTTATTAGTTTGCCTGGATACTAATTCTCACATAACATATATTTCACTGAATTCTTTATTACCACACCATGTCATTCTATGAGAACCCTGCTGTGTCTTAATTAAAATGGTTGTACTGCAGAATTGTCCAACATTTACAAGGATTCACAAATGTGTCACATTCCAAACGTAAAAGAAAGTAGATTCAGAAAATTTTATAGCTGAAAGCTATTTTTCTCAGAAACAGAAACTTTCAAAACCTTGCTTCCAAGGTTCCAAAATATGGCTTCCCAATGTTTTAGAACCTGGCTTCCCAATAGTTCACAAAATAGAAGCAATATTTCCCAAACTTAATATTCAGTGTTTCACAAGCTAGATTCCCCGTGTTTCAGAAGGCAGAAGCTCAATGATTCAGAAGAAGACGTTTTGCAACTTTTCAGAGGCACAATTCCAAGTGTTCAGGAGCTAGAATCAAACTGTTCAAGAACCCTGGAACCCGATGGTTCAGTAGCTACGTGACCAATGTTTCAAGTGCTACATTCCAAAAGCTGAAAAAGTCTTATTATATTTAAGCATGTTCATAACCAAGTACAAATGGATAAACTGCTCTTTTCTCGAATTTAATTGTCATATTGTATAGAGCCCTACTCCCGCCAGTGTGTCCCCGTTTATACCGAACTCTAAGTAAGGTGACTGAAACCACAGTGGTGCTAGATCAACCGATCAATTGGAAGACCAGTCGTACATATCAATATTACCCTTTCTTCCAGAGACACGTGTTGTGAACAAACCTATCTGTAATTCACCAGACATTCCACAGCCCACATTGACTTCATGTTCACTACAGTTGTAACACGATGCCATTAACTAAAAGGTAAACGTCAACCAACGGCAAGTCTTAAACCGAGGGTGCTTCCGAAAACACATTCTAGTGATTATATTGAAGCCTCCCTAGACATCCCCTTAGGGACCTGAACTTTAGAGTAGATCCAAGTGTCTTCAGACTAAACAGTACTTTTCAATTAGAAACTCTTAAACCGTTGACATTGCTATGAAAGGGTTGAGTTCTTGATCACAGGTCCGAGACGTGACCAAGCTTAACCCCCATTCCCGAAGACCCCAGGGCCCCTCCCCCTTGCACCTGCTCCTGTCCCCAGGGTCTAGCACAAGGTAAACAAGCAGGACCAATCTCACCCAGACGGACGCGACCAAACAAGGTTAATGTGTGTAATGGTCCAAGTCTGACCTGCAATTTCCCGACCATCTTGTACTCTAGCCACTTACTGTCGTACAAACGATATTGTTGAGGTGATTTCCATTGTAATTGGAGGCACTTCACCTTACGTCTACATTAACCCAGCCCAGGGGCAGAGCTTTTCTATGTAGGAATGCATTGATACACTTCTCTACAAGCACAAATTGCTTTCAAAGAGGTTCTCGCGGATATGTACAGTTTGTGTGCTGGCGTCTTTATTTGATTGATGTCGGTGGTGATAGGTGGGGAAGCAGCATGATCTGTAGTGGTAAGGAAAAGTCATGGGCAAATATTCACCATGGTCAGTTAATAATTATGGTCGGAAATTCGTGTTTGGGTGAGACCAAAACTAAGGTTAATATTTGCTCATTCAAGATGAAATGCTTTTGACGATTTGGTTTATAAATAAATTTCTTTGAATTCCTTATATTATATTTACTATTTTGTCTTTAACGCGGTTTCGAAACTGGTGAATTACCTTGGTTGGTGATTTTTATTAAAGATGCAAGATGCCAAATTTCCAGATGACAAATTGCGGACGCTCAAATACTAAATCTGAAGTTAGAGATCCGGTGGTTAAAATGCTATACTACCTGATACTGCTATCTGAACGTTTCAGAATTTACAGTCCAAAGTTTCAGTGAACCAATGTTTCTACAGCCCTCAAACACACACACCCAACACCCCCCAACCCCCGGTCAACTGACCTTTCTCGCCCTATTCTGTATTGAACAATGTACAAATCGCGAATATGTATTCAACGTAAAAGAGTTTGGACTTTTGGCTGTTAATAATTTTGTTCTTCGCATGGGTAGATGGTACAGCTGTCATTCGAACTTTAACGTGAAAACACCATGAGAAAAAGGAAACTTAGATGGAGGCGATTTCGACAAACAAATAATGTGTTTTCCTTAGCTGTAGGTTATATTCTACACGACCTACTCTCCCCATAGAACATATTGCAACAGAAACAGCAGGTAATCTATTAGAGAACACCCGTGAAGATCCGGGTTAGAACTGGTCTTCAGTAACCCTTGTCGTAGGAGGCGACTTACGGGATCGGATGGTCAGGTTCGCTGACTTGGTTGACGTCATCGTATCTCAGTTGGAAGATCGACCGTAACATGGTACAGTTAAAAGTATTTCAGTTACATCACGGTTTTGCTGTTTCATGAGAAGCAAGTCACACTGATGCATGACTATGAGTCAGAGTCAGTTTGAAAAAATGTCCACCTGATAGTCATGTCCATCCGAAAATCTTTCGTCCCACCTTGGAACAGAAGCGATACTCTGGCCCAGAGCAGTCAGTCAGATATTGACATTTGAATGTTATATATATTCAATCAACGTTGACCCGTGAAGAGCGGTGTTAGAATTGGTCTTCAGCAACCCATGCTTGTCGTAAGAGGAGACTAAAGGAATCGGGTGGTCAGGCTCGCTGAGTTGGTTGACATATGTCATCGTATCCCAGTTGGTGGATCGATGCTCATGATGTTCATCACTGGATTGTCTGGTCTAGACTCGAGTATTTACAGACCGCCGCCATATAGCTAGGATATTGCTGAGTGTGGCGTTAAAGAACAAACCAACCACTGGAGCATCTACGTGATAGCCAGTGAGAAACAATAAATACTATTGTTTGCTTGATGTTAAATTGGAACAGTAAAGGAAGTAGGCTTTCGTCTACATTATACTGGCGCCTAGTCAGCCAAACGTTCATCGATATGGATGACCTTTTACAAATATAACTGGAATTAAAACTTTTTAATCTTAAAACAAATTTATCACATTGGGGCATGCGGTTGCGAATTCATTTTTACCCAAGTCGTATTTGAATTTTTTTTATTTTACATTAAATTACCCAGCCACATTACTTTTTACAAACTGTTGCAGGAATGAGTGATGGTTGAAAAAACATAAAATTTCAATTTTCAACTACATTAAAAACAAATTTGGAATACTTTCGTTTGCCTTTCA